GGTACTTCATTGGTATAACATCTAAAGAGATGGTGTCTGAAAATGTTGATTTTCCTAGGGGAATCTCAAGTTTGAGTACTGGGGTGTTGCAGGTAATGGAACCTGAACTGATAGGAGTTCCATCAATGACTCGGAGCAACTCTGGAGTGCGTTTGGGAATTGTAGGTAACTGGTGTGTCAAGATGAGGTCTTGAGATATAAAGTTGCCTGTTGCCCCTGAGTCTATCATAGCCCTTGTAGACAACACCTGTTGTTTGAAATGGAGTTGAATAGGGATTAACAGGTGTGTGAGACTCTGAGAAAGCACCATCGACACATCTTTGTTGTCTAGGGGAGAAGTTATAGTCTCAGTTGAAGTTGTGCCTGCTAGGGATTTTTCAAGTTTTTCAGGAATAGCAGTTGTGACTGTGTCTGAGGCTGCTATATGTTTTGAATCAGCACTCCCTCGTGCTGAATAGCACTCCTGAATTCTGTGTCCCCCTTTGCCACAGTATAAACAAAGGTTGTTGTCCATTCTGTGTTTTCTTTCTTGAGGGGTAAGTTTACCCCTTTTCAGTTTTTGAGGGTATCCTGTAGGCTGAGGTGCTGGATTTGCTGTAGATCTCTTTATAGAGGCGTCTAAGTCCATAGGTTCAGGTGCTGAGTCCTTAGCAGTTGGTGTAGAGGTGTAATTGTTGAAATTTCTTGTTGGATGCCAGTCTTGGTTCTTCTCCTTTCTTCTTTCAAAAAGCCTATCATCGAGTCTGACAGCTTTCTCTATAAGCGTTTGAAGTGTTGTAGGGCGTTCTTCTTTGCTGAGTTCATCCTTAATAGAGCTCTTGAGCCCTTGGTAGTAAGTGAAGACTAAGGCTTCTTCATTCCAAGTCAAGTGAGAAGTGATTCTCCTAAATTCTGTTGTATACTGAGCAGCAGAGGTCTTTTGACATAGCTTCTGTAGCTCTCTTTCTGCTGTAGCAGTTTCGTTGATGTCTCCAAAGGTCCTGGTAAGTTCCTCTTGAAACTGGTCATAAGAGGTAATCAAAGGTGTAGTGGTATTTTGGTTGTTGCCACTAAGTCTTCTAAGATATGGCTCAAAGAAGTTGAATGCAGATCCACGGAGGTAGCTGGCAGCGAAATAGATCTTCTGAATGTCTGAGGTGAACTGATGAGGCCTGAGGGTGAAGTAGATGTCCAGTTGCATAAGAAATCCCTTCAACTTCCTCCTGTCTCCATGGTATAAATCTGGTGTTTGCACTTTAGGAAGTGCACCTGGGGTACTCGAAATAGCCAGAGGAGCTGTGGGAAGCTCTGTATGATGTGTCTGAGTTGAAGATTGTGTTGCTGAAGTGTTGGCTTGAAAGGTGTTTTCCAAATTCTCAAGTTTGTTTGCTATAGTTTGTATAAAGGCAAACAGTTGTTGCATCTGCTGTTCAGCAGTAGTTGTAGGAGCTTGGTCGTCCTCCATTGTAGTATCGAAGTGCTGCTATAGAAATAGTTGAAGCTTGAAGCAGGCAAGGTGTAATGGTGGGTGCACCAGATATGAGAATCTAGCCACCCAAGGAAGGGATGAATTTACTAAGACAACACACTGTCTTAGGAAACAGAGCCAAAGGGTTGTAGCTTAGACTATTCCACAACGCAGCAATCAGGTGTATGATGTGGTGAAGTGGTTTAGACAAGTTGCAACAAATGTTGAGTCTGAGAACTCAGGGGTAAGTCAGAGGTTAGCACCTCACTGACTTTTCAAAAACAGAGAATAACAAGATCAATGCTTGGAAGCTTGGAAAAGACGTAGAAGTATGTGCTAGTCGATTTACTGTATTGCCTGCTTGCCCTTTCTTAAGGAAAGGGCAATCCTATTTATGCCAAAGGAGTGTAGTTCTCTCATTTTCCATGACTTTCCATGACTAACCAGGCTTGGTAAATGTATTAGAAATCAAGTGCGACCCACAACTAGCTTGCTAATCATGTAGTGAACGTAAGAGAATCCCATAGAACCATCTCTTGGGTTCCTAGCCTATAGGAAGTGAAAAGGAGGTCCAAGGTCAGAGTACCTATAGATAAATTATGTCATAACTTAACCAATCTTGTGGGTAACTAAGGAGCGATGACGTGTAATGAATCATAGAGGGTTGTAGAAGCTTCTAGAGCTATCGTTCATGTTCCTAGGCCTCTAGTTGGTAGATATATGCCATGTGGTAGTATTGGCCCACCCCCTTAAGGAGGAGATTTTCTTAATAACTTGTTCAATGAGTGTTCAAATGATATGCCGTGATGTATGTAGCATAAACAGATGTAGTAGAAGAGTTTGCAGCAATCGTTGAGTAGTATTGCTTCTGTTGTTGGTGTGATAAGCCAAGATATGTATGGTGACTTGTAGGTTTGAGGAGGAGATTTCTAAGTTTGCTCTTGAGTTTGATAGCAAACTGAGTGCAACGAATGTCAGTATGACAGTCGGCTGGCTTGCGCGCAGGTTGTTGGTCCGATCGACGGCGATCCTGGAAGGGCGTTCGCTCCCGGTGATTGCCCGACTTGTGGCTATTGAAGTGGCCCTTCCGAGCTGGAAAGCCACCCTGCAGGGTTCCCTTATTCTCCCTTGTGTTGGGCCTATCCGTAGAAGGATTCTTCTCGGTTACCCACCGGTTGTTCATTTCCAGCATGGCTAGGATATTGACAACAGCCTCCCTGTGGGTCGTGGAACGCTCGGCGTAGCCACCCTCAAGGAGGCGCTGCCTCATTTCTGGGTGTAACTTCGTCAGGAGGTGGGTGGTCCTCTGGGACTCGGTGTAGGGCTCCATTTCCCGCTCCAATTCCTCGAGGTACGCAACGAATTTGCGGATACCCTGCCCCTTACGCTGGTGGGCGCCGTTGTATTTGAGGGCTGCAATGCGTTGCCGGTTGGCTGGGTCGATATGGAGGTCGCGAAGGAACTCTTCAAACCCTGCGATATCTAAAGGGTCCTCGAGCCCTTCCTCTTGCGAGGCGCAGCGGTTGTCCCACTCCTTCATGGGGTCGCTCTCAAGGTATTGGGCGGCGAAGGCCACCTTGGATTGCTCGGTTGGGAACATTCTTGGCTGGTATCGGAAGGAAGCGCGGATTGAGGCCATAAACTCGTTGAGCTCTCGTGTCGACTCGCCTTTGTAGACCTTAGGGTCCTTGACCTTGCCGAAAGGCCTATACGACGGGGTTGCTTCTCGCGATACTACGGAGGCAGTCTCTTGTTCCTCCTCGTTTGGGGTCCCCTCCCATTCTTCCTCACTGTCTTGGTGTCGCCTTTTCCGGCGTCCTTCTTCTTGTATTCGGACCTGTCTTTCTGCGAAGACCCTTACTTCCTCCGGGTAGGCGCTATAGTCGTCGCCGTGCGATCGTCGGAATACTTGGAGGGCTTCTTCCATGGTATTGTAGTAGGCCCTCTCTTCTTCGATCCTATTCTTGAGGGCGGCCAGCTTTGACGGCATCCTGTCCGCTTTGCTCGTCGCGGAGCTGCTGGCTTCAGGGCCCAGAGTCGGTGGGCTGGCCTCGATGGTTTCTGCCGCTGGAGTCGCTCCTCCGGAGGTCGCTCGGGTAATCCTCTTTTCCTGGCTCGCCATCCTGATCTGGTAGGCTGAGTATGGGTTGAGTCAATAGAATTGTAAAGTCGTAGGACCCAGGGTCACACGGGAGCTCAGGGAACCAGGTCAGGAGGCAGGAAGGTATCGTATTCTGTAAGCACAATAGGTCTACGTAGATACATCGACTATTGACTGGAGGCCTCACTCCGAGCCTCCAGCCCCTTATATACAGGAACCTGTAGGCCCTAATTTACCGAGCCCGCCAGGTCCACTGTAAGAGCGTGACACCTCACGTGCCCTCACGTGAGGGCCGCCTTACACTTTGTGTGCGTCACAGCAACTAGATACTAGTATGAGGGATATTGCTTTAACTGCAGTAGATTGGGCTACGTTACATGACTTGTTGAAGCTATTCTATATCTTTATCCGTCCCACTTAGAAGTTTCAAGGCTCTTCTTATCCAACTCTGAAATACGCTGTTCCGCAGTATATGCGAACGATTAAGAAGCTCGAAGATATGAGAAGTGAGCTACCAGAACGAAGCCCAATTGCCAATGCCACGTTGATTGCATTAAAGAAGCTTAATGACTACTATACTCTAGCGACAAATCAGCAACACAGTCACTCTACGATTGCTACAATTTGTGATCCTCAGTATAATTTTAACATCTTCAATATTATATGAAAAGATAGCACACAGTCAACCAAAAGGAACAGGGCGAAAGCACAGTGGCAGGACTGCTTCTACCGGTACAGGCCGCGAGTCTGATATTCGAGCAGCAACGTTATTAATAGTATTGAAGATGAGGATCTAGATACAGAGCAAGCTATGAATATCGATGTAGACTCAGAAGACGAGTTATATGTATCACAAAGCCATCACGATACTGAGCCGGAATGGAAGCGATGGATGAAGGAGCCAACAGTTGGTAGGGACACAGATATTCTCAAGTATTGGCAGAGTAAGCAATACCAATTTCCATTGATTGCTTGTATAGCGAAGGACCACCTGGCTATTCCAGCTACCTCAGCAGACTCAGAACGAGTATTTAGTGTCGGTGGTGATATTATCACAAAGAAACGGAACCGGCTATCGCCTTCTACACTTAGATATCTACTTTGCTTGCGGAATTGGGGTGTTATATCACAAGGCGACGACGAAGACAGCGGCGACGATGCATAACGAGAGTTAGATTAGTATATATCAAATTATATTTTATATGCGAGTACTACTCAGGGTATTCGAGTACTGGTATTCGAGCTTCAATTATGAGTATTCTACTCGAGGATGCTCGAGTAATATTCAGAGTGGTATTCGGGCAACACTGATTGCACTCCGCTTCACTTTTAAAAAAACACGCAGTATATTTAAATTGTAACACTATCAAAAAGTCCATCTGCAGCCCCTAATCTTTTTATATAACAGCATTTTCTATGATTACATCGTTTATTTAAAGAAAATATATATTACCCACATCTTCATTAGTATCCTATTTAACTTTTCATCTATACCCCCCCCCTTTTCCTATCTCTACATCAGCACCAACCCAGCAACCGCACCGACCAACAGCGCCGCCACCGAGCTCGACAACTTCGTACCAGCGCTATTGGTAGTGCCCTTCTCAGGGTTGCCGCCGCCGCCGCCGCCCCCTGGAGTGCTACCACCACCTAGGGTGGTACCACCTCCACCACTAGGAGCACCACCGCCGCCACCAGTTGGGCTGGCACTGCCGCCACCACCAGAGGCGCAGGTTGGACATGCAGAACTACCGCCGCCGCCCCCACCACTAGTGGTAGAGTTGCCGCCGCCGCCGCCAGAGGAACCACCAGTAGAAGAACCGCCACCAGAGGCGCAGGTTGGACATGCAGAGCTACCGCCGCCGCCGCCACCACCACCAGTGGTAGAGTTGCCGCCGCCGCCGCTAGAGGAACTACCACTAGAAGAACCGCCAATAGAGGAACCACCACCAGAAGAGCCGCCGCCACCAGGGGTAGTCTGGTTGCCGCCGCTGCCGCCGTGATTAGGAGGGGTTGTTTCGCCGCCGCTAGGAGGTGCTGTTGCGCTACCACCACCGCCGCCACCACCACCAGAGCAGGTTGGGCAGGCGGAGCTGCCACTACCACCACCGCCGCCGCCAGTAGGGGTTGTCTGGTTGCCACCACCGCCGCCACCACCAGAGGCGCATGTTGGGCATACAGAACTACCACCACCACCACCGCCGCCGCTAGTAGGGTTTGTTTGATTGCCACCACCGCCGCTGGTAGGGTGGGAGGTTGTTTGAGCACCACCACCACCACCACAAGAAGAGGGACAATTACATGGCTGGCCGCCGCTGCCACCACCGCCACCACCAGATGGGCAGTTGCATTCTTGGCCACCACCGCCCCCACTGGGTGTAGTCTGATTACCACCGCCGCCGCCGCTAGGGGAAGGAGGGGAGGTTGTCTGAGCGCCGCCACCACCAGTTGAAGTCGGACAGTTGCATCCCTGACCGCCGCCGCCGCCTCCTCCGCCGCCCGAGGGACAGTTGCACTCTGACTGCTGCGGAGCCGCGGATAAGACGGGTGTCGCTGCTGACGACGCCCCTTGGGAGCCGGGCGCCGATGCCGATGACCCGGGAGCCGATGCAGATGACCCGGGCACTTCTGCAGATGATCCAGGAGCTGATGCCGACGAGCCGGGGCCCACTGTTGTCTGTCCTGGCCCGACGCTGCTTTGGGTGGCGCCGGTGCCGGTGGGGGCTTCTGTGGTGTTGAAGAATGGACCGTGCGTGAGGGAAGTTGGGATAACGCTGGACAGAGTCACGATTGTGGTGTTCAAGGACGTCTGGGTGATTGTTGTCGCGTTCGGGGTCGATGTGTTGAGGGGTAGATTCGTGATCGCTGGGTTCGAGGACGCTTGAGTTGCCGTAGCGCCGAAGCTGGTAGTGTTACCAGCTTCGAATGATTTCTGCGAGAAGAATGGGGTGTTCGTTGCGGACGGGGTCCCCTGGAAGGCAGAACCTGTGACAGTTCCCACTGTTCCTGTGGCTGTTCCGGTAGCTGTGACGGTGCCTGTGGACGTCCCGTGGGCCACCGATGAGATACTAGACGCGGTGCCCAAGGAGATCGAGATGCTGCTTCCGGTTCCAGAAGGTATAGTAATCGTGGAGCTAACAGTCGCCAATGGCGTAGTAGCACTGGAGCTACCAGATTGCACAGATGTTGAACCACTGGAGCTGGCAGAGTGCGATGACATGGAAACACTGGAGCTGCTAGTGTGGGATGACATGGAAACACTGGAGCTGCTAGTGTGGGATGACATGGAAGCACTAGAGCTGTGAGTGTGGGATGACATAGAAGCACTGGAGCTCTCGGAGGTCTTATGGGAAGCACTGGGGCTCTCTGAGGTCTTATGGGAAACACTGGAGCTTCCCTTCTCGGACTCCTTGCCTCCCTTGTCTCCAAATCCTTGTGAATTGGCATAGGTAACCAGCCCTATTGCGGCGAAGGCAAGGTTAAGGCGCATTTTCGTAGATCATAAACTGTAAACGAATGGAAATATTGACGCGTTCACCGAATATATCAAGACCCAACAAAAGACGTGCTGTTTGACAGGATAATCTCTACAGGGCCAGATATGAAGTGAAAAGGGAAGAAAGAGGGATGGTAAGGGACGAAGAATCTTATACCTACCTGTCCTTTCCCACATCGCACCTTCCTGTTTTTTCTCACTCCACTCTTACATATTTGTGGTCTTGTTGCAATTGTTCTACCATGGAGCTCGTCGCCGACGCGTAATAAGTGGCGTGCGGTTATAGGCGACGTCAACGCCAAATAAGCGCGGGTCTCCTAATCACACCACCCGAACATGGAAAGGGCATTGGAGTGGCCCTAGGGGCTGTCAAACTTGACAGGTTTGAGCTTCAAAACTAAGGTATAGGGGCCTTAGCCGCCTCTTCGGACTTATCCATTGCCAATTATTGGCTACTTGGAGCTTGACAGGATTCTGTCAACAGATGACGGGGATAGGGATACTATGGCATCATATGGATGGTTGAATCATTGGATCCTTGGATCCTTGAATCTTGAATCGTCTGATCTTGTTACGGCCTTGTTATGATCTTGCTGTCTGTAGTAACCACTCTACGAACTGTGCTCTTGGCTGCAAACTCACATATCAGCTGAGATACGTCAATGTTGGGCTACACCTACTTGCCACAGCCTTCATCATCTCTCGTTGTGTTACGACATAGCCCACAAGCATGCCCATAATCATAACCAAAAAGTCACCGGGATACTTAAAGCATTGGTAAACCAAATTCTTGACCTATATAACATTTCTATTCCGCCGACAGGTGCATGCTTGAGCAGCCACCAATTATAGAAACATCGAGGCAGATATCGAAGTGACGAGTTATCCTAATAACACAGGCTATAAACTAACAGCTACCTGTCTTCCGGTGCTCCCGAGAACAAACCAACTCGCATCCTGTGGCTCTGTAGCGTGTGTTAGCTTGCGCACTAGAGTATGCCGGACTTCAACGAGGGCACTTACAGATGGAAGCTTCGGTACTACCACGGCCAAGACAGCCAAGAAGTTGATCGTAAAATAAGTGAAGTCGTAATGTGTGTAGTGTGTGCTGAGCAAAAACAAAACGATAGGCACGCTAAGCAGAAACTTCTTCGCCGGGGTGTATTGGTCTCCGTTGTCAATTTGCTCCCACATATTCAGGTTGTCGTAGGCTCCCGAGTTGAACTCGAACGGAACACCGCGAACCCAATGGAACATCAGATAGGAGCCAAACATGTATGAGATGTTTGTCAGTGTCCACGAGGTTTCCTGTGAGACCCCCGGGATAATGTCGTAGAAGATCTTCAGGCAAGCAATAATAACAATGTGAATGGTCCATGCACCTGTACAGATAAATGTTAGCCTGAGTTCCACGAATGATTACCCTCAACATCTGCCAGACAATGTAACATGCAACGCCATATACTTCATCTTTGAAGCCGTTCAATAACATCGTACAATATACACCACCCTAACCCCAGTGATCCCGCGTACCCCAGACGAACGTGTTGACTAACCTTTCGCATTGACCCAGTTTGCATTCAAATTTGGCAGCGCAGCTTGATCGCTCATGTGCTCTATGCTCTCCGGAGGTTCTTGGTATAATAAACTGCTCGACCGTCTCCTCCTCCCCATCTTTTCCGCCGACATGTTTCGATATGCGTCACCTCGACGAGGAGGGGTTGAACTCCCGTCGTAGGAGATGGTGCGAGGGAGGAGCAGTGGTGAAGACAGCTTGGCGGTATTGGAGGGAGATATACTGAATGTATGGGTCACGCTTTGGTCGAGCGTGTGTATATTGAGAGATCGTATGGGCTCGACCCGGATGGATGATGATCGTCGATGGCCGTCGATATTGGGGACGATGGCCTGGTTATGCTTGGGCGTAGCTTGGTAGATTGGTCAGCACAAAGAGTTGGTTGGAATGAAAGAGCTCTGCATGGCATGAAGTTCAGACAGTCATAACAGAAGGCGACTTTCGCTCAAAGGTTCAGACTGTCTTGGACTGCACTGGTGCAGCAAGGTCAAACAACCGCTTACCTAGTGTATGTAACGACAGAATAGCGGTAGCGTGTTGTGTATATGGCCGATGAGATTTATATATCGACCAGAAGCTACCTGCTTCAATATGCTTCCTTTGTGGTGGTATTAGGGTGCTGTGGTACTTGAAAGTGTTGATAATATGGATATGTTTCTAGAAGCCCAGTCCAGGACGTTCGAATATGTTGCCCGAGATCTGATGCGTCGTGTTCGGAAGAACCCCTGCAGGCAGTCTTACTTCACTCGTCTACTCTACCACCTTCGGGCTACGGTAGCCCGATTGGCCCATTACCACCAAGCCGATAACGATAACAGATAAATTACTTAACCCACGCTTCTGTAGATTTTGATGATCCAAAAGGACTTGCGATTCACGACAACAGCAGCAGCACCACTCCGAACGGACGAGCATATCCGACTTGCAACGATACCGAATCGTAAGGGCAACTTGAACCTCATCTACGATAGTCTACTTTGAACAATGATCGCATAAGCTCGCCACTCCCCTCGGTCTTACCTCGACATGAGTACCGACGACACGTCAGACTCGAGGACGTCCTCCGTGAGCCGAAAACGCACTCTGCAACAATCAGTTGGCAATGCTGCCGAAGTAATTACGCAAAGCCCGACGTCTGATTCGGATGGAGGCCAGCCATCTGGACGTGCGAATAAGCGCGCCAAACCAAATGGCAACGGTGGTGTTGAGAGCGATAATGTCCCGGCAGAGACAGACAATTCAGCAAGTGCCGCTGAAGCCCCTGTTGAAAAACCCAAAGATGCGACAGCTGCGGCCATGTCATGGAACAAGGGCGTCCAAGCGACTGTTCGGACCTCTCTTGGTGGCGGCGCGAAAGCAGCGAAGAAGGCTGCTGGAGACAACAATCCACCCGCGGCTGAAAAGAGGCAAGGAGAAGAGCCACCTGTTGTGGGAGACACATCTGCGTCTGGACCAGACGTTTCTCATAATAAGACCAAGCGGGCAAAGATGACAAGAGCCCAGAGAAGAGCCCTTTCTGCCCTCGACGTCGCTACTACCAAGCCGGGAAAGCCTGCGGATTCAAACATACCTGAAATTTCGAATAGCATTGACGGCACTGCCCCCGAGATTATGAAGGGAAGCGGCCTTACTTTGCCTTCTCCAACCGAGAGACGAGCAAGGGAGAAGCCGGCTGGCTATATTACTCGCGACCTCAGAACCAACTTTGTCTATGAGTTGCTCATCAGGAACAGCAATGTTGTGGGTAAAATGGATCTAGATTCGATGGTTGCTGCATGCGACGCATATATGAACAAGAACTATTCTAAGATCGAGAAGAAATATGGGGCTGTACAGCTGAAAGACGAGTCCTTTATGGGGTTCTGCAGAAACCGACTGAAGGAGGCGAAAGCAGGCACGATGTCAGCGTCCAAACCCGTTTCTACTGCAAGTTCCATAAATGGGCAAAGTTTGGGAGACATTACAACTACAGATTCCACTGCAGCTTTGGCTGTGCATGGTCAGAGCAGTGCTGTCGAACATTCCACCATTCCAAATGACGGAAACCAGAAAGAAAGGCCAGCAGCAGTTGTTTCATTGATACCCGAGGATGCTGAGGATGATGATGAATACTCCCCTGAACTCGAACCCATGGTTTTGCCATCATGTAGTGCAACCCGAGAGACGGATCAGATCCTCAGTGAGGCTGAAGCTGCAATGATCAACAAATACTACCCAGGCTTGCCACGTGGCACAATCCGCTGCCTTACTTGTGGTAACAATGGGCACTTGGCCACCTCCTGCCCTCAGCTGAAATGCTCCACCTGTGGTGTCCATGGCATTCATTTCACAAACTCTTGTCCGAAAACCATACGCTGCAGTAAGTGCCACCAGCGAGGCCACCAAAAGCCCGCCTGTCCCGAGAAGCTCGCCCTCACCGAATCCGAGGGTGAAACTTGTGATATCTGTGAATCTGGGCACCACACTGAGGACTCCTGCCACTTTTTGTGGCGTAGCTTCAAACCAGACTTGGGATCGGTTCGGAAGGTTTGTAGCCTCGTGGCAGATTGCTATAACTGTGGTGCGGATGAACATTATGGCCCTGAGTGCGCTCTGAGTCGTAGTGCCTCGTTGACAGGAGGATACACATGGTCCATGGCAAATAGGGATCGTTATGTAGTCCCCAAGATGAGCATGCCTGCGATCTCAAATGGGAGAGATTACCTGCCGGCCAAGCCCCAGAACGGGTTCAGCATCAAGGGATCTGCCAAATCGAATCCCGTGACGCTTGATGATAGCGACGAGGAAGATTTCATCCGGGCAAAGATAGCTCCACCGCAACCGAAGGGCCACATACGCTTCACTGGCGGCTGTCAACCGCTTGAAGAGAGATACCAGCCTCAGCCTCCACCACCTTCCAGTTACCGGGAGCCACCGCTTTCAAACTCATATCGTGGGAATGATGAGCATTTCAGGTTCGGGGAGGGACAGCTATATAGCCCCCCACCCAGTTATCCTGATTATAACCAAGGACGGTATGATGATCAGTATCACAACTTTGATCACGATAACGACTACCGTTCCAATGGTCAGCCAATGTTGCCTTTTAGAGGCGACAACGATGGCCATCGCAGTGGTCCAAACCCCAGCAAACGCTCAAGAAAGGGCGCTGGTAATGGACCGCTTCGTCATGACAACGTGGCGCCTCCACAGTCTCTTGCTGGGAAGAAGAGTGGCCGTGGGGGTCGCAATAAAGGCGGACCTAGGGGTGGTGGTGGCCGAGGTGGTGCAAACAGAGGTAAGAAATAAAGCGTCGCCCTGTAAGGCTATGTGTCGAGTATGCAAGGCATTGTACATTTTGTTTCAAGATAAAGCATCATGAATGGTGCTGCATATGTGGTAACCAAGTTGAGTTATGCAAGTGTGGACCTGGTATAAGGGATCCTACTTGTTCGAAGGTTAGACCACTGAAGGTTTATGGAGTTAGCAAGACTTTAAAGTTGGGGGTACTGTAGAAATAATCCTGAAGTACAAGGTGTTACGTTCTTCAGAGTCCGAGTTACGCAGAAGGAGGCTGTTGTTACCCTGTTAGAAACTGAGTCAACCATTTACTCAAGGAGCAATGACTGAATAAATCAAAACATCCTACTTCTACAATCTTTCTAAGCAGCGCTCATTCAGCCTTAATTCTCATAGGGTCTTCATCCACTCGATATGTTCAATCATAGACCCTGGTCTAAATGCGGCAGAACATCTAACGCTAACCAAATTAGGCGATATATTTCACCGCCCGGGACTCCTGTGAACCAAGGAATGTCGGAGCCGAAACAATGAGGTAGCTTTGCCAGCCAAAAATCCCAACTACGAGACTCGTCCCCCAGAGCCACAGTACGCGCCCAGTATCCTCCTCGTATTGTCAATTGACATCTAATTGATCTACAGCGACGTCGCGAAAATGCCAGAGACCTCGATCCCCCCGCCACCAGTGGTCACGCGTCCCAGCAGGCCCGTCTCCGAGACGCTGCTAAATGAGAAGGTAAGGCTTTACAGCTCACCCTGGCGCGCCTAGCCAGTTTTATCTGGCCAATGCGAAGTTTGTAGAGCTTGTGCTGACCTGGCGTGATAGTGGGACCGCTGTCTCTCGTCTCTTCTCATCCGCTCGTCCCTCGGCCTGTCCTTCGGTGTCGTCTTCTCCGTCCTCATCTTCAAGCGCCGCGCGTGGCCTGCTTTCGTCGGCTTGGGCTTTGGTGCCGGGAGGGCGTACGAGGAGTGCAACTCTAGCTTTATCAGGGCGGGAAAGGGACAGTCTAGGTCATAAACTATGCATCGGAGGGAATGATGGGGCGTGTTTGTTTGATACGAAGAATTGAGGATCGAATACAAATAGGATTGGAGTGGGGGAATTGTACAAGTACAAACCGAGAGCGACAGATAGAGATCGAAACATACAGCAAATAAGATGGTGGTTGTCCATTTTCTGTGTTTTTATCCACGCGACCAATGAGCCCAAGAGGAGATATAAACACCACTTATATTGTCACGGCTTGACAACGTGCGAGTTATCCCATTCCTGTCCTTTTCTGACGTTCAATTCCGCCTTCTCGGCTCATTTAGCCCCAGCTTCTCTCCCGTCGACTCTCCTTTCTCCGTATCCTCGTCTTCCGTTTGCCCTGCTACACTTACCCTCCCCGAGGTATTACTGCATTCCCCCAGCTCCACCCATGTATCCTTATCTTTCAGCCTTTTTGCCTTCAATTTCAAATACCTCAAAACTTTCTCGCTGAGCCTTGCCTGTCCTCGGTGTTGTGGTCTCAAATAATCCAGTCCAACAAGCGCGAGCCAAGCCAAAAACAGGACCGTTACTGTCATACTGAGAAGCAGGACGTAGAACTCCAAGCAAGTGATTCGAATTTCCCATTCTTCAAAGCCGGTGCCGGAAATGCCATGGGTCTGGAGGTGAGTGCGAGAGAGGAACGTTTGGGGCCGCTGGGTGAAGGTAGCATGAGGTATGTTTGTCATTGACCTCGAGTGATCGCTAGGCGACGGCGCAAGGGTAACAGTTGTGATGAGATATGAAATTCGTGCATCTTGTGCCTAATAAGAGCGACTCTTCATCCCAATCATGGACAAGGATGGAATACTGCCGCGGTGCTCTGGTTTGGTTCCGGGTCAATGATGATGTGAAGCCCTGACATGATAACAATGTTCGTTGTTTAGAGGAATTGCTATAGGATTTTTGAGGTATGATATTTCATTAAAATAATAAATTGGTTTTAGTAAGACACGAACGGAACGCTTGAAAAGACGTTGGGTATCCGAACCACTTGTGGTTGATTATGTGTCGCTCCTTCTCCAAAACCAAAATAACGACCAGCTATGCAGAAAAAGACAACTCTGAAGGCCATTTTCAAAGGTTAATACACCATGATCCATTCCAGCTCGTCTGAAAGTTATCGGAAAGTATCCATCAAGTCGTTCAAATATTCCACGACCTCGACATCTTGTCTAAGTATATCGTTGACATTATTGAAGCAACTTGAGGCTTTGTACAGACGCAGTTGCTGTTCAATAAAGCTCAAGTGCTGTTCGTTCTGGACACAAGATGCCAGTCAGCCATCAAATTACTTGAAAGGTTAAGATGGGTGCTGGGAGCTCTATAATGCTCGGGATATAGGCTTTGGCACTGAAAGACAGAGTGCCACCACCCTCTCGAGCACGACAGTAACATGAAGGATGACATCTAATAAATTCTGGACTTACTGCAGATCTAGAAGCCCAGAGGGACTGCATCCAGCCGAGGGCATTATAAATGGTACTTTCCGTGTCCCATCCGAATTCTTGTTGCTTCTCATCTACAGCTTGCAAGAATCTCGTGGTTGCTTGAAGAAAGACATGGCAGTGCTTGAGGACCTCAGGACAATTAGGCTTCTCGATTGCTATATCTTTCACCGGAATATTCAATAGGCTGAGTAATTCTCCGTTTAAATACGTCAACGAGCCAGCCACAACCTAGTACCAATGAGCCAAAGGTGCCTAATAGTGAGGACAACCGTATAAAAAAAATTACATCTTCGATCTCGTCTTTTGAACTCTCGTTGTCTAATATTACCACTTGGGCAGGATTTCCTTTATGAGCTGACTTCAAAGCTCGTATCTTCTCATTGCAGTCTTTGGTGATGGATCTCAATGAATCTATGTCCTCCAGCGTAATATGGGCACTTGTAACCCAAGCTAGCACCGTGGCTGCAAAAACACTAACAAGTCTGATTTGAACCATCCTAAAGCTTCATCGACTGGAACAATGAGGCTCTCTTGTTAAATCAAAGTTGAGCTGTAGAGCGAGAGGCTGGAGTTGTCACGAATACGTGGTGTCTCTGAATGTTGGTGCCTCGGTATTGTGTCAGCCTGGATACAACAGACTTTAGTGGCTGATAAGGCTGATAAGAATTGTGGCGCTACCCCACGTTCCACGTCGCTAGGTCCAAATTGATTTTAGAGGAACCTTTTGGCCATTTATCGCAACGTTAATAGAACGTTGAGCAGGATGCCACGAGATCCTCTCATCGGTCTAGTGGGCAAACCCAGCAGCGGGAAGTCTACTACTCTGAATAGTCTGACTGACGCTACTTCAAAAGTTGGTTGGTAGTTTTCAACGCCGGCGCGAGAAGGCTCGTACTGATTCCTTACAGGCAACTTTCCGTAAGGATAATTATAACAAGTATGTGTAGTTTGACTGACTTTATACGAATAGATTTACTACCATCGACCCAAATCGAGCTACGGGATACCTACAAATAGACTGCGCTTGTGCCAGGTACTCTGTCGAAGACAGGTGCAAGCCGAATTATGGATCTTGCAAGGATGGACGACGCTCGGTGCCGATAGAGCTACTCGATGTTGCCGGGCTGGTACCAGGCGCCCATGAAGGGAAGGGGCTGGGAAACAAGTTCTTAGACAACCTTAGACTCGCGGACGCGTTGATACATGTCGTTGACGTGAGCGGCACGACCGATGAGGAGGGAAAGGCAACACGAGGCTATGACCCGTCCCAAGATATCGCCTGGCTACGCTCGGAAATTGTACAATGGGTTTTAGGCAACTTGATGGTGAAATGGGGCTCGATCAAGCGCCGACACATCGCAGTCAAGGCTACAGCTGTCGAGACTTTGCAGGGGCAGTTTTCGGGGTACGGATCTAATGCGCAAGTAGTAGCACGCACTTTGGACCGCATGGGCCTTAAGGAGCCGCTGGAACACTGGTCAGATGAGACAGTAGCGAAAGTCGTTAATGCCTTTGTGGACGAGAAGTTCCCAACCATCATTGCACTGAATAAAATCGACCACGCGGACTCGGACAAGAATATCGCCAAAATTGCCAAGATGCAGGACCCGAATTCGATTGTACTGTGCTCAGCAATCTCCGAGGTATTCCTAAGGAAACTTGCGAAGCAGGGCTTTATCAAGTATACTGAGGGAAGCGACTTTGTAGATACGAGAGCGGATCTCATCGCGGATGGTGACCGCGAGGGCGGTGGGCTAAAAGAAATGGATGAGAAGCTCACATCAAGGATCGAGAACCTAAAGGATTTGGTACTGTACCGGTTTGGCTCCACAGGAGTCGTCCAGGTATTATCAAAAGCTGCGGAGCTGCTTGGACTGGTTCCAGTGTTCCCCGTGCGGAACGTCTCGACGTTTTCATCGGGCCAGGCAGGGTCAAATGCGGTATTTAGAGACTGCGTTCTTGTCAAGAAGAATACTACAGTCGCGGAAGTTGCTCGCAAGGTCATGGGAGACGCCCCCTTGGCTTATGTAGAAGGCGCAGGCGGCGTTAGAGTATCACTGGATCATACCGTCTCCGTAGGGAAGCATGATGTAAGTTCTCATTATTGCCAGGAAGGTACCCAAATAGCTAACCATGAGTCAGATACTATCATTCAAGTTTGGCCGAGAATAGGTGCAGGTATAGAGGTTCGGGGATGTGGCTTTCTGGGACACGGTAGCATATGGAAAAGCGTTTGACCAAGAACATCTAGGTAACAGGCGTTCACCTACCATGAAATGGTAGATTTTAAATAGGCGTTCTCATGGACCTAGCAATTTGTAGAGTGTTGCGCCAAACAATTCCTGCAGATCTATCTCTCATGGCCCCTTTCATCGTTCATTCCCACCACTGGATCCGGCGCCTTGGGATATTCGGCCTTGGCCTTCTCGTTGCAGTGATGATTGTCTCGCTCGCTAGTCGCAGTGTCTGGATCGCCTGACTCCCTCGCCGCTATGCCTGCCTTGAAGCCTCAACGTATACACCGTTTTTGTCCTTCGTCTTGGTGATATGGTCTTTGCCTGTGGATCCTATTCCGTGGGTTTTAATCTCTCGTTTCCATAGTGGCGTGTTGCTTAAGCCTCGTGTGACTACGGTGGTGCCGGGACGTGGGCATAAGAGTGCCGTGGCTAGTAATCGATAATTATGCTGCATTGTAGAGTTGCATTTAAAGAATATCTCATTAATTTACTCGTTATTTTCTGTTATTATAGAGCTGCTATTAATACGTATACTAATTTGCATTACTGTGGTTTGGTGTCGTCATAACTACGGTGCGTGTAAGTATGGAGCTGGGACAACGTTTCTCCAAGAGCTCTAGCCGACGCCGAACTAACGTTATATGCGGAGAGAGCTTCTGACGGCTCCAAGTACAACAATCTTTGCCCGCCCGTTAACAAGAGAGCACCAATTTTGATATTAGGAAAAATGCGGCCACCAGCTCTACCAGTATCAAGTTTGCGTACTTGGGCCAAATTTAATGGTATAGAATTTGAAGATATATCTGTTGAGAAGAATAAGGAATATGGAGGCTACGGCGTCGTTTCGACCACCAAAATCGATTCGGCCCCGGAACAAGAGGGTAACCTAACCGTGTTGAATGTCCCCAAAGATCTTATATTGAGCGCCGAAACCATTGCAGAGCACGCAAAGGTTGATAAGCATTTCGGACAGATTCTGGAGGCTGTTGGTGGAAGTGTAGGTGTGCGCTTGTCGATCACATGCAACGTATAACTAATGGCAACCCAGACGTTACGTGGGGATGTAATGCTCTTCTTGTTGATGCAAGTGACAAGAGCTTCATCAGATCCAAGTATTAAATTCAGTGTTCGGGGTCCGTGGACTGAGTATGTCAAAATGCTGCCGGAATACATTTCTCTGCCGACAGCGTGGCATGATGACCAGATAAACCTCCTTAATGGAACGTCTCTAGAGGTAAGGCTCTCGAAAGCCATTAGAACAGCTTTGTCCATAAATGTTACTGGGAATTGCTTACGCTCTCGCCCTCTAGAAAGCTGTTGCAGCAAAAGTTTCAGCATTAGTACGGGAATTTGAGACTCTCCGAGAAAATACAACAGAGATCCCCTGGTGCCACAACGCTTGGTGGGAGACGGAGCATCTTGAATTCAAGGATTGGATCCTTATTGATTCCTGGTATCGATCTCGGTCTCTAGAGCTGCCTCTTTCAGGAGAGGCAATGGTGCCGTTTCTGGACATGGCGAATCATTCAGCAAACGCAAATTCGCACTATCAGCAAGGGATTGACGATGAAGTGCTCTTGCAAGTCAAGCCCGGGCAGCACATTGAAAAAGGGGAGGAACTAACTATTGACTACGGCTCTGCCAAAAGTGCCGCTGAGATGCTTTTCAGCTACGGGTTTATAGACGACTTGTCTTCTGTGCATAGCCTCGTCCTTCATATCTCGCCTTCTCCGGATGACCCCCTTGGCAAAGCTAAGGTTATGATTTATGGCAAACCCCCGACGCTTCACATTTCAGCGACCGATGACTCTCTGGAGCTGACGTGCCCATTTATCTATCTTATGTGTGTTCACGGAGATGATGGGTTGGATTTTAAGGTATTACTGGAAAATGATGGGACATATGGACAAATGCGGGCATTCTGGAAGACTACGGATATTACCGACTCCATTAACAGCTTCAAGGACATTGTTACTGCGGATCCTCTTGCTGATGTATTTCTCTTACGAGCAAAGGTCCTCTTAAGATATATAGTGGACGAGCAATTGGAACGACTGAGTGAGAGCGAGCATACGGCGAACGAGCTCGATCCCAACCACAAGAGCCTGTCAGTGAGTGACAAAGGGATTCCAGAAGCTGCATCGAAGCTCCGCGTGATCGAGGCAGGACTTCTCAGCAAGAGCTTGGAATTATTAGAGGCGGAGGTATGTTTGTTGAGCTGCTCTTACTAAACATCACTCAACATTTTCATTAACATGCATTTAGATCAACACGCTATCATCAAGCCCTATAGTGCGTGAATATTTAGGCAGTTCAGAGGCACAGGACGCACCAGCGGCCGGAGATAACGACGAGAGCGAAGATTTTAGCTGAGTCCTTGGCAGTTAGTCATACGCAGTTCATCGCATAGGAGTAAGCATAGACTGCGCGTGAACCCCCAATTAAGCTTGACCACGACAGCGGATCAATAATTCTCACTGGCATCCGCTTCATATGGCAGTTGGTGGTGGGGAACTTTGCGGGGAGAGCCAAACACGCATTTAGCGGGCCGCAGTGGGACGCCATTAACAAGTTTTCATGTCAGCTAAACAGGGGAGCCAAACTACTTCTCCTGTATTCGAGACGAAGTTAAAGAGTAATACGACTCTACAGGCGCAAGAGTTGCACTTCGTGTCGTGCGGCGGTTTGGACATGTACTTTCCGATTGGTGGATCAAGGATCGATCAACATGACCACGTTTTTTTTAGGCTGATGGAAATGAGGACGCGTCATTGGTCCAACGCATAAGAGCCGGACGAAGGGCTTAAAGCGACAGAACATGGCAAGCTTTCTGGAAATCCTAGCGAAAGAGACTGGCGAACTCGTCGGCGTTGAGTAGTCCTAAAAGGCGAGGTGATCTTCGAGATCTCTGCCAAGTAGAATGGACGATTTGATTCTGATAGTCGATCTGAAGAGAAGATCGTAAATTTAGGCTTAAGCGTCTCTCATGTGCTCCCCGCGTTGTGCTATATTGATGGTGGATATGGGTGCCAGTGACTTTCTATCCTGGCCAGGGCATGGCAGTGTTGGGGTGCATCTGTGACCAGGAAACCCACAGCGATAGATTCCCTTGTCGTGGCGCAAAATCAGGGACCTTCAAATTCCTCATTTGGCATTCCGATTATGTTTTGCCGAAATGTTTCACCGAGTCGTACGTGTCGTGTTTCGTTTATTCCGTTATAGACGATATTCTATCGGTGGTATATACTGTAGCCCGCTGGTAGCAGGGAGTCGCAGGCATAGAGAGAAAAGGAGGCGACTCTGAGACCTTCTCCCCCGCCTTTTCATACTGGAGCCGCGTCTGCTAGGACTTTAAACCTTGATCATATAGAATTTCAGAGGAAGAGAGAGTAAAGCATTGCGATCCAATACTGAAGTAGACATTCCCAATCAACCCACAGCCTCCACAAAAACCTCCACATCCCCAACAAATCGTGGGGAGAATTCTCCACCTTACCCGAAAACCCCGCTGGTTTAGGGACGCTAACCGCCGTCTACTAAGCCATCTCGTGAGCACGAGTGGGACAGAGCGGGATAGAGGACCACAGTAACGTAAACATAGCGCCTTCTCCCTGTCGCCTGCATCGGCACCTCCCTCACTCACACCACAGAACCTCATTTCGCTCACGCTTTGCCATCTCCAACTGCTAGACTCAACACTCTTCGAATGCTGTGGATGTCTTCGCATACCATACCCCTACTTATTGCGCCCACTGAGCCTGTCACTCACTCAATGTTCGTAACGATATTCGACGCAGGGACAAGTGCTAGCGCTGAATGAGGACCCTTATTGGCGTGGACGCGCAAAACCCGCCCCAGCCGTGGTCCCAACAGCCGTCGCGAAGATGCCTGGAATTCTGCCTATGAAAGTGATCAAGGTCGGGACGACCGCGCAGAGCCGGATAGCACAGGCCTGCGATCGTTGCCGAAGCAAGAAGATACGATGCGATGGGATTCGGCCGTGCTGTTCGCAATGCGCAAACGTCGGATTCGAGTGCAAGACGAGCGATAAGCTTAGCCGACGAGCGTTCCCACGAGGATATACCGAGTCGCTGGAGGAGCGGATTCGGGTGTTGGAAGGAGAGACTAGGGGGTTGAAGGACTTGTTGGACGAGAAGGACGAAAAAATCGATATGCTGTCGCGGATGCACAATAATCGAAGGATATCGAATTCGCCGTTGAGTTCATCGCCTGTTGTCATCGAAAACCCCGCAGACTCCCCGCAAAACAAAGACGACACCTTCCGAGTGCAAGCAGTGCCGTTGCAGCTCGAGTCAGACGTGTCGGACTCGACGTTTATGGGACCCTCGACCGGGAGGACGTTTGTTGGTAAGAGCGATACCAACTACTTATTTGCGCTATCGCTAACCGTATATTATAGATGCATTCAATCGCAAGCTTCGTGACAGTGGGAAATCATGCTCTGGATACAATCTAGGGACCTTCCTCGCGCCACGAGAAGACTTCGTGACTCGGAGAAGCTCATCTAACGACCCCAACATCCCTCCACGTATGTTTTCTGATCGGTGCATCAACATATTCTGGCAGGAACATGCGCCGCTCTTCCCCGTTCTTCACAAACCAACATTCCTGCGATTGTATGAAGAATACATCGCGGATCCCGAACAAATGGTTGATGACCAGAAGTTGGCTAAGCTCCACCTTGTCTTCAGTATCGCGGGATTCTCAAGCGACCTACCCGACAAAGATCACATCGCTCGTTGCGAGGAGCAGTGGCAAAGGTCTCTCAATGCTCTCCTCATGGATAGTACACTTGGTACTCTACAGTGCCTTGTCCTTGCCTGCCTGTATTGTTCTCAGACTGGGCAATACAAGTCATTGCAAACATACAAGGCCATAGCTGTTGCGCTCGCACAGAGATTGGGACTACACCAGAGCCAGAAACGCTTCTCCTACAGCGCTTTGACAATCGAGACGAGGACGAAAGTATTCTGGTCTCTGTATACGGTTGATTGGTGAGTACCGTGTCTAATGTGACTGTAACTTTTACTGATTACTATAGTTTTTCGGCTGCATCTATGGGTCTGCCACAGTTGTTACAAGATTCGGATATCGAGACAGAATATCCACTACCCATCGACGATGAGTATGTCGAGGAGCGGGGATATCTTCCTACGTTACCTGGAGAGTCCTCGAATATATCAAGCGCCCTGGCCCTTTTCTGCGCTTCACGGATTCTCTCCAAGGTTTTGCAGCGCTTATATCCTGCGAACACGTCCAAGGACCTTTCGTTGAATACCATGACGGATTTGGAGAACGAATTGACCGAATGGTCGGAACAGCTACCACCAAACCTCAAGCTTACGTTTGTGCAAGATAAGCCATCTACTGACGTGACTGGGAATCGTTCTGCTCTTCTGGTAAGTTTGATATAACTGTGTCGAGTTTCAGGGTCCTAACCGTCATAGTCACTTGCATATTACCACATTCGAGGGTTGATACATCGTCCTGCTGTTGGATCGACTCTTGGCCTTAAAGCGTCTCCATCTCTTATTTATGTTGCGGATTCTAGTAAACACGCCATCCAGATTATACAGTTGCTCGAGGAGAGAAGCATGTCGTTCTCCTTCTGTGTCAATAAGAATGAGATGCTCACACTATGCGGGTTGAGCCTGCTCTACCAAGGATTGGATCTTAAGAAAGAGGGGAAACTGCTGAAAGATGGGCAACGCCTCGTCAGCGCAGTTGAGAACTACCTCGACGTGTTCAAAGCACCAGGCGCAGCCGACTTCCGTAAACTTGTCAGCTCCCTTGCGCCCACCGAGACGTCGAAGACATTTGATTACGGGGGCCAGAATAATACCACGGCACAAGCACATTCGCAAGCTGGACGACAAGTCCACTTGCGCGCAACATCACGGTACACCAACCCGTCCAGCGACATGGAACTTCTCCAACAACAGGAGCGCATGCGCCGTGCAACCCTGGGCAGCATACCCATGCTCAGCCTCGGTATCCAATCGGGCTCTCGCCACAAGAAGCCGGACGCGGCATTCTGTAGTAAAAGCTACCACAGCTCTGCACCGTGTCAGTCGCAGCCGCCACCTACGCCATCGCTAATTTCAACTAGCACTAAACCACGCTCAAGCTCCAACTCGGAAGCAGGGCCTCATCTTAATTACCTTGCGCTTAATTCCGCGCCATCCTCTGATGGACTACGCAGATCTCGTAGCGTAGCCCAGCAGCGCAACAATGAGACCCAGCCGCAGCAGTACAAGACGCCAAACTTGGCGCCGTCGGAGTGGGAGGCCCTCCTCGGCTCGCTCGACAGCGGGAATAGCAACATCTTCGATGCGGTGTATGGTGGTGCTGTACCGGGTATGCCAGTAGCCGTCTCCGGTACTACAAATGCAGGTGGCCAGCACACGGGTAGTCTCTCGTCGTCGGGCTATGGCGATTGGGACCTGTCGCCCGAGACGTGGGATATGACAGCTCTTAGCATGGGGGACTTGGACGCGTCGGCTACGACGCAGAGTGTGTTAAGCCTTAGCGAAGAGAGCCTTAGCAGCGGGGATGATCTCGATTTTGGGGTTCCGGGAGCGCTAGGCGAGTATAACAGTCTTTGCTACAGGGTGGCTTGAATGGCGAAGGGTTTTATGTCGATGGCTTGGATGGGAATTTCGGGTTGTCTTGATTGAGATATACCAGCATGGAGTCTGGTGCTTGGGAAGGCGCGTGATGTGAAAGTGGCGGTGAGAAAGGGGAGTTTCAATTGGATGATTTACGAGATAATTTCTCGCTTGCTTTTGACCTATAGGATCGATCCCGTATCCCAAGTTTTGGATGTAGTAAATAGCTGTGATATATCACAATCGGTGACTAAGTGGGTGATTGGCCAAGGTCAGGGGTTTACGCCAGGGTAGTAGCCAAGCTCCAGGTCGACGTGAAATAGTGATGAGCAAGGACTGTGTAACCTCGAATGTAAATGCTTCTCCTATTCTCAGCCTTGCGTTCAAACAAACAAGTATTTTTCGTTGTCGAAATGGCGGCCCTTGTATTCATTCCTTTCCTTTGTTTCCCTTCCCCGTAATTAAAAGCAGCCTTCCTGAGCTCCAACACAGCTTATATGCTAGGTTTTCTGGTGGTTGATTTAACATCTAAATGGAGCCATCGAAAGTAGAGTCATATGATCCCAAATGGCGCAATGTGCATCTTCGATCGATTTACAAGGAAGCGGAGGAATATGATGTTGGTCCGTTGCTACGCAAGTGCATTACATTGTCATCACTGCACAACCTACTTTTGGGCCAAGACCCCTTCGTTCCTAGTTGGATTTCTGTTGATGGCGATACAAAAAACCCAGAATTTTGGATTGAGACCCTGACTGAAGTCTCTGCTCGTTCCAGGGAGTATATCTGTGCCAGCTCGGCCTCGTTTCATGATTTATTGGAAGGGCGATCTCAGGAACTTTGCACATCGCATGCCCTCGCTCATTTACGCAAGAACATGAACCTTTACAGCCACTCCAACGGAACTCCAAATGCCAATGGGAAGCGGCCACGGAGCGATACAAATGGGCCGCCTTTAGGAAGCCCTCAACCCACCGGTTCATCTCCAAAAATCCTGCAGAAGCCAAAGCTCACACTTAAGAAGTGGCTGGAGATATGTAACGGATCAAGGACGAGCTGGAAAGATATCCATGCCGAATGGAACCAGATGATTCTCCGATCCAAGTCAGCAAAGATCAAATCCTGGGATAACCTTGAGAGGAACTGGGAACCTCAGGGGCTTACGCTGTCACTAGGATACTTCACTGATATAACCATAAAACTTGCTCGGAAATGCAGCTCGTTGATTTCCGAGCTTTCGAGGGGACGAATAGGATCCAATAACGCACCTCCTCCAAGCTATATCCCACTTGTTCGCGGGCTTGACAACCTATGGCCAGCAGCTAAGAATACCGAGTTCGAACGCTGCATCCAGGAAGTTGTTCACGGCAATTTCAGGCCTCAGGCGACCGCACAACTACTGGGATACATACTCGAACTGGCACGGATAATAAAGGGGTCTACGATAACCGTGCCGCGAAAATCCCAACAAGCCGAACTCAAAAATGCAGAAGCCCTAAGTCGCCGGCAAGCCCGCCAATTCAAAGAGGAACAGCTGGAGAAGGACATCAAGAAAAGGGAGGAGTTGTGCCGCCAGGCGGAAGAGGATTTTGGACGAGACACCTTGGCCCTCGACGATGAACGTGCCTCGGTTGATATGGTTTCAGCAAAACTCAGAGAAGCGCAAGCAATGTGCGATGAAAGGGAGAGTACATTGGCAGCGAATGAAGCATTTTGTGCAGATAGAGAGGATGCATTGGCAGCGAAGGAAGCATCTTGTGCAAAGAGAGAAAGTGCATTGATGGTGAAAGAGGTGTCTTGGACAGCGAGAAATGGTACGCTGGCGGTGAAGGAAGCGTCTTATGAAGTACGACAGGGTACACTGGCAGCGAATGAAGCATCTTACGCAAAGAGACTGCGCGTATTGGCGACGAAGGAAACGACATTCACAGAGAGATGGGATCGCACAGCAAAGGCAGAACTTGAGCTTCGAAAGAAGTTGGAGACCTATGAAGCAAACCAAAAATTACTTCTCGAGGGACAAAGCCGTACAAAGAACGGTGATGACAGCCATGCTAGAGACAAGGCTGCGATGGCGAAGCGAGAAACCGCAAACATGAGAAGGGAGAAGAATCTTGCGGAGAGAGAGCAAAGATTGGATGCTCAAGAAAAGAACATAATGTCACATCGGGCGTGGATATCCATGAAGGGGAATGCAGCAACTGACCGTGAAAAGGAGTGTGCCACCAAGGAAGCGGAGTTCAAAGAAAGGGAGGAGCGTTATGCGAGGGGCAGGCGACAGTAGCAAGTGAGAGACAGGAACTTGAAACCCAAACATCGGCGTTGAGACAGGACCAGGCGCTCTACCAGCAGGCGAAAGAAGCGTTGAAAGCAAGGGAGGAAGTGCAAGACAAGGAGCGCGCCGCAGCAGTAACTGAAAGGCAGGAAGTTGAATCCCAAAGATTGGCATTGAAACAGGATCAGTCTCTCTACCAAACAGCGAAGGGGGCATTGAAAGCAAGGGAGAAAGCGCAAGACAAGGAGCGCGCCACATTAGCAAGCGAAAGGCAGGGAGTTGAAGCCCAAAAATGGGCGTTTAGAGAGGACCAGGTGGTCTACCAGAAAGCGAAGGAGAATTTGAAAGCAAGGGGGGAAGCACAGGACAAGGAGCGCACCGCAATATTAAGCGAAAGGAAAGGGGTTGACACTCAAAATTTGGCATTTAAGCAGGACTTAGCCCTCCACCGAGAAGGTAAAAAGACGTTAAAGGCGAATAGTGAAGCGTTGGCTCAGGAGCGGGCAGCAATATTGTGTGAACAGAAAGACATGGCAGCGGCACAAAAGGCCTTTGAAAACAAAAAATCGGCATTGAGAGCGGAGCAGGTCGCTATGTCTCACAACAAGCAAGAAGTCGCAACTGCAAGAAAGACCTTAGAAGACGAGAAGCTGGCGTTAGGAGCAGATCTGGCCGCTCTATCCGGTGAGAAGGAAGCAGCAGCAGCGGAAAAGAAGGCCTTAGAAACCGAAAAATTGGCATTGAGCGCGGAGAAAGTGCTCTACGAAAAAGACAAAATTGAGTTGAAAGAGAAGGTAAGAATCAACTTGCAGCAGGTGCAGGAGATGCAGAGGTCCCTCTCTACTTGGTGATTTCAGATCATTGCTACATCAACACATTTATCATTCACAGGGGTAATCTAGCTATAAGAGTCATTTCTATTATAATTGAGATAATTAAACTGATTTTCAGTTTAATGATCTTCTAGGTCAGTTATTGCAATACTTTAGAACGTGGGTGCTTGGATTAACTATTCGTATTAGTTTAACGCCCACCCCATTTTACACCCAAAATCATGAATTTTGTAACTAAATATATTACCTACGTACAAGCTAAATCCGTGGCAGTTAAGAGCAGACTTGGAGCTAGATTAGAGCTCGGCGGTAGCTAGGCCAAGGCGGTTCGTTGGGGAGGCTCTCTGGAGAGTGCGACAAACAAAATAAAACGACCTTCCTTTTACAGGAGCATGTGCTATTTACTGTAGTACTCTATAAATTTCGAATAGTAACTTTTATATCTACAATCGTAGTGTATTTGCCGTTGTATGGCGATTATACAAGACAGTTAACTGCCCCAAACCTGGCTCTTAGCATGCAACCTACGGATTTGGGTGGCATTAACCGCAATCGGCGATGGTATTTGGCGGTGAGCGTTGTTCTGCCACAAAAATTCTCCCCGCACCTACAAGCGACCATGGCACAAACAAATCAACCTCAACCTAGCTTGGGTACTAAAAGGTCAATCACAATTGCTACCAAATTACTATCACGATTTAGGCCCTACTCCTGTCGCCCTTTACCATATCCATCGAAGAGTATTTCTCTGGCAAAACCTTTTTCTCACTCAAGCTTCAAGATGTCTGAAATCACTCACCCCACCATCAAGGGTAAGCTAGCTACCCCTCCATGCCAATGACGAACATGAAGTTTTGGGCGCTCCCGGGTCTTGCTTCGAGGTCGTTGGCATCAGAGTCCAATTTACTCGAGTCTACGGCCCTGAGATATCCTGCAATGGAGAACTTCAGCGTTGCTCTCATAGCTACCCCGCACTTGTAGCCTTGCTACCGACAGAGCACCTGCTAACGAACCTCGTACAGATGGATGGTTCCGCGAGATCTCCGACATGTGGCCCGGACAGGCCATGACCCTCAAGGTCAAGAACGTCCTCCACCACGAGAAGAGCAAGTACCAGGATGTCCTCATCTTCGAGTCCACCGACTACGGCACCGTTCTCGTTCTCGACAACGTCATCCAGTGCACCGAGAGGGATGAGTTCGCATACCAGGAGATGATCACCCACTTGGCGATGAACTCTCACCCAAACCCCAAGAAGGTCTTGGTCATCGGTGGTGGTGATGGTGGTGTCCTCCGTGAGGTCATCAAGCACGACTGTGTTGAGGAGGCCGTCCTGTGCGACATTGATGAGGTAGTCCCCGCAACTACCCTGAAAACAAAAGCAATATATCTGACACTCTGCAGGCCGTCATCCGTCTCTCAAAGAAGTACCTTCCAGGAATGGCCATCAGCTACCAGCACCCCAAGGTCAAGGTCCACGTTGGAGATGGCTTCAAGTTCCTCGATGACTACAAGAACGAGTTCGACGTCATCATCACTGACTCCTCTGACCCCGAGGGACCCGCCGAGATGCTTTTCCAGAAGCCATACTTCCAGCTTCTGTTTGGAGCTCTCAAGGAGGGTGGCGTTATTTCTACGCAAGGTTGTACGTTCTCCTAGGTTTGCGTGCTTTTATCGCTCTCGTTTGCCAGCCAATTTGGCGACATCGTGTTTTCATATACCAGTGCCGCCGATCAGTACTTGCTTCACTTGATACTGTCTGCATTTCTGGTTTCTGCGTCGTCAATGAATTGCGAAACTTCTAGAGGCAACCTTACCACTTGAGCGCTGCTAACCTAGGTATTCCCCATATCCATTTCACAATGCTGACTGAGACCGAATAGCTGAGAACCAGTGGCTCCACCTGCCATTGATCACCAAGCTCAAGAAGGACTGCAAGGAGGTCTTCCCAACCGTCGAGTACGCCTACACTACCATCCCCACCTACCCCTCGGGCCAGATCGGCTTCATGATCTGCTCCAAGGACGCCACCCGCGACATGAAGACCCCGCTCCGTAGCTTCACCGCCGAGCAGGAGGACTCGCAGCTCCGCTACTACAACGCGGATATCCACAAGGCCAGCTTCATCCTGCCCACCTTCGCCCGCAAGGCGCTCCAGTAGAGCAGGATAGGAGGAGGGCATGATTATGATTTGACGATATCGAGGAGGATATATTACTGGCTGTTGGGTGTGATTGCGCCATCCTGATAGCCAGTTTTGGCGTCGCTTTGATGGGCAGGTCTTCGTCCGCAGCGTCGGGTAGATATCATACTTTGACTAAGCGGGATGAAAGCAATATTAGAGTTCTCTCCCAAGAGCATCTTGTGATTCCGAGTTCGCTGCCATCATATATGTTATAGTAATATTGATACAATCGGGACGCTACAGGACACGATAGCAGAACAGCTATCGGTCACCCACATCGGCTCCTGCGGTCGCTCCGACTCAGGGTGATGGGAGGAAGGAGGGGTAGGATGGGGAAGTTGGGGCGGCCTATGGGGCCTAGGTGGGGGAAGACCCTGTGTCGGAGGGGACTCGGGCATGGCCCTTCGTGTGGGGTCACTTCGACCCTTCGTCTCTCATGGTGGTAGCTGCTTGTTGCGACACCGGTGAGACGTTTGGGAAGGGTGACTCCTGCAAGGGTTACGGTGGTGAGTGCGCCCTGGCTCGGAGGGTATTTAGTTTAGAGTCGCAGATAGTAACGACTCTGTTTCTTCCGCTTTGTCTTTCCTTCCGTGATCGTAGTTTTGTTCCTCTCCCGTCTCCCATGCTGTAACCCATCCGAGTAGTTCTCGAGGTGGACCTGGTAACTCTGGGTATTCTGTGTGAAACTCTCTGAGTTTATGGGGAGAGTTCATGAAGTTCGACGCTGGGTACCACTCCGGGTCCGGATCGTATCCGACCCAACTAACCCGGTATTGTAGTTGCTTCCAGCGGAGCCTTACAGCAAGGATCTTTTCCACTTCCCATCCTCTATGCTGTCTATCACTTCGCTGCTAGGCTCAGGCGGATCCTGACCAGGTAGGGGGTTGTTCGGATCCTTCATGAGGACGTCTGGTGAGAACACATCGTGTATTTGAGAACCGGTAGGTAGTTCCAATCGAAACGCGTGCCCAATCCGTTCCAACACCGTATATGGTCTGACCCATTGTTGGCCCAACTTGCGGCTAGGGCGAGAGTTTTTCAAATTTTTGGTCGATAGGTACACCCTATCTCCTACGTCCCAGTCGATGGCCCTTCAGTGTCGATTCACGTGCTTAGACATTTCCTCTTGTGCCTTTGCCATGTTTTCCTTTGCGTGGACCCATGCGGTATGCATTCGGACTGCAACCGCCTTGGCTTCCTCTCGGTTTAGGGTCTCCCGGGGGTTGGTGCTTGTCAGAGTATTCCAATCCCAACTCGTACGCGGATCGGTTCCGTACTTGAGTCGGTAGGGGGTCATGCCAATGGATGCGTGGGGGAGTGTCATTTGCACGCGGTCCATTATGGGGATGAGTTTGCTCCAGTTATCCTGGTAATGGGATACGAAAGGCCTCAGTCTCTGATCGATGTATCGGTTCATGATTTCCGTCTGTCCGTCGGTCTGCTTATGATAGGCAGTCGACAGCTTAATGTCATACTGACATTCGTTGCACTCAGTTTGCTATCAAACTCAAGAGCAAACTTAGAAATCTCCTCCTCAAACCTACAAGTCACTATACATATTTTGGCTTGTCACACCAACAACAAGAGCAATACTACTCAACGATTGCTACAACCCTCTATGATTCATTACACGTCATTGCTCCTTAGTTACTGGGCCGATATGACCACATAGCATATCTCTACAACCCTCTATGATTCATTACATGACATCACTCCTTAGTTACTGGGCTAATACTACACATGACATATCTCTATCAACTAGAGGCCTAGGAACATGAACGATAGCTCCAAAAGCTTCTACAACCGTCTATGATTCATCGCACGTCATCGCTCCTTAGTTACCCACAAGATTGGTTAAGTTATGACATAATCTGTCTATAGGGGTACTCTGACCTTGGACCTCCTTTCACTTCCTATAGGCTAGAAACCTAGGAGATGGTTCTATGGGATTCTCTTACGTCGACTACAGTTACCAAGCCTGGTTAGTGATGGAAAGTCTTGGAAAATGAGAGAACTACATTCCTTTAGCATAAATAGGATTGCCCTTTCCTTAAGAAAGGGCAAGCAGACAATACAGTAAATCGACTATCACATACTTCCACGTCTTTTCCAAGCTTCCAAGCATTGATCTTGTTACTCCTTGTTTCTGAAAAGTCAGTGAGGTGCTAACCTCTGACTTATCCCTGAGTTCTCAGACTCAACATTTGTTACAACTTGTCTAAACCACTCCACTACATCATACACCTGATTGCTGCATTGTGGAATAGTCTAAGCTACGACCCTTTGGCTCTTTTTCCTAAGACAGTGTGTTGTCTTAGTAAAATTATCCCTTCCTTGGGTGGCTAGATTCTCACATCTGGTGCACCCACCATTACAGATGTAGCGCGAGCGTAACCGTACATCGTTACACTTCCTGCCTTCTGACCTGGTACCCTGGACTCCCGTGAGACCCTAGGGACTGCGCTTTACAATCAGTTAGACTGGATCCCGGCAATATTTTGAAATTGAGCCCCGAATGGTTCATTGCCGCCCAGGTTACATTAATTCCTAATGATAATCCCGATATTACTGCGTTCATCTCGGGCAGAATTAGAGAACCACATAGAGTCCAAACGGTTGGTGATAGGAAACCCCTCGCTTATACTGGAAATACAAGACTTTCTCCTTGAACAATCCCACGGAATGTTTCTCTGGGTCGCTCTGCAAATCATATCCTTGTGCGACATGAAAACGGATGATGCCATTCGCCAGGCCCTAACGGACCTTCCTAAGGATCTTTCGGAAACATTTTCTCGTATTTTACGGAAAGCAGAAGGATCTGGAAAGACTTATCAAAGACGGATATTAGAGCTGGTAACTATAGCTCACCGTCCATTAACAGCGGAAGAACTTAGAGACGCCTTAAGTGTAGACCCTGGTGATGCTGTCTGGAACTGGTCAAGGAGTCTCAATAACGTAAATTCGATTTTGGCTTGCTGCGGAAGCCTCCTTACTCTCGATGAAGAGGAGAAGACTATACGACTAGTGCACCATAGCGTCAAGCAGTTCCTCCTAAGTGAGTTTGAAGACTCAGCCACCATAGCAATCACAATCGATGGCGCAAACAAGACAATGGCAGGTATCATTGTTACCTGCCTCAATTACAGCGTTTTTGCAACCCAGCTGTCTACTACAGTATTCCCGCAAATAATGACTGCATCAGCACCGTCCCAAATCATTCGTTCAATGCCCGACTTATCAAGCACTGTTCAAAGTCTTGCATTAAAGCTCTTAAAGTCTAGGAAGAAACCTGACCTTGACATTGGAAAGACTCTCGCGGAAACAAGCAAGCTTTTCAGTTCTCGTCCCATGGATGAATTTCAAATTTACTCTTATGCAAAGCTATATTGGCTGCAGCATATCTTTTTCATTTCAGAGAAAGAGCCAGTTATGTACGACCTGCTGCGCAGGCTATTTAAAGGCAATGCAATAAACATGATACGACAGATAAAGATGGCTGGACGCCGCTGTCACTTGCCGCGCGGGACGGGCACGAGGCTTTCCTAAAGTCGTTGCTCGACTCCGACATTGTCGTTAAAAAACGAGAGGGAAGGACGCCGCTCTCGTGGGCTGCAGGGAATGGCAAGAGGCCGTCCTCAAGTTGCTGCTCGACTCTGACATTGTCGACACCAACTCAAAGGACGATGAGGGACGGATGCCGCTCTCGTTCGCTGCAGAGAATGGGCACGAGGAAATAGTGAAGCTGCTGCTTTTTAAGGGCGCTAAGCCAGATGCTGAAGATGGATATGGCCAGACGCCATTCTCATGGGCTACAGAGAATGGACATATGGCAGTAGTGAAGCTATTACTTGATGGGGGCGCTAATCTAGAGTCTGAGGACTACAGCGGCTACACACCGCTCCAATGGGCCGCACGGGATGGGCACAGGGAAGTGGTAAAGCTGCTGCTTAATAAGGGTGTCAGCCTAGAGCTTGAGTCTAACGGTGGCCGAACGCCGCTCTCATGGGCTGCAGAGAATGGGCATGAAGCAGTAGTGGAGCTGCTGCTTAACGAGGGTGCTAAGTTAGAGACCAAGTATAGCACCGGCTACATACCGCTCTCATGGGCTGCAGAGAATGGACATAGGGAAGTAGTGAGGCTTCTGCTTAACAAGGGAGCTAAGGTAGAATCTACATCTAACAGAGGCCGCACACCACTCTCTTTCGCTGCACGGAAAGGGCACGAGGCAGTAGTGAAGCTGCTGCTTAACAACGGCGCGAAGCTAGAGTCTACAAATGATAGTGGCCGGACAGCTGCAGAGTATGGGCGTGAGGCAGTAGTGAGGCTTCTGCTTGACGAGGGCGCTAAGCTAGAGTCCAAAGACATTGATGGCCAGACGCCGCTCTTATGGGCTACACGGAATGGGCACGACGCAGTAGCAAAGCTGCTCTCTTCTATTACTTAAGCTCTCAGATCAACGTATTGGATCGTCGTTCCCATGTTTTCCAAGTCTGTCTCGGACAAGCAAATGACACTATTCGAGCTGTTCGCGTTAAGATCTTTACAGCACTCCATTTGCAATACAAATATCCCATGGGTTGCGTATTTCTCATCAAGCATTAACATTTGGTATTGATTACGCATAAACCCACTCCCAGTCCCTCAACTCCTCCAGCAAACCCATCCATTCTAACATATCCATCCAACATAACAATTCTAGGCCGTCACGCCTACTGGAACCCCCTTCCCTGGCCTCGCAAGCGTGTACTTCGCAAACGACCGGGCCAGCGCCTTGCGACAGCTCAGCTTCTGTGCACCAACGAAACTATCCACCGCCACGGCAATGGCACGGTCAATATCCCTCGCAGAGGCATACTCTGAGAGCCTCATGCGGCTAAACGCCTCAGCGATACGCATAATAGCCTCAAGATGACGGACCTGTATATATTAGCAAGGAACCAGCAGACCAGGCGAACAGCAAAGGGGGAAACCCACAGTAATAGGGAACGCTCCCGTAGCCAACGACTCGCGGCGCATATCCGCAAACAGACGTGCCACCTTATCCTCGTCCATCTGATACAGCTTCGGGCGGCAGCGCTCGCGCGAGTACAAGATATACTTGCGTAGCAACTCCTGGGGGATCTCGCCCTCTTGTTTCGGGCCGTCGCGCTCGACCTCCATGCGCTCTCCCTCCGCGTCCTCCTCACCAGTTGCAGCAGCCGGGTGACTGCGGCCGTGGGAGGCGACGACGAAGCGGGCAAGGCGCTCGTCCTCCTCAGGTTCGACGGTGTCGCGGACAACACAGAGAATATCGAAACGCGAGAGAATGGGCTCGGTGAGGTCGACGTTCTGGGAGAAGGGGAGGGTGGAGTTGTAGCGGCCGCCGTTGGGGTTGGCGGCTGCGACGATACCGCAGCGCGCTTGGAGGGTGGTGACGATACCAGCTTTGGAGATGGAGATGGTCTGCTGCTCCATGGCTTCGTGGATGGAGGTTCGGTCGGCATCGTTCATCTTATCGAACTCATCGATCAGGCAGGTGCCGCGGTCAGCGAGGACGAGCGCGCCGCCTTCGAGAGTCCACTCTGATGTGAGAGGATCTTTGCGCACGGAGGCTGTGAGACCGACGGCTGAAGCACCCTGACCTGTCGCGAAAACGGCGCGGTGTGCAGTCTTCTCCACGTACTTGAGGACTTGGGACTTGGCGGTTCCAGGGTCACCAAGGAGAAGGACGTTGATATCGCCACGGATCTTGTGTTTACCTTGGCCAACCTTGCTGACGCCGCCGAAGAGGGATAGGGCTACAGCAGTCTTGATGTCGGTGTGGCCATAAATGCTAGGTGCCATGGAGCCAATGATCTTGTCTACGATCTGTGGATCGCGGGAAAGAGCGCGGATTTTCTGTTCATCTTCCTCCGTGAGTCTGAAGCCGGCGAGCTGGTCGTGCAACTTGACAACGTGGTTTGCCTCAAGGATGGTGGCGAAGACAGGGAAGCCGTTGCGGTTGTTCAGCTTTGCATCATAGTTGTTGCGGTAGACGCCCGTAACCTCGATTTCCTCACCGGGCTTGGCTGAGTCAATGAGATCCCAGAGAAGGATGACCTCGCGGTGCCGAGGTAGGCGACCCGCGGGTACTGTACCAGGGGACTCCTGGAGAGTGAGTTTCTGAAAGTTGCGGTAGACAGTTTTATCGGAGTTGACGGTGAAGGGGCCGCGCGACTGGCAGCTTTGGCAGTATGAGATCTTAACCTCGACGTTTGATTCTTGCATGAAGGGTCCGAGGGTAGTTTTGCACTTGGAGCAATCAAACTTGACGTATTTAAGCTGAGGGAAGACGCCACTGCGGCGTGTTACCACACCACTGACACGGATGAGGCTGTTAAGATGGCTTTGGCGGAGTTCACGGAGAGTATATTGAGTAGGTAGGTCGGAGATGCGGACGTGGATCTCAGAGTGGATCTTCTGGTAGTCGGGATAATGAAGCAGTGTCACTTCCATAGCAACCTCGTCGAATATCTTCAGCATCTCAGAAGGCGCGTTTGCCAGGAAGTATGCTAGGATGGCCTTCGAGGTACCAAGATGGTCATATGATACTTCGAGAGACTCTGCGTTGATCTCTCCGAGCGTGCGAACCCTATTTCCGTAGACCGAGGAACCGTTGTCATCAGTGTATTCCGTCAAGAACGACTTAAACTCTCTCGCAATCGTCCTCTGGACTTGTGGTAGGGCAACCCATTCCACCACACTCGTCGCTTTGACGTCCTGCAAGGCCTCTAGCGTCAGTTCTTCTTCCATAATGTTGTCCATCATGTCTTCATCCGGTTCCTCGTCATAGCGATGGCGACGGCGCCTGGGCTGGTTGGTGAGGTCCATTCCATCATCTTCTTCCTCATCTTGAAGAAACGCTGCTGGCATACGGCGCCGGCGAGCAAGCTCTCGGTCTCTCCTGTTAAGTCGCTCTTCGAGCTGGCGTCTCGTTGAAGCATCTAACTCCTCGTGGTCGCCCTCATCGTCGATATCGTCACCGCCATACTGGTCATCCTCGCGAGCCTCGTAGTCGCGCTCAAAGTTATCCGCGAAGAGATCGATTCCGTCTTCATCCTCTACCATTTCATCTGCATCGTCAATATCCGCGATAAAGTCGTCCACGATGTCATCGTCGTCGTCGTCGGCACGGTCCAGATGATACGCGGGCGGTGACGAGGGGATGATGGCGGCAGCAGGACTGGAGGCATAACCAGAAGTCGGCACATCCTCTTCATCTCTGCCACGTTTGCCCAGGTTTCTGCTTCCTGCTCCGCGGTTCGCGGAGTCCATGTTGGGCCTCAATGGCGAACTGTAGGGAGTCAGCGATGATTGACCCAGAGCGTTTGGGATAATGCTAGAACATACCTCATGGTTGCAACAGTATATATTTAAAATGTGCAAAATCCTTTTGTTTATACCTGAGTTTGTTGTTGATAATGGTAGCCTGGTCAATGACATGGATGAATTGGCGCTGAGTTCAGAAGGGGGGATAATTGATCTGTTCAGGCGCGTCTTGAAGTTTCACGTTTCGCGTTTACGCGTCGGCGCGTTTCCACTCTATTACGGTGACCAAGATTGTGCGAGGCTGTGGATATGGTCTCGAGCCTCGCCATATCCCGACCCTGAACACAACGAAACTACATCACAATCTATCCCCAACTGAGATTTAAGAGCAAGAAGAACCTATAAAATGGCGTCTTCGCAAGATACTGCTGATTCAGAGCGACGTGATAGCGATTCTTCAGTTTCTCAGGACTCTCAAACCGCAGCTGAGTACGCAGATCCCATCCAGCCCGTCATGACATTCATTGACCTTTGATCAGATTCATCAGCAGCCAACTTCAACTTGAGGCAGATGCAAGAGAGGCTCTCCCATATGTATGCATGACTCAATCCTCCATTATATCTGACAACAAACTGACCGAATCTAGAAATTCGACACCTGCACGAAACAACTCGGCCCTTTGCGCCAGGACCTCTTCGCCTGCATAACATGCAACCCGCCACCTGCGAATCCTTCCGATCCCTATACCCCAGCCGGAGTCTGCTATTCATGCTCGGTTGCGTGCCACGGCGAGCATACCCTCGTTGAGCTGTTCTACAAGCGTAACTTCGTTTGCGACTGCGGCACGACGCGTCTCCCATCCACTACACCATGCACGTTACGAACCAACTCGGAGACGGGACAGAAAGGCGGAGTGATCAATGAGCCGTGTGAGGAGAAGAACGAGTATAACCAGAACTTTCGAAACCGGTTTTGTGGGTGCGAATGCGACTATGATGCTGAGTCTCAGAAGGGGGTGATGTATCAGTGTCTTGGCCTTGGGGCGGCGAAGAATGGCGGCTGTGGCGAGGATTGGTATCATACTACTTGTATAGTTGGATTGGATCCATCGTGGCATGATGAGGCGATGAAGAAGAAGGCGGCTTTGGCAGAATCTACAGCCGGGAATGACCAGGGACCGACGGCTACTACAGCAGAAGACGATGGGGACGCCATTGATATGGAAGACGGCATGCCAACACCCCCTGGGTTTCCACACGCCGATGACTTTTCTGGTTTTATCTGCTACAAATGTGTTGAGGCAAACCCGTGGATCAAGGCATATGCTGGCACAGATGGACTCTTGCCGCCTGTGTTCAAACGCAGCGGGGCACCTTCGCCGCAGGCAAAATCTGAGGGGAAAGAGGATCAAAAGGAAGCTCTGAAGACAACAGTCGCACCTGTTGCTTCATCACAGAAGCGAAAAAAAGCAGGGGATGATGGTACCGACGGTGACGTGGAAGCAAAGCGAGCGAGAGGAGACAACGACACGGAAAGCAAACCCACAGCAACGACTATCACCGAACCAAAGAGTAATGGTGATGGTGCGACAAACTCAGGCACAAAAGACGAGCCACCGTCTTGCAAAATCAGCCAGCTTCCCTCCCCACCAACCGAACCCTTCTCTCTTTTCTTCAAAGACAACTTCCGTGCCTCCTTCTGTCGCTGCCCAGCCTGCTTCCCCCACCTTGCCATTCACCCCCAGCTCCTCGACGAAGAAGAATCCTACGAGCAATCTCTCTCGCACTCCTCGGCTGCGTCTGATGGGGCAGGCAGCACGCTCGGCAGTCGCGCCGGCAGCCTACTGGACCGCGGCGAGCGCGCGTTGAGCACCATGGACCGCGTCAAGGCCATCGAAGGGATTATGGCATTTAACCTTCTCAAGGAGAAGTTGACTCCGTTTTTCAAGGAGTTTGCGGAGAGTGGGAGGGTTATTAGTGCGGAGGATGTTAAGGCGCATTTTGCAAAGATGAGAGGGGATGAGGGGGGCGCCGGAGAGGCAGAGGGAGAGAAGGCTGGGGGTGGGGAGGAGGATAAGAGGCGTGAGCAGGGAGGCTATTGAGGTGGTGAAGATGGGGGAGTGTATGATTATTTACGAACTAGGGGGGGTATAGGAGGGAGTATAGGAGGGGAAAGGGCCCTGACAATTAGGTCCCGAGCCGATCAGGATAGGTTGGGGCTCGATGGACATGGCGCTATTTGACACTTGCCGACAGTTTTCATATGAGGCTATCGAGGGGCATAGATACCGTAATTTATCAGATCTTGCTCAATTAACACCATCGTCGATCGCTCAATTTCATCACGTGTGTTCACTCAAAGTACGTACAATACGAATCATCTTAGCATCCTCGAACCCTCTCATCTTCACCAACTCCATCCACACTGTATAGTTGTTACCTTAGATCCAAATCCCTACACCACACACAAACAACAGACGGTGTCGGCGAGGCCGAGGCCCCCTCAACCCCTCGTCCCCGACTCGGCGGCGACTTTTCTTACTTTTTCCTTCCCCATTCCCTTACCGTTATAAGTCAAAGGGCGCGTACACTCCCAGCCTGCGAACCAGCGCCGTCCAATCGCCCCCTCAGCGCGCCGTGCGGGGCCGAGTGGAGTGCGGGGGGCTTGGTTCTTATCAGTCACCATCCTTGCTGGCAGATTGGCAAGGGCGGGTCTGGGCTATGGAGATGGGCAAGTGATAACCATATAATATGCCGCGTGTCTCTCCCAGATACTTCGCCGAAACCTGTAGCTATACGCAGACTCCAAGCGCATACAATAACAGCGCTGGTATATCAGAAGAACTTCCAGAAGCGGCGTCCCTCGTTCTTGCCGTGTGGGGGTGAGACACGCGACATACGACATGCCCATGCCAACTTTCCTCCCCCGCTTTGGACCCCTGCAACGTCGGCGGTAGCTCTTAGCTCTTGATGTCATGGAAATGGCAGTTGCATGCCGCACCACTTCACCCACCAGGGAACGAGCGCCGACGCGCTGTGGTGCCTCCTGGACATCCTTATCAGGGCCTAGGCGGAGCTCGCAGGGTTGGTGGGCAGGTAGGTGGTGGGTGAGAGGTATATAGCGGCCCTGGCCCCTTGATGGTGGGTGGTTGTTTTGTCCTCTTTCTCTCTTCCTCACTCTTGTCTTTGTAACCTCGTCTGCTTCCTGTTCTGTTCCGTTGTGCTTGATCCGGCGATTCCTCTGTGATTGTTGTCCAGTATATGCAGTAGCACCATGTCCCCGCCCTCGCTCCCAGCACGACCAGGACCCAGCGAGACGCGACAATGCCGTCGCCCGAATCGCTCCAGACCACGCTCCCGAGGTCGGCACTGACGCTCATGACGAGGAGGAGGTTGCTAATTTCGGGTACAAGCAGGAGCTGAAGCTGAAGCGCGACTGGGGGTTAATGCATAACTTCAGCATTTCTTTCTCGATTATTGTGTGTTTCTCCCCCGCCCCAAGAGATCTGAGAGATTGTCTGGAGACTGATAGTTGTCACAGAGTGTAATCACGGGCATCACAACATTTTTCAGCTATGGACTTCATACCGGTGGAGCGTGAGTCCCCTCAATTGGCAAAGTGATCCGTACAAGAGCTGGTTGAATAAGTGCTGTAATGTCAGTTGGTTGGATAGTCGTGTCGTTCTTTACCTTCTCGGTTGCTCCGGGAATGGCAGAGATCGTGTCAGCCATCCCAACGAGCGGTGGGCCATACTTCTGGGCTGCGATGCTGGCACCACATATAGAGATTATGTATCCTCGACATTCACCGGCATAGGTGAAGAGTCCGTATTAGGCATCTTTATTAGACGTTCACCTATGTGTCCTATTTTTCTTGCTGGTTCGCTGTTTCACTCCTACTCCCACCACGAAGGAATACAGTATCCCCCGAAACATTCTGCACTGGTGAGTCCTTTCATATCTGTTTGTTGGTTGGGTGGAGTGTGTGATATTGGGGAGTGGGAAAAGGCCGCTTACAACGACAAGACCCACCCGCCTCATTCTCATATTTTGCATTCCATTCCTCGACTCCATCCAAACTAACCATCCACCTTTTAGGTTCAACCTCCTCGGCCAAGTTGCTGTCACTACAGGTATAACTGGCTGCGCAGGTCTCATCCCAACACCAACAGTCGCAACCGTCAAATCTAGCTACGAGTCTACCGCAAAACAGTTGGCATCTACGCCGCCCTCCTCCCACGGCATTGTCAACACCTTCGTCGTCAAAGTCCTTCGATACCTTAACAACACTTCCATCCTTCTCCATTCTGGTGGGGTAGCTGCCATCGCTATTGCCGTGCTCGCTAAAGCGCCCACCCACCAACCCGCCTCCGCGCTCTTCCAAAAATTCTACGACGGCACCGCCGCCACCCCTGGTGAGCCAGGATGGTCGATCAGAGCATCACCAGCCTACGTGGCATACTGAGGTGCTTTACTTTCTAACTATACGTTTGTTGTTTATTGAGGCTCTTGAATACTCTGGAGACTTCCATGAGACTGTTGGGTAGCGAGCGGTACGGTGCAGGACCGGCTGACAAAGGAGCAAACGGAGGAATCATGTATATCACTCAGGTCCCCCGTAGCTGCCATAGCTTTCTAAATCTACTGTTTTCAACAACGAACTGGGTATGACGCATCGGCGCATTTGAGTGAAGAGACTCGCAATGCCTCCTGGAGTGCCCCCATCGGCGTGATATCTCTGTCTTCTTCTCCTCACTTTTTGGCTTCTTCATCATCATGTCCTTCCTCTTCTCGATCCAGGACTTCGACCGCACCCTCAACAGTGCCTATGGAAGCCCCGTACTTCAAATCTTTGTGGGTGTCTTCGGTCCTGACGGCGCCGTTGTGATGTTCAGCCTCATTATCATCTGCGTCTGGCACTGCGACCTCTTCAGTATGACCTCCAACAGCCGCATGATGTTCGCCTTCTCACGAGACGGCGGCATCCCACGCTTCTTCGCCCATCCGCACCGTCTGGCTCGCTGCCTTCCTTGCGTTTCTCCTTTCCCTCCCCTCGCTGGGGAGGGACGTGGCATTTGCCGCCGCAACATCAATGGCTACCATTGGTTTAGACATTTCCTACGGCATCCCGATCCTCATCGGACTCATTTACCCAACGCACTTCAACAGCAAAAGGGGCCATTCAACCTAGGCCGCTTCTCCCGGCCCGTGGCGCTCGTGGCGAGCTGCTAAATCGGGTTCATCACTGTGGTGTTCTGTCTCCCCCCAGCAACACCGGTGGATTCCCAGAGTATGAATTACACGGTCGTTTGTGAAGATTATAGCCGTCGGGGCAATGGGGACATGGGTTGTGACAGCGAGGAAGTGGTTCGTAGGCCCGTTGAGGGAGATTGAGCTGGAGAGAGCGGGGGTGGATGTCAGTGATCCGGCGCAGGTGGAGAAAGCGGAGAAGGAGGGGGTTATTGGGGTGAATGGGGAGGCGAAGGGGGTGGAGGATGTGAGTGCGTCAGTAACTGATTAAGGGGGGTTGCGGAAAGGGGGGCTGTGGTGATGGAGGGAGGCAGCTCGGAGGGAGGGGGTTAGAGGTATGGTTAGATAGACCTAGATCAGTTGATACCGTAGAAATGGAAATCAATCACACGTATTTTGAGACAACAATATTGCATTCCAGGCTCTCTGAAGGGTATATGGCGGAGTTGACAGGCTGTTCAGCAAAAGACCAGGTCAGTAAAGGTCCTAATTATTATGTACCATGTAGGAGTCGTAAGTGCTGCGAGAGTCAATATAGGTGTTGGCAGCTCATTGTTCCAACTCATCGCCCCCTACCCCCCTCGTCGCCTCTCCCCTTTCTCACCTCCACCTGCTTTTCTCACCGTCTCTTCCTTTTCTCACTACCCCCTTTCTTGCCGCCGCACCCCTTTCTTTCTTACCGCTCCTCCCAGAACGAAACAGTAAAGCCCTCCGAACTGTCACCAGCAGCTCCATCTCTGTGTCTTGGTACTCAGCGAGAAGAACTTGGTCATTCCTAGCTTTCTCTTTCCGATAGGTGTGTCTGAGAAGTACGGTCTTGTATGGATTGACTGATATTTATACTTTTACGAGGAGAGCGGCCGAAGGGTGGGTTCAACTCCACCGTAGGAGGTCCCGGTTGCAACGCATCTCTCCTGCTTACAAAGGAAATCAAGGACAACTACAATCATTGCTTCCTATTTATATTTTTGCAGATGCCTACTCGGCGGAGATCGTCTAATCCTTCCAAACACCTCAGTGTCGAACAAGGCACACTGTGCTAGGCAGCGGAAAAAACTAATGGCCTGGCCTCATTGCCACGACGAATGGCGGCGAACATGAAGTGGTCCCGCCATACACTCATGACAACACCATTATACGCTTCATCTCTCACCTTTCGCTCCTCTCACACCGTCACATCTCTCACACAAGCAATCAAAAACCAAAAAATTCCATCCTCATCAGCATTCAGATTGGAAACTACCTAACTGTGAGTGCAACACACCCACCACCCATCTAACACACATATCTAGCTAAAAAAGCGACTCAAAGGAAAACAACAGATTTAAAAATCGAAAAAGACGCAAATATAGCAAAGAAACACGTCTTCCTATAGGAGGAAAAGAAGCATTCCCCATCATCTCCGCTCCATCCATCCCGCTCAGCGAAAAATATAGAAAATGTGGTATCAATTCTCTCTCTCATTTCGTTCCCTTCCTAGTGTTCCCCCCACCGTTTCCAATTTTTCCCCACCGCCGATTTGAATGCATAGTTCCCGCCCGCTCTTTACCCACAAGTTCACTAACTGACTGACTGGCTGGCTGACAGTTTGTTCTTTGTTCCTCGGTGTTTCATCATCATCAATAACAACAAACAGCACGAGGAACCACAAACTCATCCACCACCTCATCCACAGAAGAAAACAAAACAGAAAAGAAACGTCAACCTCAAATCAACTACACCACACATCTACAACTTCCCCAACCTCCCCGCCGCAGGAGCAGGATCATACACCTGCGCCTTAATCCACGCCGTCAGCGCCACATCCCCCCACTCCTCCCACTCCAACCACGTCTCCTCCGGCAACTCACTCACGCCATCACGACGCGCACACTTCATCACCTCCCTCGCCACGATCGCCGACGCGTCGCGCACGCGGCTGATATGCGGGTAGATGAGTCCCTTTGCGATCTCCTCGCTGTTGAGGCAGCCCGAGAGCGCAGCGGCGGAGGTATACACCATGTCGTCGGTAACACGCGAGACCTTACCCAGGATGGCGCCGAGGCCGAGGCCGGGGAAGATGTACACGTTGTTACCCTGGTTCGGGTAGTGGATGGTGGTGATGTCTCCGATCTTGGTCTCGAATGCCGAGAATGGCGACCCGGAGGCGAACAAAACGGTGCCGTCGGTCCAGGTGACGGCCTGCTCGAAGGTGCACTCAGCCTTCGTGAGCGGGTTGGAGAGGGGGAAGAGGATCGGGCGGCGGCCGGCGCCGGAGGCGTCGACGGAGGCCTTGAGGGCGCGGACGACGGACTGGGTGAAGACGCCGTAGGTGGCGGTGAGGCCGACGAGGGCGGTGGGCTTGACGTACTCGATGACCTCCTCGAGGGTCTTGAACTGGTGACCCGCGTTGTCGTGGCGGGCGAAGAACTTCTTGTGCTCGGCGAGGCGGTCGCCGCGGTCCTTGGTCACGAGGCCCTTGGTGTCGACGAGATAGAACTTCTCTTTGGCTTCGGCGTCGGTGAGGCCGCGGCGGGTGTAGTACTCTAGGAGCTGCTTGGCGACTCCGACGCCGGCGCTGCCGGCGCCCATGAAGACGAGCTTCTGGTCCTTGATGGGGACGTTGGAGAGGTTGACGGCGCCGATGTAGCTGGGAGGTTGTTAGCATGTGATGGATCGACGAGGAGGGAATGCATACCCAGCAAGGATGACGGCTCCGGTACCCTGGATGTCATCGTTGAAGACCTTCTTGTGCTTATACCTCTCAAGGTAGGCAAAGGCCTTCTCGGTCTCGAAGTCCTCGAACTGGACGACCATGTCCGGGTACACATCGGTCACGGCCTCCATGAACTCATCCATGAACTCACGTGCCTCGTTGACGGACACGCGTTTCTGGCGGAGGCCAAGGTATAGCGGGTCCTTGAGGTTCTGCTCGTTGTTGGTGCCATAGTCGAGGACGATTGGGAGAGTCTTCTCGGGGTGGATACCGGCCGCAGCAGTGTACAACGCGAGCTTTCCGATCTGAGACTTGGCTTAGCACGAGGCGTCAAGAGAGTGGGGTGGGGATTAATTAAGTGAGGGGAAGATGGGGTCGAGGGGGGGAAATACCGGAATGCCAACGCCGTTTACGCCGAGGTCGCCAAGACCGAGGATGCGGGAACCATCAGTCACCACGCAAATCGACGGATTGGGATACGGCCAATTCTTGAGGATTGTGCGGATGGAATTCCTCTGCTTGATGGAAATGTATAGGGCCTCGGGTCTCGTGTACAGAGTCGAGTATTGGAGGCACACGTCGCCGATCGTGGGTGTGTAGACGAGGGGCATGAGCTGCTCAACGTTGTCGATGAGAACGCGGTAGAAGAGGTCGATGTTACTCGACTTGAGGGTCGACAGGTATAGGTATTTGTCGATGGGTGTTGATCTCGAGTTGATCATCTTCATGGCACGCATCACCTGGGTGTCCATGTTCTCCATGACGTGGGGGATGAGACCGGTGAGGTTCTTTGTCACACGCTCTTCGGGAGTAAACGACGTGCCTATGGAAGCAGAGTCAATTGCTGTCATACGAGCATACCAGGGGGTTTCGGGGTATTCTGGGGTGATCTAGGGATTTTTGGGGGACCTACTCTTGTTCCACGCCGGCTCGCGGAGGACCTGGTATCCCTTCGCCATATCTTTGGGAGTATATTCTGTGGTGGCGGTTTGGGTGACGGGAGCCGGATATGCCTTTGTTGAATAGCCAGCAAGGTGATCTAAAGATGCCAGCTTCATTTGTGCGTCGATGGCAGCGGTGTCGACGAAGGAGAGGGGGCTGGAGGAGTGTCTCTCGGAAAGTGAGACTCGTTTCCTGGATGCGAGGAGGGATGCAGCGCTCGAGACGGAGGAGGGTGGTGATATAGAGCGGGTTGAAGAAGTCGGCGTTGGAACAGCCGAGGAGTGAGGGCTATGGGGGAGAGAAGATGGCGGAGGAGAGGCCATTGAAGAGCGGGAAGAATGTGAGTAATGGTGTGAGCGCGAGGGAGAGCAAGAGTGAGAATTAGTGTGGTGAGTGGAGGCGGTTGATGATGGTGATGACATGTAGGCGTGTGGGTAGCGGGAGGAGTAGTGGTGGTGGTAGTGGTTATAGTGTTTGTAATGGTGGTAGCGGCAGTGGATGTGAGAAGTTGTGACTGGAGCAACTTGAGTGGCTCGAGTAGTGGTGGTGACTTGCGGGTGCGGGTGCGGATGCGGAGGAGAGAGGCGAGATAGTTTGGGTCTGGTCAATGAGCTTGGAAGAGCAAGAACGGCGGACCGAGGCGGGCTGCATATAACAGGATTGGGCGAGGCTCGGGATATCACGGAGAGGGAGGAAATCATATTCTGGCGCCCAACGCACAGGCAGGGGGAGAGGGGGGAGGAAGGGCGCAACAAAGCTTGACAAATCGGGGTCAATCTGGGGCAATTGGGGTCAGAGCCGAGAGGTGACAAGACCAAGACGAGACGGAGGAGAGCGGTAGTGGAACGGGCGTCTGTGGTTTGTTCTTTGGGGATTGTATGGGCTGTGATGGTTGTGATGGTTGTGATGCTGTGATGGCTGGCCTGTGATGGCTGTGATGGTTGTGATGGCTGTGATGGCTGGCCTGTGATGCCTGTGATGCCTGTGATGCCTGTGATGCCTGTGATGCCTGTGATGCCGGTGATGCCGGTGATGCCGGTGATGCCTGCGATGCCTGCGATGCCTGCGATGCCTGCGATGCCCTGTGGTCTATGGCCGTGAGAGGCCAGACAGATGCTTGTTCGGGTCGGGTCGGGGCGCTGGAAATCTGTTTGATGCCCAGTTTGGGATTCAGCGGTTCCAGAGTGCCCCGTAGGGGAATAGTGAGAGTGTTGGGAGGAGTAGTGAGGCTTAGTGAGTGAGGGATGTCACGGTTGCAAGACATATATTAGTCAAGGAATAGTAAGAGAAGAAGAAAATATCTCAGAGGCAAGCAATGGCAACTTACATACATGGCACCGGCACGGCGTAGGGAGTCACAGAGAGAACAGTCACAATAGATGCCCGCCTTCTCAACAGTGAGCTTCATCGGTGAGCTTCATCGGTGAAGAAGGTGAAGAAGGTGAAGAAGAGTCATATTGTCCCCATCCCCATAATCCAATGCCCATAATCCAATGCCGCGATCGGGGAAGTCGTTGCTGTCGGAGTGTCGGAGTACTGTACAATACTACATCGTATGGCAAGGTACCTCCTACCTGCACTGCAGCCTTTCCCCAACTATTTTTTTATTTTTGTAGTGTACGTTGTTGCATGTGCATGACCAAAGTACCTGTCCAGACGGTACCTGTCCAACGGTACCTGTGCTGTGTCCAGACAGTACCTGTCCAGACGGTACCTGTCCAGACAGTCCTGTGTCCAGACGGTACCTGTCCAGACAGTCCTGTGTCCAGACGGTACCTGTCCAGACAGTCCTGTGTCCAGACGGTACCTGTCCAGACAGTCCTGTGTCCAGACAGCCCTGTGTCCAGACAAGTACCTGTCCAGACGGTACCTGTCCAGACGGTACCTGTCCAGACGGTACCTGTCCAGACGGTACCTGTCCAGACGGTACCTGTGTCCAAGGGAGTTAGTTAGTGGGTAGGCAGTACTAACTCACCCCAGTCTACTCTCCCTGTATCCTTGTTCTTTCCTCCTCATCCCCCCTTGTCCTCATCTGGGGATCCCCAGGTGCTGAAACGCCTCGCTCCGGCACCTCAATCCCCCCAACCAGACGTCCGACGTGACATGTCCGACGCCGAAGCCCGACTTCTCCCGGCCCCCGCAACGCAACCGCCGTACTCGCCGCCACTCGCTCACTACCAAGCCCTATGTACTCGGTACAGTGTTCTGGACGCGTCGGTTTGGTAATTGCCAATCCCCCCGACTGTGACTGGTACGGGTCGGTTGGTAATTGCCAATCCCCCCGACTCCGACTGTGACTGAGCGACTACTCGCCTCGGCGGGGTTTCGTGGCATGTACGCGCGCTCGACGCCGTTGGCGCTGGCGGGCTCGTCTCGAGAGATACAATGTGCTGCCCCTATCCGTGCCAGAAAGAGCGCAGATCCGACACTCAGAAAACCACTCAGTCCCCGTCCCGGTATCGCCCACTTTATCGCCCACTTTACATTCCCACTTTACATTCCCATCCATCCCCCGCTGCCCGTGCTTCTGCAGATATCCAGAGATGTTTACCCCTCGGTACTTTCCCCTCAATGACGTGCACAATACAGTGCGTATGCGGGGAGGTATCGGGATCGGGGAAAATCGGATCGGGGAGGTGTCATGCATGTAGCTATCCGCTGGCTTCTGGTCTTGCCAAGGTTAAAACGCGTTGTCGGGGAAAGACGCATCGACTCGTAGCTGTACGCGGTTGCACGTGTCAACGCCCATCCCATTCACTGCCTTTGGGGGACAAGTGCGGATTGATAGAAAGTCGAAATGAAGGATGGGAGAAGGGAGGGATCGAGCAACCCACCAACGTGCGTCTGATAAGCCCATCTAGCGCACATGCTATCACTTCAAGTAGCCCGTTTGGCTTAGTGGTACAGCGTCTCACTCGTAAACCGAATGTGTCCGATATGAGAAGATCCTCGGTTCGATTCCGAGAATGGGCATCTCTTTTTTTGTCTTGTTTTTTTTTGTCGTTTTTGTTCTTCGATATGGGGGATGAAAATTGAGATATGGAGGGATAGAGAGTGAGTGCTAATGGACATTGGTTTGGATGGGGAGGTTGCGATGCTTGGGGTTTGGGAAGGTGGGATTGTCTCGTTTGGGGGGGCGGCGCACGTGACGAGCTATGTTTTTCTCACTTCACGTCGTCAACACTCAATTCAATCTATTTCCAATATCGACAGGCTAGGCAAAGTATTCATCAAAGTGATGAATGAGAGTAGCAAAAGTAGCGACTGTAAACATTAATATCAAAAAATCCAACGAATTCTAACAGAGACGAATTGAAATTCAACCCTCTATTCATTGCTCGCGAAGGAAGAGCACGGTGTGGTTGGAAGTAAGCCACACCTCCGCATTTCCCAACACCTCAACTGATCCGGAGCAGCCAATATTTCGAGAGAGCGAAGGAGTTTTCGCCGGGTCTCACAAAAGGAAGGAATGAGAAAGGTCAGGGGGAAGACTGCCGGTGGGAAGGACGGCGACTGATAAGAATATAGCGCTGACAAGAACGCCGCGGCAGCAGTGGCCGGTGGAGGCTTCGGGCTATGCAGGCTGACCTGTATCCTCCGGGCTATGTTCTCTCCAGTCATTTCGTGCTCGTGATTTTCAGTCGCCACGAGGTGTATTTGACTGTCTAGCTCGGCAATTTGATAACAACCACCCCCACCACGGTCCGGTTGGGAAGGGAATGGACTGGGCCATATATATGCAACAGGCTGTTCTGCGCCGAGGCATCTGTAAAACTGGGCAGCGCCAGATTTATAATGTGGGCTCACAGAATATACAGATCACATGGCACAGACAAGGGAAGTTTCATATTTCATAGTTCATAATCGTTTGGAAAGCAAAATGCTCAAGAACGCCTCATTGTTGTTGGTATACCTATGAAGCACTAAAGAGAAAAAAAAACAGAGCACAGAAGTCTCAAGACACCGGTACAGAAATTTACTCTCTGAGCTCGGCGATCTTGGCCTTGACGCGCTCGATCTTCTCCTCCTTTGTGAGCTTGCGGCCCTTGTACTTGAGGGACTCCTTCTTGTACTCGTCCTTGTCCTTCTTCTCGGCGGCACCCTCAACCTTCTTGAATGGGTCCTCACGGATCTGCTTGTGGATGTCCTGGTAAAGCTCCTCAAGTCCATCGGCCTCTATCTCATCATCGATATAACCCTGGAACTGGGACTTGTAGCGCTCCTCATCGTCATCGGCGAGGGTCTCCATGTACTCAGCGACGTGGCCAGCGAAGATGTACTTGCGGAGGGTCTCGGCGTCGAGCTCCTTGGACTCCATGTCGTAACCAGGGAAGCGGTTCTCGGAGTGGGGCACGAGGATGCCACCATCGGATGCACCCTTCATGGCACCAAAGATGCGGGCACCGGTGGAGGTGCGGGCAAGACCAACATCGAGGAAGGCCTTGAATGGGCGGCGGGCGTCCTCATCCCCAGCGGCCTCGGTGAGGGTGAACTCTCCGTCAGCCTCCTCAACACCCTGGAAGTCGGCGTCCATGCCGAGCTTCTTAAGGACACGGCGGGCGATCAGGAGACCAGTGCAGTAAGCGGCAGCCCAGTTGGTGAGACCGTGCTCAAGACCGTAGGCCCTCAGCTCGTGCGAGTAGGCGGCGCAGAAGACCTTGTCTCCGGAGATCTCGGAGGTGACGATCTGCATCACGATGTCGCGGTTGGTGAAGCGAACCACAAGGCGGTATTTGGGCGCATTGTACTTGTTCTTGGCCTGGGTGATGAGGCGCTTGCGAGCGTAGTAATCGGTCTTTCCGGAACGACGGCGCTTGTACTTAGTCTGGAAGCGACTATTTTGGAGGTCAGCAATGCGATTGTTTCAAAATTTGAGGGAGGAGATGATTCTTACCTGTAGTACGCGGAGTTCTTAACCAGCTTGGTGAAAGGCTGTGAAGAAAACCAGAGTCAGCAATTTGCGCTTCAGATCTCATCCGAAGCATCTTGCATGGACCCATTCAACGCAGATCCTCAAGATCCACGGAATTCTCGTTCAAGCATGCTATGCTGAACGGTGTTGATGAACTTACCATCTTGATAGATTGGCCGCACAATTACTGGAATGTTGTGTCGAAAAGGCGTTGTCAAGAGAAGGAGACACTCTGATCGTGGGGTGAGGTCTCTAAGTTGTGCGCGAACTTTTCGCTTATTTAGGGTGGGTATTCAATGCGTCTCGAGTTTTTATTTTTGGTCGGCGACGATAACGGCCTTATATCTGGGGCTGCAACAAAAATCCAACTACCAAAATGTTCTATGCGCCCAATGGTACCGGGTACAGTAAAACCGGGGAAAAGGTTCGGCCATCATGCCGAACCTCGGCATCGGATTGTTCCTCCATTGGCGACCTTGCTGGCTAAGGTTTTGGAGAATCGTCGCGATGCCCACTTCCAAAAAGACATCTTAACTATGTCAGAAGAAGCACATCATTTAGTAGAGCTTGCTCTAGGCACTGTGGAAGCACTCATGGCTCCGAAGAAACAGCCAAAAGTTATCTTGTTCGACATCGGAGGCGTCTGTGTAAGTCCCGCATTCCAAGTCCCAGTCTCTCAGGCATAGGATCCCTGAATGCCCAACTGGCGTATATACTGGAAGAGAGATATAGCCCAGTGATCGTCATTTCTCCTCAGCTCTAAGGCGGATCCTGAGCATGTTTTATCACCGAAGAAAACTAACCTTCCCAGGTCGTTTCTCCGTTCCAGGAAATCTTAAACTATGAATTAAGGAACGGCATCCCCCCAGGATGGGTAAACCACTCGCTCTCAAAGACCGCTCCTAACGGAGCATGGCACAAGCTGGAACGTGGAGAAATCAAATGCGATGAGGACTTCTTCGCAGGCTTCAACCATGACTTACGTGACCCCCTCCGCTGGAAGTCCTTCTACACGCAGGCCATGCAGAAGCAAGGCGTCACAGTCACCGCCATCCCGCCATTGCCTCAGGTCGATGGAGAGTGGATGTTCTGGGAGATGATGCGCATCTCCAGGGCACCGGACCCATGGATGTGGCCAGCATTGCAGAAGCTCAAGGCCAGCGGCAAATACATCATTGCTGCCCTGAGCAACACCATGATCTTCCCTGAGGGGCACGAGTTTAACGACGCGAATGAGGTCCGTGACATCTTTGATATATTTATCTCCTCTGCACACGTCGGACTGCGCAAGCCGGACCCAGCTATCTATAATATGGCACTTAGTGTCGTCAACGAGTATGCCCAGAAGAACGCCTCAACGCAGGGCAAGATCAAGGCAGAAGACATTGTGTTTTTGGATGACATTGGAGAGAACCTCAAGGCGGCGAAGAAGGTCGGGTTTGGGACCATCAAGGTGCAGCTGGGGCAGGCGTATGATGCTGTTGCTGAGCTGGAGAAGTTGACTGGACTTGACCTGGCAGGAGACCACCCGAAGGTATCGAGTGCACCGAAGATGTCAAAGGCAAAGTTGTAGATAAAATACCCATTTATAAACAATCCAGAACACTTACCTAGCTCTTGCCACGTTGTAAATATTGTGAATGATCGTCTCTTCCTTAGTAGCCGCGCCTTTCCCGTAGGTTGCACCTGCCTTGTTAAAATATTGTAAAACGGTCGCTCCTCCCTCAATTTCCATGCCTTCGACATCAGCAGCACCTACCATGTTGAAATATTGTAAGCTCTTCATTCCTCCCTCAACAGTCATGCCTCCTCCATCAGTAGCACCTGCCAGGTTAAATATTGAAAGCAGATCGTTCCTTCCTCAGTAACCACGTCTTCACCGTGGGTTGCACCTGCCATGTTGAAATGTAGTGAGTCTCTGTTTCTTCCTGGATAAAGAAACAGGAGCTTGGTCACCGAAGCAGATTCTCCATGGAAACCACACAGAATAGCAAGAAAATAGGCTGGGAAAGTAGCTGTAGACAAATTCACTCCGTAAAATTCACTCTCTGCTAGCCCGTACCATGCCGTTGTAATCCTTAGAGGTTAACAAAGGTTTAATAGGTTGCTCGGCTTTTGAAAGCAGGCCATGGATCACAAAGCTCTACAGATTCTTAGCTAGTATATATACACCGCTTTCAAATCCTTTAAAGAACTTTCTAGCAAATAATCCAGAATTGTATAACAATAAGCCGAAGATTCGGCTGATCGGCAGTTGTTTCGGCCATTAGATTATTTCCTAGGCCTTATTCAAAGTAGGAATCTCCTCGGAAACCCTCGTTTTCGAACGAAACCCTCGCTTTCGCTCTATTACCTTCGGCTTCTAACATCCGCAGGCATCCGAGGAGGATTTTCCCCTCCCGATAGAGCAGGCCGTTGTCTCTAGAAACAAGAAAGGCTAGGAGCTTGGTGTCCATCCAATCAAGCTCTCAGCCGCATTTATGGCACGTTTTGGGCCAGTCATATCGAATCCCACCTCGCACTCGGAAATGAGACTTCGGTTAATTCACTAAGACCAAGTTGACCCGACTCTATTCCTGCTGGGTTTGTCAATGTTGGCAGCAGTGATCTCTACGAGACACAGGGTGTTTACAAGAGAGGGCGCGTGTTCACGCTACAGGGCCATCCTGAGTTTGATACGGAGATCATGGTTGAATTTGGAAAGCCGATATTAGGCAAAAATACCATGGATGAGGTCAAGGGTGGCCCTGATGATTATCTATCTGCGGCTCACGCGATTTTGGAGTTTCTCCGTGAGGAAGCGCTTGAAGAGGAGTGATAATCTGTGCCCCTATTCTGCCTGCCATAAAGCGTGTGGGATTCGCAGCTGTTTTCTCTTACGATCCCCGGTCACACGCAAAAGCCTCCAACACAATGGTCACGAAAAAAGGGCCGGCCCCCCTAAGGTATAGGGGGCGTACGCTAGCGGGTTCTAGGTGTGGAGGCGTACGGGCCGTGACAACGAGTATGGAATTCTTAATGGAAGTCGCGGAGGCAAGGAATAAGATTCGGTTGCTAGCTGTAGGACAGAGGAGTGGGGTGTTAGGCGGCCGAATGTTTGTATTGACGGGCGTGCCGTAGGGTGTTAAGGAAGCATGGGAGAAGGATGACGGCGAGGACGAGGAGGCGAATGAGGCCGAAGATGTGAAGATGGAGGATGGGGGAGAGGATGAGGATGAGGAGGTGTTTTGCGAGGATGTGGAGGGTGGCACGTTTGATGATGTCTTTGGTTCTACGGAGGATCAGGAGATGGGTGCATAGATTGGGAGGTGGTGGCGTTTGGGCATTCATGGAGTTACAGGGCGTAGCGGCGAATACCAAAGACGGGCAGAACTAATGCTTGCATTTAACTAAATAGAACTAGCTCTCCAGCTCATTAAAAGGCTACAATAGCAATTAAGCGCCGTATTATTAATTATGGAGACTCCTAATTGTTAGGCATGCGACAGGATTTATTTACTATCCCCTGTTTTTCAGCGTCTTCGTCTATAAACCATGGATAACACAACAAGTACATCAAGCATTTAATGGTCTAACCTCAAGACGGTGCATCTGCTAATGACAGCGCAAATAGTAATGGCACATCTCATTTCCCAATCATAGATCCTGCTCATTTACAAGCACCACCTCTACCCGATTCTTCTATCCCCTTCAATCCTCCCCCTCCCCAACCAACACAAACAACTTACTTAGTATTCAACCTCCACAACCCATCCCCTAGGAAATGCGCCTCTTCCACCACCGGGCCCTTCCCTACCTCCTCCACCTCCTTCGTCCCCACTGTCAATAATTTCACGGCACACGCCTCCTCCTTCCCCTCCGCTGCCACCACCGGCACACCCTTCTCTAGATGCTCTCCTGCCGGCGCACCCTTCTCTAGATGCTCTCCTGCCGCACCCCACTCTTCTCCATCATCTCCTGGCAGCTTGTGATCCCCGGAGCCATCAGTGTTACGCTGGACAGCACGCAGCGGATTGCGCCGCGGTCGATACGTATGCGCGGGGAGGCTTGGGGAAAGCGGTGCACGAGCTTGAGGTTAGGGAGGAGCGGGTCGCTCATGTGTTGGAAGAAGACGGGTTCGCCGTTAATGAGGTAGAGGGTTACTCTCTCTAGGCTGTGGGTTGTCAGTGTCAGGTTTTCTGCGTGAATGGGTCGATGTCGCGACGGGTGATGAGGTCGAGGTCGAGACGGAGATGGTAGTAGGTGGTACTAACATCTTCATAGCATCCAACTGCTCCTTCTTCGGCACCACCTCATCGATATACGGCGTAGAAGTGGGTAGGTTGTGCATAGTTGCGTCCTAAGCGCGCGCTAAATAGACGACTTGACCTTCGGCTTGGAGCCTGGTGAGATGCTTTCGAGATGTTAGCTGATCTGCCTCACTGGATGCTGCGGGCCTGTTTCATGACATACTCTTTCTTAAACATCGTGGTGGCTGGTTTAGGGTTGTTGTGACGTCGCGTGGGTTGGTGAGGGATGTGTTGTGTTGTGCTGGTTTGACCCCGCGATAGTTGCCCCTCGTTTAGCGTGGTTGGTACGTAGAAGCCGTGGCTTTTGGTGGGGCGGCGGATGGAGTGGGATGTGGATGTGGGATGGCAATTTCATGGATGATAAGTTAAGTTACACATATACAGGAGTCGAACATAGGACAAGACTTGATAATCTTTTATGTTTTATTTTATTCAGTTTCCCGGATATTCCATCTATCCCTGGTTAACCTCGCGCACCGTCCCGTCCTTCGCAAGGTGGACATTCAGCCTATTTCTCTCCAGTCAGCCTTCGTCATAGAGCAGCGAGCTGGCCGTGCTCACCTGTTCTCCTGAAAGTCCGCGGTTGCCGACTGGCCCTCAGGGATGATCCGTGTGTTCTCGGGCAGGTCGGCCATTGCGAAAGTCTACGTGGTAAGTCAGTGATGGATTCTCCTCCAGCACAGGTATCCTGCACTCACAGTCGCATTGTTTTCGTCTCCGATCGTCTTTCCCATCAGCCTGTTCGTCCAGTCTTGAGTCTGGGGCACCACATCCCCTGAGATTTGCGGGGCGACGAGAGGCATTCTGACTGCAGTAGTTGCGTGGAGGAGTTGAGTCTGAGGTGTTGGGATGCAGTGTAGAGTATTTCGATATCGGTAGATGCCTTTTACGAGAGAGGGGGGGTCATATGGGGATGGACAAGTATTTAAAGTCGAGAGCCTCTAAGAGGCGTAGAGCATGCGCAAGATGACGATACTGATGACGTCTGTATGTCCACACGGCTTGATTTCTCTCACCACAATCGGCCGCGATGATGCCGACCGACGGTACCGACCAATGAAGTGTCTCGGACGGGAGATACAAGTCTAGTTTATCAGAATTAATGAATGATGAACAGAGTCACACCGTGGAAGCTTAATCGTCGGATCCGCCTGGTCGCTTCGCTCCCAGTCGGAATACGCAAGTTGTCTTGTGGGAAGCAAGATGTCTTGCCTCGCTAAACCCACCACTTTAAATCAAAGCAAGTATTTATGTATAGCAGTGTTCCCCAAAATAGTATTAGTATTTGTGGTTTTCGAATAGTATTCGGCGATGAGCAGTATTCGGGCTAAAATTGGGGTATTCGGCGAGTATTTGCCAAAGACTTGAATACTATTCTTCACTACATCATACACCTGATTGCTGCGTTGTGGAATAGTCTAAGCTACAACCCTTTGGCTCTGTTTCCTAAGACAGTGTGTTGTCTTAGTAAAATCTTCCCCTCCCCTGGGTGGCTAGATTCTCACATCTGGTGCACCCACCATTTACATATGATTCTATGGGAAGGTGGCTGCGGAGGAAGCGGTTGAACGCGGGGAGGTGGCAGAAGGGGAGGTCTCTGGGGAGGGTGCTGAGCGAGGGGGGGTGACGATGGAGGATCTTACTTTGTTGTTTGAGAAGCTCACTGTCTGTGGGCACTCATCGGTGTTGGGGTGTTTCTAGATGGGGGAGCGGTATTGGGGAAGGGTATATGCGGAGTATTCGGTGTTTGGGGGAGGCGGGTGGGTAAAAGGGTATATGCGGAGGATTCGGCGAAGGGGCGGGGACGGAAGGGTATATGCGGAGGATTCGGTGTTTCGGAGGGGGGGATAGGAAAGGTATATGTGGACGATTAGGCGATGGGGGACATGACCGGTGCGTGTATTGGTGGTGATATCGGCGTGAGGACAGAGAGTTTATTCGGATTGAGGTGTTGGGCGAAAGAGTGATGTGGCTCCGGCTTTGTATTGTTTATTCGGCTTGGGATGTTTGGCGAAGTCTAGCTCCGGTTTGTGGAGGTTATACGGAAAGTTCAGGATATGAGCGGCAGCAGGGATGGCGTCTTTGGATTTGTACAAATATCAATATGAAAAATGAAGCTTCTCATTCTTTCTGCAGGCCGCAATCCTGATACGGATATAGATGAATAAAAAATACAGTGGCAATGACCAAATCAAATCCAATGAAAGATCACCCTTTCCCCATCCCCCAGATCCATTCTTCGTCCCACTAATTCTGCAACCATGGTCGTTCCAGATAATTTACGAATCTAAGTAAGTGCACGATCGATGACGGAAGATAACGCCACGAACACAATCCATTGCCAGAAATAAACGCCACCATATACATCCCGCGGTGCCGCCTTCCGTTCAACAGCGTGTGAACCAAGCGCGACACAATGGGTGCAACATAACAGAGAGAGGGATATATTCATCGAATTTTGAGGATTCTGTGATGCTGCCCGATGCTACTGTTATGGCCGAGGACTATATCTGCGCTGTGGAGGCACGTGGAATACAAAAAAACCACATACTCGATGCCCTACTATACAGACAAGTTAGTTTTGTTACGTGCGGGGAAGCTAACTCTTTCACCATGGAGGGGTGCGCAACCTTACCAAACTGCTGCCGGCTTAGCGGACAGCAGACGCGGAGGGGTTTAGCTTCCAGGAAAAAGAAGTGATGCGCGACTAATTCCTAACATATACGAGAGAAGAGTGCGAGTCTTTATTTACTCTTCTCGTCGTACGGATCAAGGGATACACCATCCAGCTCCCTTGATCCCAGTGGTGCGGAGATATGCTGATCGATTCCCATAGCTGAAGGCCCTCACATATTTAAGTGGGTTCCAAACTGTGGAGTCGCTGCCATCTTCAAACCTCCGCGGTGGGGAGAATGCAACCATGACCCTTTGACGGGCTCCGTGGTAACGCCGGCCATGACGAGTCGCCAAAAACGTGGATGGTGGCACTAATCCCCGTCAAGCGGGGTCTATCAATCCTACCCTCTCGCCATTCCCCCTATTGTGTTGGAGTACGGGGGAATAGCGTCCGAGCAGATCATCAGGTGAACTTCCATACCAGGCGCGTAGTGGCCGACTTGTTCAAAAAATCGGTCCTACTCGAGTTTACACCTGACGCGATCCCCACGTCTCCACATCTCCAGCTCTGCATTTTTCTCATATAACGCCAGCTTCCCCTCATCCTCGCGTGCCTCTGATTCTTTTGTTCCCCTACGCTTCCGAGACTCTTGAGGGGTTCGATTCCGCTGGGAGAGAACACAAATACGCTGAACTGCGTTCGTCCTTTGGATTCTGCAAAATGTATACCGTGGGAAACATATACGTGATTACGGCCGTCGCCGTTATTGGCGGCGGTCTGTTTGGTTTTGACATTGCTCCCATGTCTGCCATTATCTCTACTGAGCCATATCTGTGCTATTTCAAAGTAATCAACAGAAACTCTGATCTGCTTGTTGAGCCAGGAACCCTAACTCTGTATCTAGTCAAATCCAAGGAGACGATGTCAACAAGTGCTACGTAAGCCTGACGTGCAAGGTGGTATCACTGCTGCTATGCCTGGTGGCTCTTGGCTCGGTGCTCTGATTTCTGGTTACCCGTCTGATAAGCTTGGTCGCAAACGCTCGATTCCAGTTGGTGCACTCATCTGGTATGAGCCCACTACAAATCCTGCCATCTCGGCATAATTGCAAGCACAGGAGGCTAATAATCTGCAGGTGTATTGGGTTCTATTATTGTCTGTGCCTCGCAAAACATTGCTATGTTGGCGGTTGGCCGTATTATCAACTGTTTCTCTGGTGAGTAAATTGAACATTGCCATTATTAGCTCTAACTGGGCTTTCAACTTTGCGCTTGCTTACTTCGTGCCCCCGGAATTCGCGAACATCACGTGGAAGGTGTACATCCTGTCGGTTTTCTTTTGCACCGCCATGTTCATCCACGTCTTCTTCATGTTTCCCGGGACTGCCTCCAAGACTCTGGAGGAGGTCGATAACATCTTCGATGACTCTACCCCTGGCGCCCTGCGTCTTATCGGTACCCCCGCATGGAAGACTCATGTTAACAAGGATATCCACCACACTGAGAGTGGTAACGTTGACCCGGAGAAGCTTGCTACTCTGAATGCCTACCACGCCGAGGACAAGACTGCTGGTCTGCCTGATGAGGCTCCAAAGGTCTAAACGGTTTTCGTTGGCCTTGAATGGTGTAGGAGGGAGGTGCTTAAAAGAAGAGTAATAGGGGGTGTAGAAAAGGATGTTGAATACCCTAGAATGCCGTGAAATTGAGCAGTCGTAGCTCAAGAAGCTCATTTAATACTTAGGTATAGCTATGCGCGTTAATCCGCTTGCCTGTCATTTACAAAATGCAAATGTCATATATTTTTTGGAGCTTTGAATCTGTCTTGTACGTGAGATATCACACAAACCTCCCATATCGAATTCTTATGCAGCCCGATCTTGATATCCAAGCACCGGCTCCTCCCAACAGGGCGAGCGAGGCTGCGGATCATCATGCTTAAGGTAACCCTCCAATGGGATCTATTCATTATGCACATATGAATGCACCCCAGCTTACATCTCCCACCCAGATAGCACTTCACATAAATTACATCACCAACACGCCCGCTCGAGATACCACTCCCTCAATCCATTCCTCCATACTTGACCAGACTCTCTCCCCCACCCTTTCATGTCACCCACGTCCCTGCAATATGACCCCATCCAAGCCCCCTACGACTACATTCGCACCTCAACCATCGCTCTCATCGAGCATGACAATGTACGCACCACACTCACCCCCTTCATCCCCAACGCCCGTGTCCTTGAACTCGCCTGCGGCTCAGGATTCTATACCTACGACCTGCTCAAATGGGGCGCCCGTAGCGTCGTCGGCGTCGACATCTCGGCCGTGATGATGGATAAAGCGCGGAGCGTGGGGGAAGAGAGGGGCGTAGGTGAAAGGTGGCGTTTATCTAAGCTGATGCTCGGTTCCCAAGGCCTACGAGGGCGGGGAGTTTGACATCGTTTTTGGAGCTTGGTTGCTTAACTGTGCCTCCGATCGCGAGGGGTTGGTTCAGATGTTTCGGAATGTTGCGGTGAATCTGAGGGAGGGGGGGAGGTTTGTGTCAATTACTGTTCCGCCTTCCGAGAATCGGATTGATTCGCTCAATGCTGAAGCGGCAGCTCGACCCGAGGTGGAGGGATCGGGGTTTTTGATGTACAAGTATATCAAGGATGTTGATGATGGGATTTTCTTCGGGGTGCATGGTGAGACGCCTGTTGGAAGCTGTACTTTGAATGCTATCACCTGAGGAAGGAAGTGTATGAGATGGCGTCGAGGGAGGCTGGGTTGAAGGGCACGTTGGAGTGGGGGGTGATGGATGTTCTGGAGAGTTTCTTGACGGAGGACGCACCAGGAGGTGCAACATTGCGTGAGTTGGAGACTTATAAGAGTATTCCGGCGTATGGGGTACTGGTTATTACAAAGTAGGTCTTCAGAATCCGCGGTGTGGCTGCAGAGACATAAAAGCTTGTCATCTCTAGTTCCTCTTACAACGATGTGAATATGCCCTCGCCGAACTCGGTTCAAAATGGTGGTAGTGGAGTAAAATGAAATAAAATACTATAACGTATCATAGTGAGTAGAGGCCCTCCAGGGTCCCAAAGTCCAATAGCCCATTCATTTCCCTCGTTTCCATCGTATATCCATCATCGTGTTCAAGGCCCTTTGAATTCCAATTTCGTTAATTACTCGCGGCTCCCAAGCTGCCTTTCATCCCAATTATGACCTTCTTTTTGCCGTCTTCCTTGTCGCCTTCCTCAACTGCATTTTTGGTTGCATCCATGGCACTATCATCGACATCCAAGCTCGTCTCGCCATCCTCCCAAGTTCGAGGTCTGATAACTCGAATGCTAACTTCCAGCTCCAGAGGATCTTCCTCTTTGGCGTCTGTCTTACCCACTGTCTCCTGTGGGTTGTCTTTCGTGACTATTTCCGCCGTTTCTGCTTTCTCTTCTTTCGTCTCACCTGAAGCATCTTCAGCATTCTTTGTGGCCGATTCTGTGTTCTGAGCCGATCCTGTTGGCTCTTCAACCTTCTCCTCGTCTCCCTTCGCTTTATCTTCCAACTTTACAGCTGCCTCTTTATCTTTCTCGCTACTTTCCACCTTGGCTTCTTCGGAGCCTGCCGAACTTTTTACTTCTACTTCATCTTCCTTCTCCACTTCTTTAGCTTTAGCATAGACCCTCAATCCAACAACCGCAACCGCATTCCACGGATCCTTCTCAAACTCATCTTCGCTCTCATCATCCGCGGCTTTCTTATCTTTTTTCTCTTCCTTCGTCACGGGTGTTGGCAATTTCGCCTTCTCAATCTCTGCATCTATGGTCGAGTCGCTCACCGAGCTCACACAACTATCCGTGTCACTGTCATCCGAGTCGTAGATCGGAGCTTCACGTCTGTTGAGTTTATCACGAGATGCGGATCCAGCGGGTTTAAATAGAGAGACTCCGCGATCAGCATTCTTGCGAGTTGAGCGAGCGGATTGGGAACTATCCCCTGTGACGGTGGTTAACTGATCTAGAGCGGCTTCTGTAATGGCTTGATGGGCGCTACTGGACGCTGGTGTTTGGCTTTGTGTTGGAGCGGCGCCTTCGGTCCTTGGCCCTTCCTTATCCTTTACTGCTTTCGCCTCTGGCTTCTCTGAAGGCTTCTCGCCATCTGAATTCTCAGACGCTGCCTTCTCAGAGCCTGTTTTCTCAGTGTCTGCCATATCAGTATCAGCTTTCTCAGATTCTGGCTTTTCTGCGCCCGTCTCTGCCGCTGCTTCTTCTTCAGGCTTCGTCACCTCTCCTTCTAGCTTCTTCTTATCGGCTTCCTTCTTTTCTCTAGCCTCCGCTCTAGCTTTAGCTTTGTTCTGGCGAGCCCTCTCTCTCTTCGCCGTTTTAGCTTCGCTGCGCTTCTTCTTCTTCTTCTTTTCCGTCAGCTTATCCTTGAGTTCTTTGCGCTCCTTGGCTTTGGCCCTCGCCTCTGCCTTCTCCCGAGATTTTTTGTCTTCTTCAGACTCTTCCACATGACCCTTAGCATGTGCTAGATCGTAGGCAAGGCCAATGCGAAGGAGCTTGTCTCGTCGATCCTTGGCATTGTCACGGATAACAGTGTGGGCTGGCAGTGCGGTGAAGTCGCGCTTGGCAGTGATCTTGACAAGTACCAAATACTCACCAGCCTCGTCAAGATCAAGCTCAGCAGCAACGGACCGCTTCATGCAGTAGTTGGTGTGTGAGCGTATAATATAATCTTCTTCGCCAGCCTTGTGGATACGAAACGAGAGTTCAAAGGTGTACTGACCCTCGAGGCCTCTGAAATAGCGACCATCAAGCTGGTTTAGGACGACCACGACCGAAGCCGGTTTATTAATCGTAAAAGCGAATTTGGTGGAGTTATAGTCCACTGACCATGGAATCGTCAAACTCGTCCATTGATGCGTGACTTTCCAGTCATCTGTGAACAGCCTCGTCCGATCAAAAGTTTGATATTTCTTAAGAAAGTCGTCGTAGCTAATCCAGAACGCACCGTCGTCACCAAACCTGTGGTTCAACTTCATCATCCATTCCGGTGTCCATTCTTTGCTCCCATCAGACCAAGGCCCTGTCCACTCTCCTTTGCCCCAAGGGTTCTTGAGAAGTAGGAGGCGTTGGCCGTCCATTTCGACAGCTCGCATAATCGAATAAGCGTGGCCCTCGATGATACCTTTACGTTCCCCCCAGCCAGCAAAGAGGCATGAGGAGCAGCCGAATAGGAACTCTTCGTTCACCCTAAGAAGCTCATTCGTCCAAAATGAATTCTTGTCCAGGATATCTGTTGAAAATAGCTCCATTGTAACGCCGCCTGTTAGATCTTCAATACCTTCACCAGTATATCCCCCGTCAATAGTTGCAAAATCGCCATGTGCTTTCGCGTAGGCTTTCTCCAAAAGCGGCAGCCAGGTTTCGTTTGGGTCTTCACACTGTGCGAAGTATAGCGCTCCTGAGTTGGTCTGATACACCTTTTTATATTCATCCTCCGAGCTCACTCTCTCGCGATCCTCCCACAGCAGTCTCTCAAGAATGCTTTCGTCATAATCTGGTTTAGTCAAGTACAGCTTATCGTCGATTATCTCAGATCTCCACTCGGAGTCTCTGTAAAATACAAATCCATACACTCCAACGGCTTCATCTCGGGCTACACAAACTCTTTCTATCAACCCCTTCTTATTCGTCAATGTACATAGACCAGCCAATAACCAGCAGTCGCCATCTTGGCCCTGTCTGATATCTTTGGCTTCAGGACCATTGATGAAGAATTGGGGATTCTCAAAAATATCCCCTACTCTCTTCACACTTTTTGGCCTGAATATAGATTTCTCTCGATTCGGTGTCTTCAATGTTTCAAGGCAGTCACGCTTGCCCCATTTCAGGTCAAACTCGATATCGAAATGTGGATCTCTGTATTTTTGATTTGCCCGCCGACACTCCTTCACAATTTTGGCAACCTTGAGCTTGCATGTTCGAGCAGCCTCTTCGTAAGATGCCGAGGATGATAGGCTCGTTATGGTCCTCTTTGGAGCAGAGTCACCGACCTTCTTCGCGTACGAGTCTGTCGGTAGGATCGTGGTTGCTAAGAATATTGAAGTTAGTTCTGCATCAACAGCACATGCACGCGGCTTTCAATGTTTCTTACGTACCTTTTCCTGGCATTTTCGTATTGAATTTGGTCCAAAACTCATCAATAATTTCCTGCGGTGCTTGCTTTTTGGACTTTTTAGTCGTCGTTGTCGTCGAAGCTTTAGGTTTGACCGATTCCGACGAGTCCCCATGGCATCGGTTTATCATCGTTCGCACGTCCTCCACGTCTCGCCCTGAGAAGGTGGCCATGATTTGAGTTCCAATGTGACTGATGTGAAGGGATAGAAAAAGACCATAACAATAATTATAAGTTTGAAGGAAAGGAATGAGCAGATGTCACCCAAGCAGCTACAGTAGATATAGCCCTTGTAAACGACGAGATGAAGGTAGCAGGGCTAGCCATGTGATAATGAAGGAGAGACGGGGCTCATGAAACTTACGGATGGTGAGCAGCTCTGGTCCTGCGGCTATTCCAGTTCATTGGCCTGGTAATAAGCCAACATCCTGTCACCGAAACAATGAGGCGCCGGCCGCAGCCTACTGACCTTACGCTACCTCTATTGTGCGACTATTATTGGCCGCCTTGTGTATTACGATCCAATAAGTGTGCGACACGGTGTGCACTGGCCATAAGATCCCTCCCACAAGTGCCTTGCGGTTTCGGGGTCGCGGAACGGTGAGTATGTGCGTATCGTGTGTCGAGTCGAGACACCACTTTAGCTGTCGCGCCTCCACTTCATACAGCGCGTCGGCGATTAACAGACTAGTCGTAAATAACATCAAAGTCCGAGAATAGACACTGAACTGGAAGGAGGGCCGAATAACTGTTTCTGTAATTGCACAGCGAAGGTAAATGCCAAAGAAGGCTGAGAGGCTCCAGGTAGCTCTTCTGCCTGGGATGTAACACATGACGGGGCTCAACAGTTGTTTCCCAACCAACTCTGCATTTCAAGGCTGACGGCAGTTCGTATGTCGCAACCGTCTATCTATCAGCAGACAGCAAATGGGATACCTAACAAAAAATGCAAGGTGACTCAAGGTGGAATGCATGTTAGTGGACTCCACAAGTAGGATGGAAATGTAACGTCGAAGAAGGTAGGGAACTGTGAATTAGAGTCCGGTACAGGGACGACCCGAAACAATCTCAACAATGCTGCATATCTTCCAGCATCTCTAAGAATATAAACAAAGCGATGTGCACAACGTCGTAGCTCCCAACCTGGCATATGAGTGTCATTTTGCAATGGCAGAGAAGGTCTCGTAGAAGCACAAATTCAGTTGTTTTGGACCAGAAAAGGGGTTTAGAAGTATCCATGTCTCCTCACCCGTTCAGCTGGAGACATGGCCAACAAGAAGACCCTGCGTTAACCAATCAAAAGAAGTACTATGAGGTAGATCAGCCACTGAGTGAGCTGATACGATGAGGATGCAACTTAGGCTAGTGTCAGGTACCCAAGGCCGAATACAGGGCGTTATTTATTCTGGTGTACAACCACGAATGAAACTATTGGGGGCGACACATAACGCATTGCCGTCATGTTTCTGGTTGCATTGGGCGTTGCTGGACCGAGCAAAGAATTGAAGAATATGGAGCTGCCTCGACCAACCGTACAATGCGTAGTCCACCCGAGAAGCTAACATCGACGCCGTTTGGTGACGCCTCAACCCAAAGGAAAGGTAGAACGCAGCTGGGGGTATCATAACCTTCTCTCCAGTCATACATTAATGCATCGAGAAAGCCCTTTGTGACGTTGGGTTCCTTGTGCAGTCGACCTGCAGTCTAACGTGCTTTTAGGACTGCGAAACAATGAACGTCAACAATTATGTGATTTATATGGGAAATCCGCGACTTTGATTGGCAACTCAGTCAGTACAGTCCCTACGAAGACATCTGGGCTGGATGAATAGCTTTACTTATCTATGAGCAAAGAGCCTGGCTCCCTTAACTGTTCTTTAAAAGGTAGGCCGAATATTGAAACTTCCTCTCTTTCGTTCAATATATTCATCCAAAATCATGGAGCTCGAATCCAGTCTTCAAGAACACGAGGAAATATACTTCCGAGTAATCCAAGGGATGATACTGCTTTGTAAGGCTTGCATCCCCACTGTAGGTTAAATATTGGGTTTTTTTCCATATCGTGGTTGAGAAAAGGCGCGCCTCGATATGCTTTGCAACCAATATACAGTTGTTATATCTGGGTGACGGGGTGCTGGGGCCAGGTAATTCGTTGAATTCAGTTCGTCAACACAGCTCTCAGAGGAATTGGAGTGTTGTTGTTGTATCTGGAGGCTTGCCCAAAATGGAAGAATGTGAAGTTGCGCGCGGCAACCAGCGCTTATACAGTAAGAAGCGGTTCTCTTCACTTCATTGCACGACCTCATACGTATTGTACGCATTTCTTCAATGCAGAATCTCTATCTACAGCAAATCTACGCATGTTTCTATCTCGTTACATAGCTCTCTTTAAGAAACACCATATTTGTATCTCGTTCTAAGCTTTCAAGGCACCCGATAATATTAATATTTCATTTGAAGATGAACTGGACCGGTGGACGCCTTTCGAGGCATTCTCGCAGAGCTGATAGCTCAACTACCAGTAAACAGAAACAGCACTTTGCAAAGGTGCGCAGCCATTTGATGAGTGGCTCCGTGAAGAAAGGTCCAGCTAAACGTCCGAACTTTGACATGGCAGCCCCGCGACCTCCTGATGGGTTGCGTATTAGAGATGGAACCGTTAGAACTCAGCCAGGGCAGCCATTGGCACCTTTGAGTCATGATCTACATACTTACCACGGTGTATATGTCGAAAACAAGCGTCCAGGTATTTATCCTCGGTTTCATAACAGCTCTTGGGAACGACCTAATCCTTAGAGAAGGCCGTGCAGACATCTGTCGTCATGGACAGCCGGGTTATTTAGGCTCGAACGAGGTGTCCAAGAGTTCAATTCACAGCTACGAAACGAAACCAGAGCCGATTATCAACATAGAGCCCGTCGATGGGGACTATGAAGAGCAAGACGACATGGAAGCGATACGACGGAAACGGTTTCGGATTCTTCGCGAGGGTGACTGGCTAGGACTGAGCATACAACGTCCACTTCAACTCAAGTACATGGAGTCAGAAAGCCGGGATGCGATTGGTAAACGGAGAAAGTTGAATGCTGGCTATGGAGCACAGTATTCAAGAGTCCAGGACAAGATTACCTCTCCGTTTGCACCCAATCGTCATATTCCAAGCAGAGAGATATTCCCGAACCATGGTGAGAATCAGCCGCAATCAATGCAATACGGACAGACCCCAGGCGCAAAGGGAAGTGTCAGAATATTTATAGACGGCCGAGAAAGACATGTCAGAGAAAGTTCGGGTAGTGTCATAAACCAGCCACATCCCGAGTATGTTCAATCATCAGCGTCGTCAGATGTGATGCTGCTTGATTTAGAGGGTAGCAGATCGAGACCAAGACTGCCACATCAACGAAGTTCAGACATGGCCAACAGCAGTGAGTGCTTTCTAGAACCTGTGGAACATGGTCGCCAGGGCTCTGAAGAGAAATCAATGTCATCAATTGGTAAATACCCAAGCTCAGGACCTCGGATTCACCAAATAAGAGGACCAACTCGAAATATGTATCCCCCCAGTCTACAAATCCAGAGCAGCCCGATACTTACCATTGATCGCACAAAAACCAACTGGCCAGGCGCTTCGCCAGTTATCTACCACCCAACCCCCAAAAGCTCAACGACGTCACGACTCTTGCGAAGCAATTCATCGGTGTTTGAGGGTAGCGTTGCTGCTACGGCGGGAAGAAAAGGCATAGTTACCGCTTCAGTTGCTCGAGATGAAGAGATGTGGAGGAGTTGGCTAGTTGCAGAGAGTGACGAACAACAATCTCCTGCCTGGCCTGCGGACGACGAAAGCGATCAACTTGCGCCTGATATTCCTAGTACCAGCTACAACACTACACAAAGTAGATCGCCTGGGTTGTCGTATGCTGATCCAAGTACCCGAGACGATGAATCTGGTCATGGGAGGGAGCTCATACCCTCGATTCAAAACTCTACATCATCAGTCAATGGGTCTCCCAATGACGAGAATAGTGGAAATAATAATACAAAGCCGAGTTTTCGAACGGGAATATCGAAGCCTCGCGGACCAGGAACTGACGATATCCAACTGCCCAGTGTCTCCCCAAGAAGGCAACCGAAGGAAGAGAACCGGAACACTGCATGGGAAAAGTTTGTACTCGCCGGGCCGAGTGAAAACCTGGCAGATCTCGCTATCGAACCTCCCCAAAAAGTTGCCCAAGAAGACCCAGATGCGGCATGGAAGAAGTTCGTGCTGTCAAGCGACTCCGATGATGATAGTAGTGCTTCTAGCACAGAGAACGAAGCAGAATCAAAGACGAGTGCCTCTCAGAAGCGGATGCAGAAGTCATCGTCGAAGATATCGTTGCAAGTCAATCCTGCAGAAACAGTGGTCCACTCAGACCCGCGGCTTGACCACAGCAGTGGCGCTACCTCTGCTAGAGTGACCTACAACCCATCGACACGTCTTACGCCTTCTAGGTCTAACGGCAGTGAGGCAAGTGTGAGACTCTCGGGAACCTCAATGTATACAGATGGCTCAGCAAGTGAAGCCAGTCAAGCATCCAGATACTTTCCACAAGCAACCAGCAAACTCTCCCAAAGGGTCGTCAATAAGCGAAATTTGGAAGATCCTCTCGCACGATACATGCCTCGACAACCGGAGTCAGAGTGCGACATTGTCATGGCCAAGGAAGCACAGCTCCCAGCGCGAAACGAGTCTTTTGAGCGTGGACTGGATGACTCTTTGAAGCAGGCGCTGCATCTTGGAAGGAGATATTCGAAGCAGGAAAAGGAGAGGCATGTGGAACAGAAAAAGGAGACATATACGAACCAGGAGAAGGTCAGATATGGGGAACAGGAAAAGGGAGGGTATGTGAAGCAGAAAAACGAGGGCTATGAGAAGAGGAAAAGTAAGGAAACTAGGGATATTTATGATATTCCGATATCTGATGATACTGAGGAGGTGGATGACGTATAAAGCTCTGGCCACTTACCCACGAGCTGGGACTTCACAAATTTGCATTTATGTTGCCCGTCACAGTGGAGCTGTTACAATAGAGACATGATGATTAATGATTGCAGTTTGATTCATGACAGAGGCGTCCACAATCAGTGAAGTCGGCAACAGTTCGTTCAATCGTTTCGTTTATGTTGTTTTCCAAGAGCCGCTGTAGCCGTCCCTCTACAAGTCACCAAGCACAGCTGCCAACGCTCACTCAATGACCTCGAGTGAGCCCATGTCTTCCTCATGACGAGCTTGTTGCGTCAGGAGCCAGGTCAGGAACAGCCGCCTAAACTGTGGATTCCCAACACGTCTGCCTTGACACATGACTGACGCTAAAACCCTGCCTTCGTAAACTGACAGAACAGTACTGTACTGTACAACTTCTCATTCGAAGCTCTATAAAGGGGAGTCACACATAAACCGCCGAAACATCTCATTGTAGCACATGCAGTATATGCAAGTATGTATATGCTGTGAGCAAGACACATCGCCACGACTCATTTTCTGTATACCGAGTATCGTAATTCTAATTCTCAGATCCCTGATCCCGTGATCTCGCCATTTTCCCTTATCGCCATAAAACGTCACTTTCATGGCGTCTTATCGCGAACGTTGACGGTCCGCTACGGTCCCCCATACTAGCCTGATACGTCAAGCATAACATCACGGGAGATACCTCGTTACCACAAAAGTTAACTATCAGTCAACCACAACCTTTCTGTCTACTCCCCTTCTCCCTTCTCCCTTCCCATTTCCCCTTCTTCACTTATTCTCTTGCGGCCCTTTCCCCCAACAACAAACGACATCTACATCTTGAATTCTGCATCGACAACTCCACCATTCTACAGCTACTATATTGCAGTTGGTTCTTGTTCTGTAGAAACCCACCTCGCCGTATCCCAGCCTTATCTCTCCAGGCGCCTTCCCCCCCCAGCTATTCACTTGGTACCGCTTCGAGTCATTAACTTGAACCTCGTCGACGCCCCACCCCCAACGACGCCCTTATCCGCTCTTTAAACTCACAGTCCGTGGAGGATATCTTGAGGATACACTATACCGAACGAAATACTTCTTTGCCAGACGTTGCACGCAGATCGTGCAGCTACACGGCGCACGCCACACGCTTCCCGACTCTATTGGTTGATAGCTCCCAGTAGCTGCCTTTATATACGAAACTCACGACCTGCTGAAGCTGGACCCATCGCTTCACATCGTGTGTGTACATGCATTAACACAAGAGCTGGAAAGCTTTGGTCAACGTGGTCGGGGAAGAGTGCTTGAGATCCAGCTCATTACCCAGCAAGGTACCACCACCGGCCATCCAACATGGCGTTTTCACAAAGCTCGAGGTCCTCCTCATCGCGGATGAACGACACATTGGTGGGGGCATACAGGATCGACACAGAAATAGGCAAAGGAAGTTTTGCTACGGTATATAGAGCTCACCGACGGGTATGTGACCCTCCAACCCCATGTTGCGCTTGAATAGAGCCTGAGCTACGACTGCAAGGTCTGAGTGACTGAAGTACTACTCAAGCCTATGTGCAACCCATATACCACTAAGTACACTCACTAACTGTCACACTCATGCAGACAACCCGTGCTCTTGTTGCCATCAAATCGGTCAATTTGGCGAAACTTAATCGAAAGTTAAAAGAGAACCTAAATCAAGAAATCGACATCCTCCAATCTCTTCAACATCCTCATATCGTCGCCCTGTTGGGCCGCCATCAAACCGATACACATATACACCTGGTGATGGAATACTGCGAGCTAGGCGACTTGTCGTTATTCATCAGGAAGCGCTCGAAGTTCTTAACAAATGCGGCGACTGCTGATATGGCGAGGAAGTATCCAAATCCGGATAAAGGTGGGCTGAACGAAGTGATCAGCGTGCACTTCCTCAAGCAACTTGCGAGCGCGCTGGAGTTTCTTAGAGACAGGAACTTCATACATCGCGATGTCAAACCACAAAATATGTTGCTGCTTCCATCACCGCAGTATATGGCGGCACATCCTCAAAGCCCTCTACTCATGTCACCGAGTGTTGAGTCTCTGATCCCAGCCGCGGGATTACTCTCACTTCCGATGCTGAAATTGGCCGATTTCGGCTTCGCAAGGTCTCTACCAGCGGCAAGCTTAGCAGAGACTCTCTGTGGCTCGCCGCTTTATATGGCGCCTGAGATACTGCGGTACGAAAAGTACGACGCAAAGGCCGATTTATGGTCTGTTGGCACGGTAATGTACGAAATGGTGACCGGCAGGCCTCCATTCCGTGCCGCAAATCATGTCGAGCTCCTCCGCAAAATAGAGATGCAGTCCGAGGACCTTCCATGGGATTCAGGCATCGCGATCAGCGACGGCTTGAAATCTGTCATTCAGGGACTCCTCAAGAAGAACCCTGTTGAGCGTCTTAGCTTTGATAGCTTCTTTGCTCACCCAATAATAGTAAATAATATCCGGGGCTTGGTAGGAGGCGACAGGCCCGAAGAAATCCGTCCAACACCAAGGTCCGAAGAACCAAAATCTACGAGCGGTCAATTTTCGGCCAAATTATCTCGTAGGGGCGTCAGCGAGAATGATACACGGCCCACTGGGATAGTGTCAAGTGCTTACAGAGCAGTTCCTGCAGAGACGTTCGATGAGGCACAACACAGACCAAGACAGCCTCATGGTACTCCACCTAGAGCGCAAGCCGAGCGGTTCCAGGCCAACCCTGGACCGTCCACTACCTCACGGAGGCCAGTGATACATACATCCAGCACTGTTCCAAATAAATATCCTTCAAACGAAGAAGCTATGGAAAGGCGACCAAGCGCTGGTCCAGTTGACATGGTACGGGGCAGGAGCCAAGACTCCCCATCACCTGGTTCTTCGTTATTAAACGAGAGGAAACGAGTTCCCCCACGCAACGACAATATGAGGAGAGACGAGAAAGAGAGAGCTGCCCAGGACGTGAGGGACGAGCGCGAGTATATTGTTGTAGAGAAAAATTACGTTGAGGTTAACTCCTTTGCTGATGAGATGGACGCCAATGCTAGAGGGCAGCCGAACTCGCCGAGAGCGAACATGAGGAGAAGAGCACAGACAGAGGGCCCGCCATCGTCCAACCAGCCTGCAACTTCACCCCCGATTTCTCCCAGCGGCATGCAGATAGCCCAAGGAAAACAAAATCCTCACCGCAAACTGTCGTACGATCGCTCTTACGGCAGCCCTAGCTCGGCTACTTCTGCGATCACAAAGGCAATATCAAATGCGAGTCTCAGACTCTTCGGAATTTCTGGTTACGCGCCACAATTGTTGAGAGGGCAGTCACCACCTCAACTATATGGTGCGTTTACGGGATTTGCGACCTCTCCGGGTATCGCCGGTATGATCACTGATGGCAAACCCGGAAAATCGAGCGACGAGGATGTCAAAATTGGGGATCGAATCGAAGCGCTGGCAACCAGATCTGACGTTGTATATGGCTTTGCAGAAGTCAAATACAAGCAGCTCATCCCGCTTGCGCCGTCTATGGATCATGGCCTGGGTGGAAACAATGCAAGCGAAGCGGACCCGGAAGATGATGGCCTCACTCCTGATGCCGTTGTTTCGTTGTCAGAGGAAGCACTGGTTTTATACGTTAAATCTCTGACTCTGCTGGCAAAGTCGATGGGCATTGCAAATTCTTGGTGGAACAAGAAGAAGAGAGCAGAGGCCGCCAGTAGCGCAACTACCGTGAAAACTGAGACTGCTGTCGCGGCAACCCGTATAAACAGTGCCGTTCAATGGATGCGGAGCCGATTTAACGAAGTTCTTGAAAAGGCAGAGTTCTCTCGATTGAAGCTTATCGATGCCCAGAAACAACTCCCCGAGGATCATCCTGGTCATCCAAGTAACCACACCGATGAATCGAGAATGGATGGAGGAGATAGCTCAACAGCCGATGGCGTTTTTCTCAGCGCTGGCACAACAGCTGAGAGGCTGATGTATGATAGAGCTATTGAGATGAGTCGATCGGCCGCTATCAACGAGATTGCAAACGAGGACCTGGTCGGCTGCGAACTCTCATATGTAACTGCGATTCGTATGCTGGAAGCAATCCTCGAAAAGGATGACGACGAGCCCCAGAAGAAGGTGGGGACCACGCAAGTTACAGAGAAAGACCCAGATGATCCCGTGAACGGCATCAATGTCGATGATCGGGACGCGGTCAAGAAACGTAAGTTGTCGGTCTAGTATATACTTTCGGGACACTTTCTAACTAGTTACAGTCGTCTCCATGGTCCGAGGCCGCCTCCTCACGCTCCACAGAAAGCTCGCCGTTATTGCCAAACATAAGTCTCAACCTCAACAGCAACGCTCTCGTCCCTCCAGTAACCATAGCGGACGCACAACACCTACTATCACTAACACTCCCCCAAAACAATGAGCTTGGTCTCATGACGCCCGCACAAATATATTTTCAGCTTACCGGATAAGCTTAACTGCGTTACAAAATTGGGATTCCCGGCTCGCCCATCTCATGGGCGAGATTGGGTAGAGTACACCATACCATGGCATATTTGTGTCGTCGAAGCTTTTGTTTCCTGTACCTCATTTTTATCTATTTTTCCACTTTTCGGCCGCCCACGCGGCCAGTGTTGGTTTTGTCGTTTCTTTTTCTTGTGCATTTTTTTTTGTTTTCGCACGAATGAACCGTTTGATAAAACCTACTGGGAAGCATGATTACGGCGTTGGCGAATTAACCCTCGGGGATGGGAATGGCGTCTCGCATGCACCCTGGGAATTGTCTCGGCGGGAGGGCGCTCGGGACAATTGTGAATACCCTTTTTTGCTCTGTTGACGTTTTTCTCTCTGGTTTTTTTATTTTTAGGGAACGGAGAAGAGGTGGATGGGATTGAGGGTTGCGGGTTATATTTTGCATTTCCCCGCGCCGTACCAAACTTGGCTGGAAGGCAGCCGAGACGAATGGGATGATGGGCGTTTTTTTCTGGAGTAGGAGAGGTGGGATCTGAGAAATCGACTATAGATTGATTGGAGATGGGGTTATTTATGGTCAATGGGATCATCGGAATCAGAAGACCAGCATTGCATATGTTATTCGCGCCCCAGGTGTTGTGATATGCGTCTGAAATGTATCCCCGAATAATATGGAATCATTTATGTGGCACTCGGGCTACTATCAATATTATGGGATTTCTCAGCATAATAGATAAATAGTTATGATTCATTGCCTCATGATAAGAATAAGTTAATCGCAAATAATGTCCCATCAACTCCGCTGCGCCGCATCGCCATTCCCGCTATCCATATCATCCTGCGCCTCATAATGGTCCATCATAGACCGATCCGTAAGTTTCGCCGGCTTCCCATTCGCAACCCTCTTCCTCTCGCGCGCAGTCTAGGGAGGTAGCTCGGCTAAAAGGCATGTTAAGAAGCGATGGGATTGATTTATCCATCCCCAGTCCGCCGAGGATAAGTGGATCGAAGACGTTGGTCACCGCTGCTCCGACGTTCAGGAGGAGGGTCAGCGCGAACCACAGGTATGTCTTTGGGTCGAGGAAAACCTCGATGACTTGGCTCCAGTTGAATTCGCGGGAACCGATACCGGTGTTGTTTGCGCGGAGACGCTCGATGGCTTGGGCGCGCTGGTGGCCAGTGAGGAAGCGGGCGGTTTTGACGTCGTTTTCGAGTCTCCAGTAGACGAAGGAGGCGGTGACGACTGTGACGAGATCGACGAAGAGGAATATGTTGTTGATGAGTTAATGGCTGTGTATTTGTGGAATGCGGGGATTGGAAGAGGGGACAAGACTTACATCTGCCATGACTTAAGGGTGCTGCTGGGAACATGGGCGAGTCCGAATGAAAGACCTGCTGCGACAATTGTTGCGATGCGTTGGTTCCATACCAGGCTGCAATGCGGACGGGCTGTTCAGCATGACGGTACCACTGGCCTGTTATAACGCCGAAAGCGGGAGGCATGCAGCTTCGAAGAGGCCGAGGAAGAAACGTGTGGTGACGAGTCCGGCGTAGTCGTGCGATGCGGCCATGCAGGTTTGTGCGAGTCCCCAACCGAGGATGAGGATGGGCATTAGGATGCGATGGGGTGCTTTGACAATTACGGCTGAGGTGAAGGGGAGCCAGCATACATGGAGTATTTTGAGCCTTTCAGCCCGGTATCTTTTTGGAGACCGAAGAGGGAGGCATATCCGAGGACTGATCTGTCAAGTCTAGGTTAAGTTAGTGGGCTGTAGAAGAGGTACAGAGGGTATAATACTAACTTGAAGGAAGTAGACCCAGATAAGTATTATCAAGATTGTCTTGTTTGTTTTACGAAGGATGATTCTGTTCTGTTGACAACCGTTAGTACGGGAAATCACTTCAACCTCGTAGACAACTGGGAAGATGGACTCACATCTTGCTCTGTGACAATCACCCGCACTCCGTCAAACTGACTCGACACCGGATTCCACATTTTCCAAACGGGTTGAATCTGTCTTGCTGTCTCCCAGAGGTGGAGCCTGCTCCTGAACCTTTGCAGCGTCGATTGGTGCCATTGGCGTTTTTTAAGGAATACTGAGTTCTTAAAGGCGAGAGTTGATAAGTAGATAGCCCGATAGGCAACAGGATAGTGCTGAGAAGGTCATATCTAGCTTTATATACTGGGCGACTATCTATCATTACTCCCACGTTAAGGTCATATCTAGCTCTGTGTACTGGGGCGACTGTCTACGAGCCCTTCCCATTTTTGGCATTATTGCGGGGTGCGGGGTGCGGGGTTTAGCGTCTTTCCCCACAATACCCCTCATCGTCGCACCACATGGAGTTTGAAATTGGAGGGAGTGGAGGGAGAGATTCGGTTGTAGCGGTGAGTTGTTAACTTAATAATGTCAGTCACAGGACGATCATTAATAGATATTGAAAGGTGTCATTCATAATGTCTCATTGTCATGCTGTTACATGTTCCAGTATACCCCAAGATTGTGACTATCTCCATGACTCGGGATCCATACCTGCCCCATGCACATATAAGCTCCCCCACGCCCAACATGCCGCCCCCTCTACATCCGCCCCCTCTACATGAGAATCTAGACCCCATCCTTCCCAAACGCCGTTATCCAATGAACTCGTAGATCTATACAGTACAAATCGGATATTGCTAAAACCAAGACCAAAAATATATATCCATGAAAAAGTCCCAAGTCGTCTGGGTTTGATTAGTTCTTCGGACTTCCAACGCCAGCTGGTGGCGTATACTTCCACACGACGGGTGATTTGTCCTGGACGGGGAAGAGTAGCATGGGCGGGAGGCACATGCGACCGTTCTTTTTCTCGAACTACAAGCACGGAGTAAGCAATTGCACGCTAAACGAAAATAAATCAAGAACTTACCTCAGCCGCACCCTCCCCCACCCCCATCCACTTATCCCACATCTTAGCCGCTGCTTTCGAGTTGGTATCAAAAGTACTCCCCTCCCAGAGCAGCCCTCTCTTCCCACCACCGTATAAACTCCTCTGGCTACTCCCCACCTCCTTCCTCGGGCCTGAATTGAAGTATTTCCGCAAGCCCTCACCGATCCACGCATGCTCAAACCAAATCGGCTGAGGCGCATACACGGCTTTTAGTCCATGTAGCAGCGCCACCGTGGGCGCCGCCATCTCAGCATTTAGGAAACGCCCCTCAAGGGACTCCTTTTGCATAAGGTTAAGGAGTCTCTTTGACGCTATCCCGAATGTTCCGGCCGTCGCACGGCGCGCCAAGTTCTTGCCATGTTTATATCCCCAGACATCATTGCGACCGCTCCACGTCGTGCCGACCGGGTTGAAGATCGGGAACAGTGTGATTAAGTCCGCCTTCTCGCCCAGTCCCCACATGAAGTGCTCGTTCTTAGCTTCCTCAGCGGCCGGTCGCCTGGGACCTTGTTGCGTAAACTCCGGGACGACGGGGACGTCCCAGATGATGCCCTCGGGGTCGGATTCTTTCTCGACTTTATCGCGGAAGACGGTCTCGTAGGGCCCATCAAGGGAGGGCGTCGCCAGGCGCTCGTTGCGTTCCCAGAGGCACTTCCGGGGTTGGCGCTGCGCAAAGCGCGGTAGGGACTTTGCGAGGTCGTAGTAGTGCCCTGTGAAGCGCACGTTGAGATCCCATTTCCAGAAATAGTCGTATGAGGGATTGAGATGCGCAAAGCGCTGGATGGGGAGCCATTCGAGTTTCTCGAGGACAGGGCCACCAATATCAGCCTTGGAGGGCATGGCGGGGTACCAGGAGCGAAGAAGGCGTTCGGTGTAGATGTGTGCCATTTCGCTGAATTCGGGTGGGACGGATTTGGCGACTACGGCGTCGTAGAGGCTTTTGTCTGTCCATGTTGCGTCGTCGCAGTCTTCGACTTCGACTAAGAGGTAAACCTGGTACTCGCCCCCAGTCTTGAAGGAGAGCTCATTGATTAATGCACGAATATTGAGCACGTCGTTATCTCTATAGACAGTGTCGTAGCGGGCGCGTATAAGGATAGCAGTCCTGTTTGCGACTGGTGGTGGAGGCACCCTATTGGGGTGCGGCCGTGGAATCTCTCCTTTCGCAGGATCCTGTCTCCGTTGAATGCCTCGCTTCATATGCGAGCGGTCCATTGGTGATATCCAACCCAACCCCTTGAGGTTCTGTCCAGGTTCGGTACGGGGCATTGGGAATCGCTCAACATTCTTGTAAAGGCAATGATCTTGAAGCGCGCCCCAATTAACAGATTCCCAGTTAATCGCTGGCTTGATCTCCGATTCCCCTTTCCCTTCTATGTAGCCATATCGACCGAACCGTCCCTGCCTGTCAAAGCACGTATATTTCTCCCAGTCCAGGGCGTCGCGGTCTCCAAATCCCGGGGACGGGAATCCCTTAGGATTGCCTGCAAAGGTTTGGATATTGTCTGATATGCCAAAATTGCTCCAGGGGCTTCCGCAGTTTGTGAATTTTGCGGGGTGACTGACTGCCCATTGATTCTTGTCTTGGATCTCATATTGGGGACAGTATGATTTTGCCGGTATAGGGCTATATGGCACCTCGATCGCTAGAGGGCTCAATGCATTAGGGTATCTTATTTGGTCCATAATCGTAGCATTTGTTTCGAGGTTCTTCAAGGTCGGGGTATAAATTGCTCCTGTGACTTGTGTCCTGGTGTTGACGTAATTAGTTTCGCGCACAGGTTTGAGCCCATATATATAGATGCTTACTTCTGAACCTCGCCATAAAATATATCAAGCTCCTTCATGAATTCCTCTTCCATCTTCTCATCGAACTGGGCCTCGGCGGGTGTTCCTCCGGGATTTTCATGATCAGGGGTGATCGAGACCCCTCTCAATCTGTCGTTCTGCAACACAAAAAAGAATATAAATGTGACGAGAACAGCTAAGACTACACTCTGGGAGCGCCATCGAATAGCCATATTGGAAGGTATCGGCACACCGTGCCGGCCGCCAATTTCCCAGGACACCTCTCTATCGCCGTCTCGAGCGCGTGGGGCAAGCTGCGGAGCCAATGTCGTAGCAGCGAGCGAATGTAGGCTGCGGCGGCTTCAATCTGTAGCGCGCCTGTATATGACGGAGACACCTGTCCATCTAGTGCCAAGAAGAGTTTGTCAAACTAGCATTGCCCAGAATGCCTGGAGGAGATAACAAGACATCACTTTATCGGGCTTGCAGGGTCATAGGTCCTGATGTCGGCATTGACCCTGGCGGATATAGGTTCTTCCGGGGCCGTGATATTAGGCTTTGATGACGATGCTGCACGCCCCTTTAGACAGTTTATGGTTGTTTTTAATAATAAGATTATTCTTTGTATTGAGTTTGCAAATAAAGGTGCATATGTTACTACACCATGGTCCACAATTTACGATTTGAGGAGCAACAAGACGGCCAGCGCCTTCATTCATTGCTACCTACGTGCATAGCACTTGGTATCGATATCATATCTCCTGATCCTGCCGCATTCAAGCAGCTCACTAAATCCAAAGCAGCATCGCTCAACGAGCTGCATTCCTCATATCCACGAGCACCCGAATTCCAGTGCCAATCCCCCAGGCGCCAATCCTCCAATCCTCCAAACGCTAATCCTCGCAGCGCCAAACAAATATCCTGCTTCCTCACTTCGCAAAATGCATTGTAAGCCACCGGACCCAGCTGCGTTTTCGTTAGTTGTCTTCTTTTCTTCAGTCGCCCTCCACTGGTCAACTCACCTGTCTTCTGCGCGATCCCGAATCGTGCCAAGCCTCCTCAACCAGATCCCTCTGTCTTTGCCATGCCCTTTGCTAGCCTCGCTTCTTACTCCGATGTCATCGTTGTCGATCTGTCCACTCTCCGACTGAAGATGCCTGGAGTGACTGGATTCGCTCCGCGTCCTGATCTTGCAGCTCGGACATAGGGAGGTGATTCGTGAGATACCGGTGACATCGCTGTCCCAGCACCCAGTTGTGGCACAGCCATTGTGAGTCAGGCCCCGTGCACAGTGACTGGTGACGATCCGTGGCCCGAAGTGAGTGCAGATGGAGTAGTAGGTATCGTCAAGGTTGCACATTGTGTGAGATTGAGCTCACAGAGCAACAGAGTGGTGATATGAACCCGAAGAAATGGACGAGGACTGGATTGAATACTTCAATGATTCCAAGGGTGTATCACAGATACCGACCTACCTCTGCGATGATGACAGAGCGAAAACAATGGAATGCGCAATGATAGGAAATAACGTTATGGTAGGAAGAAGGAGAGGACGACGATGGAAGGAGAAGAGATGGATCATGTACTCATTGGGCCTTTATTTACAGAATCCTCATTGCAACAGATATTGGAAGGGAAGGGTGGGTTTTCCATGAACAAACAACGATGCTGTTCAGATGAGATTCACATACGAAACCTCTCCCAGACGAACAACACGATATGGATAAAGACATCCATCCATTCATATGCTTGTCGTGGCTTTTCTTTCAATTCACCAGCGGTCCGTCCCGTATGGCTCTGGATTGGCTCACAGACACGAAACCCATTGTGGATGAACACGCACTGGAGATGGACAAAGACATCCATAAAGGTGCTTGCCCCGTCGCTTTATTTCAATTTGCCCACGGTCCATTGTGCAGAACTTTTGGACTGACCCATATGTCGGTTGGCTTCAATTATACGTGTGGTCTGGTCGACAAAGGAGCTGCGGCGGGCAGAGAAGCCGTTGCTTTCATTGAAAGTTTGTCGGCGATGCAGAAAGGCCCTTTTTTTATATCTCCCATTACTTCGATGCAGGAAGGCATTATACTGGCGGTGAGCTTGAATTTTCTTTATGGGATCTCTTGTCGCTTTGTTTCAGCACCACGAGATTTGTTGGGTGCAAAATGTCGACAAGGACGTGATGGCGGGGCTTCGGCACACGCAACGGCAAAGGATCTGGCACTGAACAATAATGGACAACTGGCGGGGAAAGGGCTTACGATGAACAATGGCGTGAAACTGGCAGGAAAGGGCTTGACGCCGCACAATGGCATGCAAGGGCGAAGAATAATGATGGACAACCGCGGCGAAGGGCCTGGCAATGAATAATGGCGTCAAACTGATGGCAGAGTGCCTGACTCTGAACAAAAGGGTGCAGTACCAGCAAAGGGCTTGGCTCCGAACAATGGCATGCAACGAAAGCAAAGGATCCGACGCCGAAGAATGGCGTCCAGTGGCAGCAAACGCCGAACAATGGCATGCAAAGACACCAAAGGGCCTGACAATGAACAATGGCATGCAACGACAACAAGGACCTGACGCCGAACAATGACGTGGAGTGGAAGCAAGCGATATGACCCGAACAATGGCCTGTCATGGCAGCAAACTGTCCTGTCTTTGACGCCGAAAAATGACATGCATCTAGTCGTGAATCTAGTCAGACTCTAAACAAATGGCGTGCAGTGGCAGCAAAGGATATGACCAGAACAATAGCCTGTCGTGGCGGCAAACACTCCCGTCTGACGCCGACATCGCGCACAAACCCACCAACAACCGGCCTGCCTCTCTCAAAAGGGGAACAATAGCCCGCAAACCCCCAGCAAATGTCAAGCCGGCCGGCAATGGGTCGTCCCACGCTCACGTGCTTCACTGACAGTCCACTCTGGTAGAGCCGCACCTATCTGATCCATACCAGCGGGTTTGGCGTGTGTGACTCGATGAGATCGAGTAAAACCACCCCGTTCGGAGCACATGTTATCATGCTATCATGCTTATCTTATCTGGTGTTTGGTAGGTTTGGCACCGCCGCCCTGAACACGGCTGAGTGGCGCTAAAGACAGTCTAGCCTAAACTAAGCTAAACTAACAGCCACACTGGCGCTAGGTATGAACATGGGCGACGACGGCAGTGGTCTGTCTGGTCTAGCTACTTCCCCACAAGATGGTACGTATACCAACGGTTCAGTACTGTGCCTGATACATCGTCAACGGCCGAGAATTGCATACATGCTCGCGCGCCGGTCGGAGGAATATCCCAGTTTTTGCTCACATGTCGTGGCCGGCCGCTGGCTGCACGGTTCTAAGCTTCGGCCATTACATCACTAAGGGTATCACCCCGCAAAAGGATCCCGCAAAAAGATCTTACCGGATGCCCTTGGGGCTTACTATACGTGGGATTGTACGCTTGTGAGCCACCGTTCAGGTGCGTAGCTGTCCCAATTCTATCAATCTAGTATCTCGGCGATGTGGGGGTCCTGTTCGTCTTGAGAGAATGGTATCGTGTATATATATACCCACGTTCGGGTCCTCATCAGTAAATGCTCCATTGCCTGTCCTATCCTCTCCACTATCCACCTATCCACCCACCCAAGGCTTGGTTCCGTAAACTTCCTCGGTATCGAGTATCAGCAGGCCTCGCATCAGGCTTCATCATACTCCGTGCTACCCACTAGTCTTCAGCGGCGAGGAATCTTTCTTATCACCTACCTCGCCGCCACTACTTTTGAGCCCTCAATCCGATCTGCTGCATTACCAGCAGACAATTGGGACGAACTCGACAATCAATATGGCACCAAAAATGCGACTGCCGTCGGGCAGAGCGATTTTGAACCTTATTTCCGTCGAGACAGAGGAGGGATTGGGCAGAACGCAGACGATGCTCGCGAACGAGGATCTGAAGCCTGGTAAGAGACTTAAATGCTCCATATTAGACCGCAACATGACGAACCTTTTCAGTTGAACCTGCACGACGGCAATGGGGACCCTGGAATTTTGTCGGCTTCTGGATTGCCGACTCCTTCAACATCAACACATGGATGATCGCCTCCTCCAGTGTCGTTGCCGGTCTGTCGTGGTGGCAGGCGTGGATTTGCGTCTGGGTCGGTTACTCTACTGCGGGTGCCTTCGTTGTTGCAACAGGACGTATTGGTGCCACTTATCACATCGGATTTCCAGTCGCCAGCCGTGCTTCTTTCGGGGTCTGGGGTGGACTTTGGCCTGTTTTTAACAGGTCTGCAATAGCTTGTATCTGGTATGGTGTTCAGGCATGGATTGGTACGATGAATTCCCCACATCTATATGTTTGTCTTAACAAACTAACGCAACTACAGGTGGCCAGTGTGTTACTCTCATGATTACAGCTATTTGGCCTCGATATGAGCAGCTCCCGAACTCAATGCCTGCCAGCTCCGGAACTACCACCAAGGATTTCCTTTCCTTCTTTCTCTTCTGCTTATGCTCGCTCCCAGCATTATACCCACACGTTCACCAAATCAGGTATTTGTTTACGGTCAAGTCCTTCGTCGTTCCAGTCGCAGGAATTGCCTTCTTTATCTGGAGTGTGGTCAGAGCTAAGGGGCTGGGACCAGTTGTCAACAAACCGAACGTCATCCACGGCAACAAACTTGCCTGGGCAATCATTAAAGGCATCATGTCCTCTATTGCGAACTTCAGTGCGTTGATTGTTAACGTACCCGATTTCTCTCGTTTTGCAATCAAGCCAAAGGATGCCTTCTGGTCGCAGCTATTCACCATCCCAGTCGGATTCGGCATAACTTCATTCATCGGCATCATCGTGTCCTCATGCTCGGTGGTCATCTTCGGCGGCGAACCCATCTGGAACCCTCTCGACCTTCTTAGCAAATTCCTAGAGGAAGGCGGCCACGGCAACCGCGCCGGCGTCTTCTTCATCGCCGCCTCCTTCACCCTCGCGCAACTCGGCACAAACATCGCCGCCAACTCCGTGTCCGCCGGAGCCGACTTGACGGCCCTTCTCCCACGCTACATTACCATCCGTCGCGGCGGCTACATCTGCGCCGCCGTCGGATTCGCCATGTGCCCATGGACCCTCCTCTCCTCAAGCAACAACTTCACCACCTACCTCTCCGCCTACTCCGTCTTCCTCTCCTCCATCGCCGGCGTCATGCTCAGCGACTACTACATCGTGCGCAAAGGCTACCTACAGATCAAGGACCTATACACGGCTAAGAAGACAGCGCCATACTATTTCACCTACGGCTTTAACTGGCGCGCTTACGCGGCCTACATTGCCGGGATCTTAATCAACATCGTCGGCTTCGTGGGCGCCATTCGCGAGCCGACAGGAGGGCCGTCCGCGCCGCTTGGGGCGCAGTATTTGTACAATCTGAACTACTTCTGCGGGTTCATCGTGGCGGGGATAGTGTACTATGGGCTGTGCCGAATCAGCCCTGTGCCGGCAGTCAGCGCTACGTGGCTTGAGGTTGGGGATGCGATTGATAACCCGCATCTGGCGGACAGCGATAGCGAGGAGGATGATAAGGCTGGGGCTACGATGTATGAGGATTGGGGGGGGGGGAGGCGCGGGGCGTCGGAGGAGATTGTGTAGGGAGTGAAACGATTTTATGACTATTTTAAAGATATATATAGCAGGCGAATGGTTTATTTTTTATGACATTAACTTTTTTGAGAACATATAGCTACCAGTTTCTTTGATTGATTGATTTACGACTTGATATATCTTGAAAGCCGACTGATGGAGCCGTTGGAAGGGGGGGGCGGCAATTCCCCGAGTATCCCTCCGTGATCCTCCCCAGGGTAGAACTCTATCAACCCAAAGATAAGAAATACCATACGGCAGATTGGGATAAGAAGTACGAGATACGAACGGTTTAATCCGAGCTCTTACCCGATAATTTCCTGAATATCACTTTCTCCTCAATGCAAACAATGCAAACAGTGCAAACAATGCAAAAGGTGTTGTCTTAACTCCAGAAGCACCGACGACGATCGAGCGGCCATGAGCACCCGAAACTTTACCAAACTGCAGTTCAGAGGCCCATGCCCACGTTTGCATACCCCTTACGCAAAAAAACATGCTACCCCGCGTTTTGCAACATTAATAAATCCCTTGTCTCAGTGTCGGATGATCCGTTACCGGTCTAGCGGCCTAAGAACTCCCGGTTTTAGCTTCCTATGGGCTGTTCTTTGGACTGACTATTTTACAGATTGATCGAATGTCGTTTGTCCTCTGCTCTGGAGGCAGGCCAAGCCAATGTCAATCACCAAGCTCGTTGTCAGCGTCGCAGTCTATGTCTGGGACGGGACAGGGAATCAAGTCCTCCATCTGTCCGGTGCATAGTGGCGTACTGGCGTACCCCTCCCCCGGCATCTTCCCCGTGGGGAACCCTGTTAGTGTTCACTACTACCTTCTTTGGTTCTAGGTTTTGTGAGCAAGGCGGAGATCTTTGAGGGAATTGCTCGCGTCGAGATCAGCAAGATGTAGATTGACTTCCTCCGATCCTGTGAAGTGTATATACTACGCCGGGATATCCATACGCACACCCGAGATTTTATCTGGTGTGCTGTTAGGGTAAATATATTTGCGGCTGGAAGGTGCTGTTGCTTTTAGTTTATGGGAAACTTACGGTTGAAGATCCTTGGATAGACCTCGGAACCGGTTATAGTACAGGAGCTGTGTCACACCACTTGGCTAATGGCACTTTGTAAGAGTTTCCGCTAGTACACGCCGTCTTCATCGAACCTCCACCAGGACCTGTTTGTTCCGCGTTTACATTTGGCTCCTCGCGTTTACAGTATAGCATCCCACGAGCATCTCAACTCGTTCAGCATCCCAGATCTACTCTCACCATGTTCCGTATTCTACCTCAAGCACGTGTATTTACTCGATCGTTCAGCAAAGCAGCCATCCAGCGCTCCCACCATAGCGCAACCGCGCGGCTCGTTACTATGAGCCCTCAAGGAACACCCGTCGCTCGCCCGGTCGAAGTCTGGCTCGGAGACCCAGGTAGTGCATATGTCATGTTCGATCCCGAGTTCAGCCAGGCTTTCCAAACAAACAAGACGTTGCAAGGCGATGGTTCCACTCTGCAAGACCCGGAGCTTCTCCCGCTAGAGTTCCACCACGATACGCACCATTTCGCACGTAGTATGTAGATTCACCTTGTGGTCATTTCTTTAGGAGCTAAACAGTTACTACTTGGAATTATCACCTTACCCTCGACTTGAAATACCTCAGGATCTTGTCGGGCGATCGGATGCCAAGGGCAACAGCCCAGCGACTCTTCATACGTGGGGCGTGACACATGCTATTACCCTTGATGGGACGGCCGACTGTAGGTTTGATCACTAATTGCGATGTTTAATATATGCTAATAGTAGATAGCTGGGTTCCAGCACAGCGCTAGGGAGACTCTCCAACGGCTAAAGCCGGTCCTGGACGAGCTTAAGGACAGGTAGAATGTCTTGGGAGATGGTGATTTTTTATGGATTATGTATTTGTATGTGTAATAAGACTTAGTTTTTGGTGTGAAATGCCTCACAGAACGTAGCGCCTCCTTTCCAAAGAAGAGGACTGTTATGCTATCGCTAAAAAGGTCTTCGTCGGCGAGAATCTTGCCGTGAGTTCATTGGGGAGAATATTATCGTAATATTAAAGGGGTATGAGTAAAACTACATCTGAAGAAGGCCTATCCAACAAACGCTCCGCTCCAAAGCCCTAGTTGTTCAGTCACTCATCATCAGACTCACTCATGGAGTCCTCCAACTCCTCCTCCATCTCCCCCAATTCCTCACCACATCTCGTCTTAATAGCCACCATCCCATTGTGCACCGTCTCCGTATACTCCTCAAAGAGGTCTATATCCCACTCCTGCTCCGGATATTCCCGCGCAGCCTCATTTGCCATCGCAAGCCACAAGTATGTCCCCTTGATCGCCGTATTCTTCACCTCGGCCTTATCGACGCGCACATACGTGCCCTCTCCATCGGAGCATATGGCATCGACGCGTACCATCCCACCAATCTCCATTACCTCGAATTTCTATAAGTAGTCCCTTCCCCACTTCTCAATCATATTGTTTCGCGCAACCTCATTGGCAGCAGCGAGCGTATCGCAAGTACCTAGGATTCAGCGGCGCGGTAACTTTCGATGGAGACGCTGTATTCTTATGAACGATCACGACCACGTCCTGGTACCCATCGTGGCTCCTGGCGTAAGCATGCACCATGCCATTCACCTCCTTCACCTCGCATATCTTGAAGTACTCGCGTCCCGGCCCTTTGATAAAATAGTCTCGCGCAGCGGCATTGGCATCCGCGAGGGTCTGGTAGTTGCCAACGATCTCAGAGGGTCCAAGAATGTGTTTAACTTCGTCAGTATTAGATCGGCGCAGGACGACGTAGGATTGCTGTTCGACAGCCTTTGGCGGTGCGGTCTCCTTCCTCACCCCCGACTTCTCAACCATCACGACCATCTCCCCCCCATCGGGGCAAGCAGCAGTAACATAAACCATGCCATCCACTTCACTTACGTCGTACGTATCGAAATACTCGCGTCCCCACCCCTTAATCAGATCATCGCGCGCGGCCGCATTGGCTGCCGCGAGCGTCTTGTAGGTGCCGACGATCTCATGGTTATCGTGGACGCCTTCGGGGTCATTTGTTTCGCGCGAGACGACGTAGAGTTGCTGCTCAGCAGGCCTTGAGGACTTCTAAATGCCGTTATTCTGCGTGGTTGGCGCGGACTTGGGGGTAGGGCCGTTCGTGGCGGCGGGGCGCGTTGGGGCCATGTATATATTGCGGGCGTGGCTTGGGTTCAATTGATCTTGGTTTGTGATTGAGAAATGGCTGCTAGGTATTTCACAGTAGGTGAATAAACAGCCTGGGCGTCGAAGTAGAATCGGCTGATATTATTTAGGGGATATGCGAAAGTTGGGAGGTAGCGAGAAGGGAGAAGGGGTAGAGAGAAAAGACGGTGAGAAAAGAGTGGTGAGAAAGAATAGATGTGATGCCAATGGCAGTAGGGGATGACGCAGATCTCGGCCTTTCTGCGGTGGGGTGGATAGCCCAGCCGGATCCTTAGAACCCATATCTGGTGAACTGTCGCGGAAAGCATATCAAGGTGAGTGCACTTCTGGTGAGACGTTGTAGTAGATCTCCACAGCAACAAGTTGAACTATACAGGGGTAGATAAAATTAATCCAACTCAATATCCTCTATATATAACACAAATATAATACAAACATCCCCATCACAGCGAGCTCTTTCCAACCCCCATCTCTCCAACCTAAGCCTTAACCCTCTCCTTAAACTCCCACACCACAACCCGTCCCTGCCTTCTCTCATCATCAATCCAATGGCTATTAAACCCACTCCACTTCCTCACCACCTCATACTGACTCCCCGTCTCCTCATGCCACTCCACCAGCACCCCCTCAATCCCCTCAAACCCAACCACATACTGCGGCCACGGCTTCTCCCTGCTCCCCACCTCGCGACTCAAAAACCCCTTCGGATTATCGAAGAACCTATCCGCCTCATCGCGATACGCCTCGCGCTCCGGCGTACCAGCTGGGATATCAAGAGGCGGCTCGCAGGTCAGCGCCCAGGCATTCAGCGTCGGGTGAACGAGGTGCGAGCGCCACGGCGTAGAGTGGCAGGGCATGAGGAACGCAGCGAATGGGGCGTCATCGGCGGTGGTGGGGATGAAGAGGCCGCGCTCGGTGAGGTGGGTGGCTTCGTAGTCGTAGCGGAGGAAGGAAAGGACGTCGAGGACGCCGCGTTGGTGGATTAAGGTAGTGTAGAAGGCGAGGGAGATGTTGAGGGCGATGAGGGCGCCGAGGAGGGTGGTGCGGCGGAGGGTGGGGGAGGGGGGGATGGCGAAGGTTGAGACTGAGGGGGTGGAGGCGGGGGCGGGGCGGGAGAAGAAGGAGAGGATGTGCGGGGCGGAGAGGATGTGGAGGAGGGGGAGGAGGGGGTAGATGAAGCGGACTTCTTTGTGGGAGATTAGAGAGAGGGTGGCGATGGTGGTGAGGGCCGTGAAGGTGAATTGGAAGCGGATGTTGCTGACGGATGCCCCGTCGGTTCCGATAGATGTGGAGGAGACGAAGGCGATGAGGGTGAATGGGACGCAGGTGGTGAGAAGTAGGGGGAGGCCCTCGGTGAGGTAGTAGTCCCAGCGGTTTGTGCCGTAGAAGACGGCTAGGGACTTGGTGATGTTGAAGTAGAGCCATTGGTAAGGTGGGAAGGTCCACACTCCGAAATAGTAGTAGTCCGAGGCGGCGGAGATGGAGAGGGCAAGTGCACTGTAAGGGTTAACGTGTATTCTCGTAGAGTGAGATAGATGACTTACCCGCAAATGACAGTTTCGCGTAGTATTATCAGGAAGTCAGAGAACTTGGCGGGTGAGGTGCCGGTAAGTCCCAACCGGCTGACAGATACGGTTACGATTGAGGCCCAGATGAACAGGTTCGTGGGCCTGAGAAGACAGGCAATGCCTGCCAAGAAAAGGCAAATACGAAGACTGAGACGTTAGCTATACTCAGAATGCGGCGGTCTGATCTATCCTACCTGTTGACATCTGCATGTGTCTTGAAGATCTGAGACTCCGGCGAGCTAGTAGTGGCCTTGTGGGCCTCAGCTGCATCTGGAGACGCCTTCCTTGGTGCGCTGCTGTCGCCATATAGGGCCCAAGGCCAATGGTAGAGAGCAACGATGGTCAGGACTGTCTCCAGAGAATTGGAGAGCGTCCTGGTAGAGCAGAACCACTGCCATGGGCTCAAGGCGGTGATGAGTAGCTACATGATTTGTTAGCCTGCGTCTCGTGACATGGTACAAAGTCAAGACATACCGTGGTAAAAGCCGCATTGCTTCCTTGCCCATAGACCTTCTCGGCCAGCTGCCAGGTGTAGTAGTCCCCTACGGCGGCAACAAGCCCCTGGAACACTCTGGGGAGGTACGCCAAGATAATGGCTTTAAATTGCGGGTACATGCTCATCACGCCCATGGCGCGGTCAGCTACAAAGTAGAGCAGGGCGAAGATGGCGGGGTGCAGAGATGAGCGAAGCTGGTGGTGCCATTCCTACATATCTCAGCCATAGTTGGAGGGGGTAGAGGATGAGATACGCACCCAGGTGATCCATGCTCCGCTGGCCGCGCCGCTGGACGCGCCGAATGCCATCTCCCATGCTGGCTCGAGAGACTGGAAGTACTCGTCTGGTTGGAAGAAGGTGCGGATGGTGATGGCATTTATGAAGCGCAGGATGATGAGGAGGTACATCATGTCTCTGCGCTGGTATTCATAGTAGGCCGTGTGGTATGCCTTACGTATGGCCAGCTTGCTGCGCACATCGTCATCTCGACGAGGGACAGCAGCGGCGTCTGTAGCAGCGGCGTCTGTAGCAGCAGCCTCTGCAGCAGCAGGCACGGGCGAGGGTTTCGCAGAAGTGCTCATGTCTGCGGAGGATACAGAGCACAGAGAAACAGAGGTAAAATGTACAGAGAGAGAAGGAGAGGATGGATTATTATTATATTTTCAATTCATGATTTGCTTTTTGGGGGGATGACAGGCACTGGGGGAACGTGAGGCACGTGGGCTTGGTGAGGGTGTTAGAGAGGAGGAGGAGAGAGGGGAAAGGAGAGAGGAGAGAGTAAGTTGGGGAAGGGTGGAGGGAGTTACACGTGACTATAAAGTTGGTAGTCATGTGACTGTAGATTAATAATTGATGTTGTAATAGTCACATGACTATTATAACTTCAGTCATGTGACTTCTAACTCATGCCAGGTCACATGACTGAAGTTCTGGTGGTTCTGGTTCCACAATCACGTGCCTTGACCCACTATCCAATCAGTCCAATCAGCCTATCTTAAGTTACCCCTTGTCAGCCAATCAAACTCCATTCTTAGTCATTCCATGTCTTAGCTCCTCTTCTACTGGTCTAAACTCGTCTCATCCGTCTCTTGTCTCGTCATCGACATCCACCACATCCACCACATCCCACCACATCCGCCTCTCCAGCCAGCCATTTTCCCCTATGTGCAGTTACACACGATGATAATTCCCTATAGGCAAGTCTGAACGATTTTCACCAACTCGATCAGAACTTGCGCCCCCGGTCACGCCCACAATGTCCAATTACCCCCCGTGTAACGTCTGTGAAAAGGTGAGGGGTCTTCGGCGTCTTTGCCGTCTTCCATTACCATTGTTTTACATTCCGCGAAGCGTTTGTCTTGACTATATAGGCTATATAGGTTGGCTCCCTCCCCCCCCCTTTTTCTCATCCCACTTCCCCCCCTCATTATTACCCCAAACAGACCATTCCCTCCAGTGAATACCGTTCCACAGGACACTCAACGCGAACAACTCTAATATTCTACTACTTCGAATACCCTCTCATTCATACATACCTACCACTACCCCCCAACCAATATCCAGTATGGCTCCTCATGCAGATGGACTTGCTGGTAAAGGCCAGGCCGCTGCGAAGCTGACCGGCCAATACCATGCCACATCCAGCGCCAGCGCCATCGAGGCAGAGGGCAAGTACGCCGCACACAACTACCACCCGCTCCCCATCGTCTTTGCGCGCGCTAGCGGCTCTGACGTCTGGGACCCGGAGGGAAAGCACTACCTAGACTTCCTATCCGCATACAGCGCCGTGAACCAGGGCCACTGCCACCCCGAGCTGGTGAAGGCGCTCTGCGACCAGGCCCAGCGCCTCACCCTCACCTCGCGCGCCTTCTACAACGACGTCTTCCCCAAATGGGCCGAGAAGATGAAGGACGTCTTCGGGTACGACATGGTGCTCCCCGTCAACACCGGCGCAGAGGCCGTTGAGACCGCGCTCAAGATCGCGCGCAAGTGGGGTTATAAGTCCAAGGGCATCCCACAAGACAAGGCACTCATCTTCGCCGCCGCGGACAACTTCCACGGCCGCACGCTGGGCGCCATCACCCTCTCCACCGACCCCGACTCCCGCACCAACTACGGGCCCTACGTGCCCAACATCGGCGCCGTGAACCCCACCACCGGCAAGGAGATCCGCTACAACAACGTCCAAGACATCGAGGACGTGCTCGCCGTGCACGGCAAGGAGACCGCCGCCATCCTCCTCGAGCCCATCCAGGGCGAGGCCGGTGTCGTCGTCCCAGATGACGATTACCTAACCCGCGTGCACGCGCTGTGCAAGCAACACAACGTCCTCCTCATCATCGACGAGATCCAGACGGGCATCGGACGCACGGGCCGCATGCTGTGCAGCGAGTGGTCGAACATCACGCCCGACCTTGTGACGCTGGGCAAGGCGCTCTCGGGGGGCATGTACCCCGTAGCCTGCGTGCTTGGGCGGTCTGAGATCATGTTGACCGTCGAGCCTGGGACGCACGGATCGACGTACGGCGGCAACCCGCTGGGTTGCGCGGTGTCGATGCGTGCGCTCGAGGTGATGGAGGAGGAGGGGCTGACTGCGCGCGCCGAGAAGCTGGGTGAGGTGCTCAGGAAGGGGCTGAGGGCGATTGATTCGCCGATGGTGAAGTTGGTTAGGGGGAGGGGGCTGCTGAATGCGATTATCATCGATGAGGCGCATACGGGCGGGCACACGGCGTGGGATCTGTGTATGCTGATGAAGAGTAAGGGACTGTTGGCGAAGCCGACGCATGAGAATATCATTCGGTTTGCGCCGCCGTTGGTGATTTCCGAAGAGGATATGCAGAAGGCGTTGGGGATTATTAGGGAGGCTATGCAGGAGCTGCCGACGCTGAAGGGGGAGAAAGAGGATGAGGTTATCCCGGCGGCGGATAGGAATGTCAAGATCCACCTTGACGATTAGATATGCCCCCCACCATCACGCGATAGAAGTAGCAAAAACATCGATAAATGAGAATTAAACGATCTATATAGGTTTTATATACATTATTCTACTAAATTTGTTTGGTGGGGGGTCGTCCCGTTTCATCCACAAGCAGGTTAGCTTTTCTCCAAAAATGCTTCAGCCTGACCCCGCACTATGGCCAGATCTGAATCTCGCGAGCTTATCGGGATTGACGGTGGTGGCCTCGGTATAGCCGCACAGACAGGTGCCAGGCCAGTTGTTTTTGTCAAGATGGTTCGTTCAACTTTCCCCGTTTCTAGCTCCCTTGGATCCCAGGTTATCAGTATCATCGTGCTTTCGTACTGAAGGAGTAGGGGACCAGTGACCGATCGTGCCAGTTTTTGGGTGATGCAATGTCCACTGGACGCACGTTGGTGGGGCGGTAGGCCGCGGTACGACCACCGGTAACAGCACCCTCCCCGCATTCTGGCCTGACCCCGCCCCAATCACCCATCTCCGAATCCCGGAATCCCCACCACCACTACCAAGGACCACGCACCGGCTAGACCGACGCGGATTGGGCGGGCGGTCCTTCCACTGTCCCACCACCCCATCGGACGCCGCCGCGCCAGCGGCGGCGTCATTGTGGCGCGCTGCGGGCCTGGTGTAATGCAGGCGGTGTTCGGCGCTGTGCCATGTGTGCTGCCCCGCGTTCTGTGTCATGGCGGTCAAGGGGGGACCTACTTAACTCGGACCCGGATCGGCCAGTGGGGTAGGGCTTTTGCAGATCCTCGTGCGTTTTCGCGAGTGCCCAGCTACCAACTCCTGCAGGAAGGTGTCGGCTTGGACTTCTTTTCTTCTTCCTTGATTCCTTGGTAGTATACGAAGTAGAGTTTTGCGCATTCTGAGGGAAGAAAGAGAACATGTTCGGGTTCGGTGATAAGAGTTGGTAGCCCGCTCCCATCCGGCCATCGGCTCATTGAGCCGACGTCTTTGAAGCGATCAACCACTGACTGATTCCGTAGAGGCCGCAGCGAATGCAGAGACCGAATCGCCTATTCCGTCGGTAATTGACGATGCTGGTGTTCTGGGCGAGAAGACGTTCTACGCCAACAAGGACGCGCAGGGCAACGATGTCGTCGACGCCAACGCGCCCGCCGTGTGCCCACCGCATACGACCGAGGCGGCCCTGATGCGCAGGGTCGACATGAGGGTCATTCCGTGTCTCTGCGTGCTATACCTCCTTGCCTTCCTCGACAGAGTGAATATCGCCAATGCGAAATCCTTCGGGCTGGTCGAAGACCTCCACCTCATCGACGTGACCGGCAAGACGTCGAGCGTCAAATACAACACCGCCCTCACAATCTTCTTCGTGCCGTACATCTTCTTCGAGATCCCGGCCAACATCCTGCTCAAGAAACTGCGCCCGCATGTCTGGCTCTCGGGCTGTATGTTCACCTTCGGCCTCGTCTCCATCTGCCAGGGCCTCGTACAAAACTACTCCGGCCTCCTCGCCACGCGCTTCTTCCTCGGCATGATGGAAGCTGGCATGTTCCCCGGCTGCTTCTTCCTCATCGGACTCTGGTACAAGCGCACCGAAGCGCAGCGCCGGTACTCCTTCTTCTTCTCCTCCACCACCCTCGCCGGCGGCTTCGCTGGCCTCCTCGCCTCCGCAATCGGCAAAATGGACATGCTGAGCGGCTACCGCGGGTGGCGCTGGATCTTCATCCTCGAGGGCGTGCTGACCTGCGTCGTCGCCATCATGTTCTTCTTCATGCTCCCCTCCTTCCCCGAGAACGCCAAGTGGCTCACCGAAGACGAGCGCGCGTACGTCATCGGCCGTCTGCGCGTCGACCAGGGCCGCTCGGCGGCGGAGCGCAGCATCACCCTCCGCGACGTTGGACGCGTCTTCAAGGACTACAAGATCTACATCGGCGGAATCATGTACTTCGGGCTGATCGTCCCAGCCTACTCGTACGCCTTCTTCGCACCCGCCATCATCTCCAGCTTGAACTACAGCCCCATCCAGACGCAGCTGCGCTCCGTTCCTCCCTGGGCTGCTGCATTCGGCTTCTCCATGATCGTAGCCTGGTTCAGTGACCGCACCGGCCACCGCTTCGCCTTCTGCCTTCTGCCAATGTGCGTCTCGATGGTGGGCTTCGCAATGCTCTTCAGCATCCACAACAACGTCATGGCGCAGTACAGCGCGCTCTTCCTGATCGCCATGGGCACCTACTCCGCCATGCCCGTCATCGTGTGCTGGTTCAACATGAATCTCGGCGGGCACCACCGGCGCGCCGTCGGCACGGCGTGGCAGGTTGGCTTTGGTAATATCGGCGGCATCATCGCGACGTACAGTTTCCTCGATTCAGATAAGAAGAACCACTACCGCAATGGGTATAGCATCTGCATCGGCTTCATCTGTCTCAGCGCCGCGGCGTGCTGCGCGTACGCCGTTGCGGTCGTGTATGAGAACCGGAAGAGGGATAAGGCGGTTGGGACGTCGATGTTGACCGAGGATGAGAAGGCGGAGCTGGGGGTGAGTTCCTTTTTTTCCCTTCTTCCTTTTCTCTCTTTCCCATTCACTTAAGAGGTTTAAGAGGTGTCGTCTGGTTGTCCGATCACGGCGTGGAGTGGACGCTGGGGTGAGCGGGTGGACGCGCATGTTTGGTGGTCTTGACCCGATGCTAACATTTTTTTGAATAGGATTTGAGCCCCGATTATCGCTATCTGTTGTAATAAACTTGGCGTTGCTGCGATTTATGCTTCTACATAATCTTCGATTAGTACTATACTATAGCTATGCGAATGGTGTTGGAAGTTATACATATCTGTGACGGGAGGCATATAGGTAGATGAAGAGGCGGCGCTGGGACAACCTCGCTGGTGAAAGTGACACAATTGCACCAACAGATACTTTCGTTCCAGCCTCGTATCTCTCTTCTATCCTTGTCCCTCTTATCTTCCTCTCCACGCGTCAACTTACCCCATTATTTCACTTCCCCTGCTCCCCTAGACCCTACATCTCCATCTCAAAGCCGAACTCCCCATCACGTGTCTATCTAATCATAAAACCACGTGACTACCAACCATCCCAATGAGAAATCCTTTCTGAATCACAAACCCAGTAATCCCCCTACAAACCTTAACAAAAGACAGTTCTAGAACATATAACACACACTTAAAAGACATTAAAACTGAACTGAACCATACATATGCACGATTTTTATAAGGGTGGAGACATAAGTTTGATTTCTGGGCGTCATGCATAGCACATGTATTTGTGAAAGCCACCCCAAAACAAAGTCCGAGGCATCCGAGATCGACAGCCCTGTTTACTTGATTTGTCAGAGGGGTTATATAGTACGGTGACCGCCCCTCCAGCGCCAGTTGTTGGATGCTACTGATGGTGGGGTTTACGGTGTGATTTATCGATGACTTGTGTTGTCCTTTGACGATACAGGATGCCGCCTGAGGCGTGGGAGTGAGGACATACGGGCACGAACATGGACGATGGGGGATGGGGGATGAGGAACGTCACGGTAAGGTGGTGGGTGAGATAGTAAGGTTCGATTCATTTCATTCATTATCCAGCACCTCAGTAAGTAAGCCCAGCAGAAGCCAGTCTGTCGGCATCCTTTCCACTCCATCCCTCAAAGCTTCAAAGAAAAGAAGTGAAGTGATTATTATCCGCGTCTCCCATGTTTTCTTCTCCGACCAGCGATGCAGTTGTGTCTGACGGCGGGTAAGCGACGATACAACAGAAGGGTATGCGTTCCTTGCGACAGGAGATGGCAGTGATTGAAGGGTTTATATGAACAGGAGTCGACGATGGTGGATTGGAAGGGATTTGTGTGGACGGTGGAATCGACCGTGAGCGACAGACGGTGGGAGGCGCAGGTAGGAAATATCCGACAACGCCCTGCGATGGGAACGCCGAGAAGGCCAAGCAATATATACAACGAAGTCTGCGAGTGGTTGGTTCGCAGGTGATACCGAGGAGTGTGAGGAGGTCGGTCGACGCCAGTCTTGGTCAGGCAAGGCGATCAATCAACTAGGGACACCAAGTCAGCACGGCGCCAGCAACAACAGGACGAGTCCAACTCACCACCTCTCACGAATCCTGATGCCAAACACCCCCATGCACCGCCCTCGTGATCCCCAACCCAACCCCAACCGCCAACCCCACAATCACCGCCCCAATCGCGATCTTCACCCAGAACTTCGTGCGCGACTCCAACCCCCTCATCGGGTTCCAGCACTCCGTCCTCCTCTTCTCCGCCATCTTCGCCTCCTTCAACGCCTTCTGGCCCGGCCATACCGTGCACTCCTTGTTAGTGGCACCACCCGACGATTTCTTCTGCGCGAGCGCGAGCCCGCTGGTCTTGTACTCGGTCGGGCAGCCGGCTTCGAGGTCGGATTCGTAGGTGCTGAGGTGGGATTTGGAGTCGGCTTTGTTGGGTTGTTGGGAGAGGGAGAAAGGGGGGGGGTGTCGAAGGGGGAGAGGGGGGTGGAGGTGCGGGTTGGGGTGAGGCTGAGGACGGAGTCGACGGAGTCGATTGTGGAGAGGGGTTGTTGGGGGCGGGAGGGGATGGAGAGGCCGATGGGGTGGGAGGTGTTGGAAGACATCGTGTGGTTGAGGGAGAGTGTGTGGGTGTGGTTGTTGAGGAGACAGGTGGTTTGGTGTGGTAAGGGTCGATTGGAGGTGGTGAAGGGGGGAGCTGTCGATCAGATATACTGTCGGGAGGCTGTCGACTGGATAAACTTTCGGCGGACGGTGTAATGGTTGTATAGAGAGACAATCCGATGATGTGGTGATAGTGTGTGTAGTAGCAGCTGTCCCAGCCTGCTCCGCTCTCTCTGTATATTTCCGTTGCAGGCCCAAGGTATATATCGAGACACGAACCAATTGAAGTATCCCACAGACAGTAAAGTAGTGGACAGGCGAGTGTAAAGGATATCTGCTGGCGATGCAGAGTCTTGTTGAGGGCGAAGAGAGAGTTGGGGTGAGGGTGAGGGTGAGGGTGAGGGAGTGAAAAGGACGAGGGAGCGAGTGGGTTTACTTGGTTTCACCCCGACGAGAGACAATATTGGATAGCCGGCCCAACTACGAAAACCACCCAAGGACCACCAATATCGCTCAGTTCGATATTGGAATGCGTGCAATGGCCATATTATTCCCGTTACAATAGATGTCTATAACGAGTAAATAAATAAAATAAAAGGGGTACGGAATAATGGGAATAATGGCAACAACAACAACAACAACAACAACAACAACAACACCAACACCAAATCTGTCGTATGAGATACTTAATCTGGCCCAGGCGGCTGTTTGCGGTGCCAAGGTGCCAACCTCGCCCTCTAGCGGCAATTGTGCATCAACCATTGTCAACCATTGTCAACCATCATCAACCATTGTCAACCATCATCAACATCGTCAACCATCGTCAATCATCATCAACCATCGTCAACCAGCATCAACAATAATCCAACCATCCTCAACCATCCTCAACCATCCTCAACCATAGTGGACTATCATCAACCATAGTGGACTATCATCAACCATAGTGGACTATCATCAACCATAGTGGACTATCACCGCCTACCTCCGGGCGACCTCGGCCGTCCCCTCCACAACAGTGGGTATGCAAGGCCAATAATCGGCCCACTTGGACTTCTCCCGTCCCCGCCCCGCCCCGCCGGACTGGGGATTCCCCTAATTGATATTGGCGAGTATAGCGATTATTATATCCAGCGCCGAGAAAAGGGGGAGGGAAAAGGAAACGGCAGTGTACGTACGTATCAATGCCATCAATGCCCCTTACTTCCTGCAGAACCTGTCACTTTTTGCACCTGCGTGGGAGTGACGAAAACGAGGTCCCCGACTCGCATATCGCGCATTTCGGTCGAGGCGCCAGCGGGGAGTTGACGGGGCCTTGTACCGTTCAGGAATGTCGTACCACCAGCCGCGATCTGGTTGGCCGTGGCGTTTATGTTTGCGTTGGAGAGCGCTAGAGATTTATTTGTCTGGAGCGACTTACTTTTGAGATCTGAGGGGTTTACGTTTGTCGTGGGTGACAGGTGTGGATTTTGGGTGATGCTTTTCAGACGTCCTGATGGTGTGAGATCTTGAGGGTATGTGGCGTGGAGTCGGTATTCTTCGTGGTAAGTGAGAGAGTGGTGATGTCAAATATTGGATGATCGTCGTCGGTGGGCTGCGTCGTACAGATGTTGGAATAGCTTGTCCGTAGGTACAAACGGCCTTATAGACTCGTAAGGTCAGACCTTCTCGTCGCCCCAGACTCGGCCACAAGCAAGAGTGGTTACTGGCGCGACTCGGCACCTATTGCAAGTCAGCGGCGGTGTCCGATTTCCTCCCACCGACCGAGAAGGCATGAATCCGATCCACGACCCCCAACCTACGCCGGCGTCCCTAAATCACTGCCTATAGCGGACTCGGCTGTAGCGGAAACCTCCTAATACCGGACCGGACCCCTTCCCACAATCACGCGAATTTTGTATGGTAACCTTCTTGTTTAGAACTGCGTTCCTGGTAGTACGCTGCACATGCGTAGCCTGTATACCAACTGTGTATATATAGCCCCTATACTGTATATACACCACAGTTGCTAACCCAGGCTCATAACCTGTGTTCAACAGGTTATGAGCATAGGTTAGCGCATGACGCACTATGCCAAATACACATAATTGACAGCTTCCCTCATAGCTCTCGTAGGAGAGAGTAGCTATGTTATACGATTAAGCAAATATATCGCCATTACAGAAAGCCTCCTCATAGCCACTACCACATAGCGGAAGCAGCACCGATTACAAGACAAGTACAGGGCACACTAAGCAAGCGACTACTTTGAACATAAGAGCTAGGAATATGTAACTCTGACTTTTAAACGATAGAAGACACAGATGTAATGGTGGGTGCACCATGTGAGAATCTAGCCACCCACACACTGTCTTAGGAAACAGAGCCAAAGGGTGTGATTACTGTAGTCCCTTGCAGGCCGCCCCAGGGCGGTCGAAAGGGACCTGTGCGAGGAGAGTGCGTGATGAGCGAGATCCTTGGGGGGTCGGTATGTCGTGCAACGTTTCCTCGGGAGATGCGATTAGCCTTGCTGCATGGCGAGGAGGTTGTTTTGTGCTACGACGATGTGGGTTTGCGTGATTGTCGCCGGTGGTGCTATTGGGGATGTTGGGGATGTTGGGGATGATGTTTGTTGCGCCTGGGTTGGTGATCTAGGGGTTTGTGGGGAAGGGAGGACGGTGGAGGAGGGGGTTGAGACTTGTTTCAGGGGCTGAGAGGGTGGATTTGACGGTAGGTGACTGATGAGAATCGAAGGTTTGACAGTTTCCTATGTTGTGGCGGACTGGGTCGGTGCCTGAGCCTGATATCGACTTGAAGAATCTCCGATCTCAGATTGCGGGCGGAAGGTATTGGTAGGTCTCGATTTTCTTTTTAGAGACTCGTTATCGACGTTGTGTGCATTTAGTCGCTGGGTTTGCTGTGGAGTTTTGTCACTTTCAATGCTGTGGCGGGCTGGGTCAGTGCCGGTGCTCGTGAGACAAGCATCAGCTCTAGCTTTCGAGTTCAAGTCGTCCCTGGGAGCTTCATCCTTCGTTGGCTTACTACTGGTTGCCATTGGGCCATTGGAGTCGGACAGCTTAGCAAGTTTGTCTCTGCTCAGGGGATATAAGAATCCGAACTAGGCACAGACGGGTGACATAATCGTCAAGTTTACCTCAAGTTTACGTTGCTTCCTTCCTAAATAAGACACAGACAAAGGCTCATCTTTTGCTGCCTTTGCATATTTATATCATTGATGTCTTATAACTTTTCTCGCACATTCTGGTCTTGATTATAGTGTCTTTGAGGAGGTTCTTTCAAATGGCCTTTCACCATGCATTCGGTGTGTCAGAGCGTTATTCTGAGCTCAACCAGGCATCTGCATTGACCTGTGAGCTTCAATCCTTCTTCATTGAGCTCGTTGTTTTTCCACCTTCCGCAACATAAGTCACAGGGTTTCTTTTGTTCAAAGTTTCACCCCTATTCCTCGAAAACCATGTCTCAAGCCATCGAATGGAACAGAACGGGCTTCGAGGGTCGAACTCGACACTTCAGGAAGCTGTATTCAAGTGATATGAAGCCGACAATGACGTTCTGCCATTGACTCGACGGTGCTGGATGCCGCTATCTATTTTGTTATATATATTCATTTTTTTCTTTACTTTATTTCCCCTTTCTCCTTTCGTATCTCAGTTTATTGCACGCCCGCATTTCTTTTTGTTTTTGTTACGTGCATACCGCTGGTCGATATGAACTCCCGCACGCCATCCCGCTCAGGGCCGAAGAGAAGCCAGAGAAGCCAGAGAGAAAAGCGTAGTAGTAATGGAGTTGTCAAGGATCAGAAGAGGGAGCCAAAGAGGGATGTGGAGGCTATGGAGAAGGGGCTTGCCGATCATCTCAACAGCATGAGTGAGGAGGCTGGCGCGAGTGATGGAGGGGATACGGAGGACGATGAGGGTGACAAGGACGATGAGGGTGACAAGGACGGAGGGTGACAAGGACGAGGAGGGTGACAAGGACGAGGAGGGTGACAAGGACGAGGAGGGTGACGAGGACGAGGGGGATAACAAGGACGAAGATGAAGACGCCTATCACCCAAGCGGCGGTGAGGATAAGGATGCAATTACTCGAAAGAGGAAGAGGGACGATGGAGACGACGGCGAAAGCAGCTCGGAACAAGAAATCGAAGAGCCTACCCCAGCCCAGACCGACAACGCCTCTACGAGTATTAATGCACCACTGACGACAAGAGTCTCGACGACAATTAGCCCACCGCCGACAACGAGTACCCCTACGTTTGTTAATGCACCACCGGCGAAGAGTGTTCCTAGGGTTATTACTGAACCGCCGACGGAGAGTGTCTCTACTGTGGTTAGCCCAGCACCAGCACCGACAACACCCTCTCCTCCAACAGGCCATATCCCGCCCCCCGGCCCTTCCAAGTCAGCCCAAAGCAGCAGCATCTCCACGGTTACCAGCCCGCTACCAGCAACGAGTATGCCAGTCACTGTTGACATACCACCGGCAGCGAGTGTCCCTACGATTGTTAAAGCACCACCGGCAACGGGTGTCAGTGTTCCCACGGCTGTTAAAGCACCTCCGACGGCAAGTGTCGCTGTCCCCGTGGCTGTTAAAGCTCCATCGATAGCGAGTGTCAGTATCCCTGCAGTTGTTCAAGCACCGCCGACAACGATACCGCCTACAACGAGACCACCGACAACGAGACCACCACTGACGACGAGGCCACCGCCAACAATCTCTCCCCCCACGCGCTTGACCCGCCCTCCCATTCCTCCCCGTCCTCCTCCTCCTCAAATCCTCGTCCATTTCATGCGACACACCAAGGTAAGCCCCCCAAGATACTCACAACTCCACTAACCCACCGTTCACAGGCAGTCCAAAGCTACGACATCAACCACCGCACGATCCAATTTCCCGACCCCCCGCTATCCACTCTCGGACACAAGCAAGCCGCCGCAATCCGTAGCCACTTCGCCCGCGTCGGAGTAACCCATATCCTCACCTCCCCCCTAAAGCGCACGGTCGAGACCGCTCTACGAATCTTCTTCCCCCTCCCCCCCAACTCTCCGAAAATACAAGTCCAGATCGTCCCCGCGCTGCGCCCGGTCCCACCGCCGACCCAGTTCAACATCCCCTCGCACCCTAGGGAACTGCGTGCCATGTTTTCAACAGGGTATCATGCGCAGCATCGCGATGCGGTGGATTGGTCGGGGTTGCCGGCGTATCCGAATCATAGGCCGACGCTGCCGTATCATGCGAGGACACCGGCGATGAAGCGGATGTTGGAGGTGTTATGTGCGGATGCGGCGAGGGAGGGGAGGGGGCTGAAGGTGGTGGTTGTGGGGCATGGGTCGTCGCTGAAGGAGCTGTTTGAGGTGATGAGGTTGGATAGGCTGCATAGTACGGAGTCGTGGAGGACGTTTAGGTTTGGGGAGAGGGCGGGGTGGACGTTGGAGGAGGTTAGGAAGAGGAGTTCGATGTAGGGCTGGAGCTGGCGATGGTGGTATATTTTGTCATTTATAGGGGTATTTGCGTTTAGATATGGAGTGTAGACTGTGATTGATGTCCATCTATTCAGAGCTATGAGTACTCTCTTCGAAGTGGGTGCCTGTCGGGGCTGAAGCTATATTCAATGCCTGGTGTTTCAGTGCAAAATCTAAATAATCGGGCTGCTCAAATATCTTCAGGGTCCCCGATATAACACCATCTTTCAGCAATGATGCCGTCTTATCAGCTACGAGTCTAGTTGGTTCCAAGAGAGCTTATCAAACAAATAGCAGAATTTTAGGATCTGTATTTATTCAAACTAGCTAACATGAGCCACCTTTGACACGTCAAACACTCCTATCGCCATCCTTTGGCTAAGCATGTAGACACTGTAGCCTCGGCACAATCCCTCCTCTATCATAGCCATTTAAGTGAAATAGCAATTGACCGACTTGAACTGCAATTCAGTAATTTCGTGTGCGCCGTTAGAGAATGGCTCATGTCTACCAACGCAGTCTCGAGCCCTATTACGATATTAGCCAAGTTACTACAGATGTCTGCAGTGCAGCATAGGAGTCGCGACGCACTCAAATACGTCGCATCGAAACGGAATCTTCACAACCAGCGTATTATAGATTGGTCTGTTGTTTTGTTAGTACCTTGGAGAGCTATGAAGGCTGATTGATTGGTGTAGGCTTACTGTGATTTCTGGAAATTGACGCAACCTTGCGCCGTGACGTCAAAAATTTCCCCAGCCTTAGTCGAAAATCTCGCCTGGATTAAATTCACTATTAGCTTGTCTTTATTCTCTTCCAAGAAGTTATCACGAAATCTTACCCAATAATCCGGTCCTTGAGCAGTAGCTAAGGAAGCTAAGGCAGCAAGTGGGAGAATTTTGGAGAAGTGCATTTTGGGGAGGTAAGTGTTTGTTTTCGAAGGTAGGTTCGAGAGTGCTGCCAAAGAGTAAAATATCTGAAGGGGATTATGCTGGTATTATAGCTGGTGAACCCATTTAATTATATGCTGTGTATCGCCTCGCCTTACGTTACTATATGCAGGGGCACCGTGAGGCCCGAGACAGCATCGGCCATTGTTGTCTTGGAATGTCTCGATCCTTCCCTCAGCTGCTCTGGAGCGTAATTTTCATAGCTGATCATCCCAAATCCATCATCACCCGTTACTACTGCCTCAGCAGTTATGTCAAAATGCATCACCGACCGTTATTGTCTCTTTTGCTATTTCGACAAGTCTTACCAACTATCTTTGTTACATTTGCTAGAATAGTATTACCTGCGATGAGAGGTTGATTAGTGGCCCCTTGCTTCAAGAGCCCAGCAGGCTACACTACTACTGGTACAGTGTATGAAAAGAAATATGTCTCTAATTCAGCCGCACCCCTACTATTCCGGCCTTCATTGCATGTCTTTAGAAGATCAACTGAGAAAACTGCGGCTGTGAAACCAACCTCCTGAAGGTCCAACCGATTGCCTAATAGAGTCAGCTAAATGCTTGGAAAAACTACCTATCCTAATTCGACTTTGCCCAAAAACGACTTGTCTTAAACAGCGCAGAACTGTGTAACAGGCATCATGTGAGAGCAGAAACCCTGTTCATAACAAAGTCAGTAGCCGCATACCCAGCTGTACTCCGCCGTGATGAGTTATTATGCGGAGACCCCATGTCGATCCGGTTTCTCCGTCCTACCTGAAGACAACAATCTATCGCCCGCATCCCTGGGTATTGGCTCGGCGTCGCTAGCTAATACCGAACCCTGAACTCGCTCGTTGATTGAGACAAGCTGGGGCTAGAACATTTTTTTTGGAGTCTGGGATTTCTGACTTATTATTATATAGACGGAAATGTTGGGTTTTTTTGGGAGGAAACGGCTGTTGGGGGGGGTTATGTCGGAGGTGGCGTTACCGTTTGTGACACATTTGTACGACGGTGGATGAGAAGATAGATCTCAATCTGGGTTATGGATTTGAGGAGTTTAATGCGTTTATTTTGGTATTTGTTGCTGTGAAGAGTATTAATGAACTCAGTCACTCACACATATTATAGGCGTAGTTCAGGGAATCAAACAGCGTTGTCGTCTACTAGCTACTCCAATATAAGAGGTGATGCAGTCCTTTTGCAAAAAGTGAGGCATGCAATATCTACACACCAAACACCAACCCCTTCATCTAATACCTCCTCGGCGAAACATTTGGCTTATTCCCCAAAATCCCCTCAATCTCCTCCAACACCGCTGGCGTCAAAAGCTCCACCATCTCTAGCGACTTGATAGCCTCCCACACCTGCTCCGGCTTCGACGCACCCATAATGGCACTGCTCACATTCTTATTTTTGAGTACCCACGCATACGCCAACTGCGCCTGCGTAATGCCCAATTTATCCGCAACAGGCTTCAACTTCCTCACCGTCTCGAGCTGAGCCTCCCACTTGCCCTCCCCGAACTCCTTCGTCATACGAAGGATGAAGGGGTCCTTGTCGTCGCGGCTGTAGCGCGAGTCGGCGGGGATGCCGTCGTTGTATTTTCCTGTTAGGATGCCCGTCTTGAGGGGGCTGAAGATGGTGAGCCCGGTGCCGAATTCCTCATATAGGTGGTTGAATTCCCCGTCCACCTTGTCGCGCGCTAGCATGCTGTAACCGGGTTGCTCCATCAATGGACCGATGAGGCCGAGGCGGTCGGCGTGGCGCCAGGCTGTCGCGATCTCAGAGGCGCTCCACTCAGACGTCCCCCAGTACAAGGCCTTGCCCTGGTTAATAACATGGTTAAACGCCCTAACCGTCTCCTCCATGGGTGTATTCCTATCTGGTCTATGCGCATAAATCAGATCCACATACTCCAACCCCAGTCTCTCCAATGACTGATTTACGCCCTCGATGATATGCTTGCGGGAAAGTCCGACGTTGTTGACGGGGTTAGACCCGAAGGCGCCGCCCCAGTAGATCTTGGTGGAGATGACGAGGTCGTTGCGCGACCAGCCGTACTTGGCGATGGCGGCGCCCATGGATTTCTCGGATTTGCCGGCGGCGTAGCCTTCGGCGCAGTCGAAGAAGTTGATACCGGCGTCGTAAGCGGCTTTCATGCAGGCGAAGGTTTTTTCTGCGGGGGGTTAGCTCGTGTGGGGATGGAGGGGGAGGGACATACCATCCTCAACTTGCCCGCCGTAGGTGAGCCATCCACCAAGAGAGATGGCGGAGACCTGGAGACCAGAGCGGCCCAGGAAGCGGTATTGCATCTTAGGCAGATCCTTCGGGGCGTCGGTGGAAGCCATTTTAGCCGGGGGGGTCGTCTGTTCAAGCTTATCTGTACTGGTGTAAAAAGTCTCTCGTCTCGAGTCAGAGAAAGAAGGTCAACGTTTGTTTAACAAGGGGTTTTGTATATGTTTTTTTTTGCAATTAAAGTAGAAATGGGCGCGCGAGGTAATATATAAACAATGTACAGCTCACCCCAGAAGGAGGGGGAAATGAGGGGTCGTCCCCTCGCTATCTCCTATCGTCATAGCTCCCCCCCTCCGCCCCGCCAAAAATCCAACATCGTCGAAACCCACGCACCAATCGCAGCGCCACTCTCCACCCAACAACACCCCATTGAACCAGTTCGTCGGGGATAATGAGGTTATATCGCCGACCTCTACTATGTATGGTATTTTCCTGCTTACTCACGCCGGTCTCGTTTCGTGCAAGTCTGATGGGCGGGGCGGGGCGGGGTGTTTTTGGTGGTTGAGGGCGCGCGGGATGGCGTGCTACAGGGGAGGGGGGGGGAGAACGGGATGGCGGTAAGAGTTTTGCTCGGCCTGTTATAACCGCGACTCCCCGGGTTAGACAGCGAAGGCCGGGGGGGGCCTATATGGAACTGCATGGTGGGGAGTTTAGATGTGCAGGAACGCAGACGGCGGGGTAACCGCCGAGAGGGTGTGTTAGGGATTGTGAGACCCCGGCAAGGCAGTCCGTGGGGTTGATTGATGGGCTGTTGTGCTGGGTGTCTTGACCGCTCGGGTTTTCGGTGTGGGATTTTAAATTTGCTGCTGGGCTGGGACTGGGAAAGCGTTCTGATGGCATAGATTATTCTAATCGACGAGAATATTGAGGCTGGTCAATCAATTGGCGCTGGTCAAATTACAGCGGGCATTCAATTGCACCCTAACAGAAAGACCAGTAAAGTAGGTATATCTCATCATTTCTCATCCAAATTCATATACCCATCCATCATCGATCTGATGGAACAACCACAGAGTTGACCTGAGTGTCAGCCACCCTTCGAACCAACTATGTGCGTCGCCGTAACATCTATATAGAGCAGCATGACTTAACTTCGTCATGGTCTTGCTATCCTGAACAACCTAAAAAAAGCACGACGTTGCTCAAAAAAAGCCCTCCCTCCCTATCGACCAACGAAACCTCGTGACATTTACTTTTCATCCAAAACCACAACAGCGACCCTTTTCCCAACTAAGATCCAGGCTTTTGTCCGTCTGTCCGTCTGTTTTGTCCATCCATCTTTTTAATAGTGGCACAACCCCCCACCCTCCACCCCATCCGCCTCCACATCCGCCTCCCCCGCAAGCCCATTAACCTGCAAATCCAAATCCGGCTGACTCTTCGTCTTCTCCAGCTTCTCCTCCGTCACCGGCGCCGCCTTCACAACCGACTCGCCCTTCACCTTCCCAAACCCCCCGCCCACATTCCTCTTCCACGGCCTAATCGCCGGCTCCACCGTCTCATCACGCGCCTGCTTGAGGAAAGGCATCAACGCCGTCCCCCCCGTCCCGCGCAGCTTCTTGCCGTCCTCGTTATTGGAGGAGGATGACAAGGCGAGGTTCTGACGGTGCTTGATGCTCTCATCGCGTGTCCAGGGCGGAGTCTCACGGGACTTCATGACGACGTAGCGGGCGACGATGGCGATGTGTTTATCCCTAAAATTCTGCAAACTGGCAAGACACGAATCATACGCCTCCATCAACTCGGTGTCGACCTTGCTACTCTCGACGAAATCGCGGATGTTAGCGCAAAGCGAGACGTCCGCGAGGAAGCGACGGTGCGTGCCGGGCATGTAGCGGCGCATGTCGTGGATGAAATTGTGTTTTGGCGGCGGCGCGGTGCCCTCCTGATCCGAGTGCGCCTTATCAAATTTCTGGCCCGTAGGTCGGTGCTGGATGCCCAGGACGATGTCGAAGAACTGGATCAGCGAGCTCTGCGCGTTACTGCCACCGCTGAACTGGCTGTAGGTGTCGGTACCCGAGCCGGTGTCGTAGATGACGCCGTTGGGGAGGCCGGCTTCGGCCATGTTTTGCGAGCCGGCGAGGAAGGGGCGGATGTGGTGGTAGAAGACGTGTGGGTCGCAGTTTTCATGCATGCGCACCAGGAGGACGCTGAGGTCGTCGAGGCGCGAGGCGAAGGAGCGGAGGCAGATGGTTACGTAGGGGGCGTCTTTTTCGCGGGCGGCGGTCATGGCGGAGATCATGAGGGGGACGATGGGGCCGCCGCGGGCTTCGATGGCGACGGAGGTGAGGTAGAACCAGGATTCGTCGAGGGAGCCGGTGAAGGTGAGGAGGGTGGAGAGGTTCTCGAGGTTCTCGATGGGCTCGCTGTTGAAGAGGGGTTTGAAGTTCCAGAGGACTACGGCGGCGTAGGTGGCTACGGGGGGGATGTCGAGGTGCTCGGCCACTGCGAGGAGCGGGATGGAGATTGATGGCGGGACTCGCTGTGGGTGTATTAGTGAGGTTGTCCATCAGTAGCTGGAGCGTAAATGAAAATAGTCACGTACCTCTGAAGGTGTTTCACCACCCCAGATATAGCCATGTGCCATAAAGGCCAGAATCATGTATGCCCTCTGCCACTCGGATTCATCTTCCAGACCGGTGGTAGTGAGGACAGGGAGATCGTGGATGATGCCGCGGAGGCGCTTGCTCAGGAGCAGAGCCTGCAGGTTGGCCACGATGGACTCCCACTTGTTATAGTAGGGGTCGGGCAGGTGTTGCAGCGGCAGACGATCAGGGAGGAAGCCATTTTCGGGCGAGATTCCGTAATCGCTGAGGACGGGGACTGGAGGAAGCATGACCGTGGAGGGTCCTGGGGGTTGTAGAGAGGGTGGTTTGTCTGTGGTTTGGTCGTTTGACGGGTAGTGGGTGGTCTCGTGGTGTAGGTGAATTCCAGACGCAAGGAGTATTCAGATCAAGTCCGTATACTCCTCAGCCGTTGTGATTAGGGTGTACAGGTTCTTATTAACTAGATAGTAAATAATGTAAATAATAGGGTGGGTAGTGGGAAGACGGATGGAGGAGGTGAAGTCGTAGTGATAATTGTAGGTTGTTGATGCGCGGCTTTATAGCGTTTATAGCGTCTATAGTGTGTATCTCCCGATACGCGATACGGGGGAATTGGCGGAAATGTCGGTGGTACAACAGAGTCATCGCCCCTCAAGTACTCCTCAACCACAAATGGCCCTTTGATAGCGCGTGGCAACCGTGTGTATGATCCTTGATGGTACTTGCACAGTTACCGTAGACGACTCACCGTAGACGACTCACCGTAGACTTGCAGTAGCATCAGCCAGCCACTTACACCCCTTACACCCACGCCACCCGATTCTAGCCGATCCTGTTCCCTTGCACCCCACCACCAATTCCCGCGGCCCCGGCCTTACCTTTCTTCCACTTCCGCTACTTCCACCCCTAACCACCCCCCCCCAGCCTAGCCTCAGGCCGCAAGTGTTCCTCGCCAAAATTTCGCGCTTCATACGAACAAGAAGGTCCCGTCTACCCGTCATCAACCAAGCCACTCCAGATCACCCCTTCAGCTCGCTCCAAGTGCATATCCTTACGCCATCATATCCCCGCACCTACACCGCATCACATCACACCACACACACACACAGCAACCATGCCTCCCAAGACGCAGAGGGTAGTCGTTGAGCGCGCAGGAGGTGGTCGTCGCCTCGGTGCGCAGAGGGGATATCTGGGACAGGCGTACGAGGCGGTGACCTCCTCCGAGAACGCGAGTGTGGTGAGGAGTATTACTGTTTTCGCGGTAAGTAAGGGGGATGATCCTGGGCGCGATTGGGTGGGGGTAGTAGGGTGTAGCAGGAGAGAGGCTGACGGGGTTTTTGCAGGTTGCGGTGGCATTCTTCTCGAGCCAGTGGAGTGATCTGTTGTTGCCAGCGTGAGTACCTACCTATCATTATGCGGGGCGTGCATGACCTGTGGCTTGCGTGCGTGGGGAGATGGTGATGGATGGTGTGCTGATAGCGTCGTACAGTTTGTAAGAATTGTGTGTCTGTAACACTATGGAAGGGACGGAGCGATGGGCAAGCTTTGGCGAAGGAAGGAACGACGGACCTTTTTATCAGGGCGGGGGAAAGCCGGGAAAGGAACAAAACGTCTACTGCGAATGGGCGTGTACGATATTTGTTATGTCGGGATATATGAGTCGCTGTGGGAGTCGAAAGAAAGGGAGGGGGAAAGGGGACGTGTATGAACAATAGGAATACATACGAGTACAACGGGTCAATAAAGGGTTGTTCTTGACGACGATGTCGGTGTCTTTTATGGTGTGATTTTTGATGTGAGGGAGGATTGATGGGATAATTGGGCGGAGGATGAGGGTGGTTCGTGGGCATATTATTGTCCTTACTGACTCTGGATGGTATCGATTTGGGACTGCACTACTGACATTACTGGCTCTTGGATGGCATCAATCTGTAATCATTACTGTTTTATCAGATCGGGTTGATTTTGAAGTTAATTGCTGACATTTCTATTATTTCTCGGGACCCAATTCAATTAACTACCTCTCCAGACTCAATTACCAGAACATCAACTACCAAAGCAAGAACCCACGTCAACCAGCAACACAAGGATCCAACCACCAACGCCTCAACAAGCAAAACAAGAACACCAGTCAACTCCCACCAACTCAAACAACCAACCCCTCAAACATCCTCCCCACCTCCTCAACCCTCCAATCCCCCTTTTCCCCCTTCCCCTTCCCCTTCCCCTTCAACGCCTCAAACCTCTTCCTCCTCCCCTCCCTCTCTACCCTCCTCTTCCTCGCCTCCTTCTTCTCTCTCTCCCGCTTTGCTTTATACGGATCTCTACACTCACATTTCCCAGTGACGACGTCTTGTGTCTGAGCCTGTCCCCGACGAGCGAGGTATGCCCGCATCTCTAGTGCCTGGATGGCGGCCTGGCGGTCTTTGGCGAGGCGGTCGCGGGATTTGGGGAAACAGTGGCTTTGGTGGGTGGTTTTGGGGTTGGGCACTGTGTAGAGGGGTGTGGTGATGGGGTGCTGGGAGGTTGGGACGGTGGTGGGGGTGATTGGGGTGCGGGTTTTGGTGGTGGGCGTTTGGGCGGTCATTGTTGTCGTGTGGGCTTCTGTGGTTTGCGGGTGTGGGTTGGGTGACTGATGTGGTGGAAGGTAAGGTTGGGTGGCTGTTGAGGTGGAAGGTGCGGTTGATGGCTGTTGATATGGAGGTGCAGTTGATGCCTGTTGTGATGGAAGGTGCGGACGATGTCTGAAAATATGGAAGGTGCGGATGATGTGTTTGGTGGTGAGGAAGGAAGGAAGGAATGAAGGAAGGAAGGAAGGAAGGAGAGAAAGAGAGGAGAAGGAGGGAAGGAGCGCTGAGGAGGGTTATGGTGGGTGTGAGCATTCTCATTTCGACTGAATAACCTCACGCAACCACATCCACGCCGGTGAAACTCTATTTCATTAGTGGCAGTAGCCCATGAACTCTAAAACCCTTCTTTCATAACAAATGATATACACACCCCCAACCCCTATCTATTCCCCCTCGCCCCCGCCGGCGCATCCGTCCTCCTCTTCAACACATTCCCCAACGCATCCCTCACCTCCGGATCCGACCTAATAGTATTACTAACCAACCACTCGCTCGTCCTCCTCTGCACCTCCTTCACCGCCTCCGCATCCCCCACAAACGGCGCCATCCCCATCGCCACCAGCCGCGACGCCTCTGCATCCGCCGCCCCCGCCAGCGCTGCCATCCGCTCTACCTGCCCCATAAGCTGCTCTTCTTCCGTCCCGGACTTCGCTGCTACCTGCGGCGAGAGGAGGGGACCCAGTTGTGAGAGCGCGATGAAGAGGGTTAGGGCGCATTTGCGCAGGATGGCGATGAGTTGGAAGGGGAGGTAGGGTGGTTGCCCCCCCAGGTTCGTGAGGAGGGGGTTAAGGAGGTGCGAGGCGAAGCGCGGTGCGTAGGGCCGGGAGACAATATGCGCTTCTAGGACAGCGAGGGAGAGGAGGCCCAGCCAGCGCCAGTAGACCCCAAATTGAAGGTGTCCCGTCAAGCCGAGGACGTACATCATGACCGCGCCAATGCCGTAGTACTGGAGGATCCCGACGGCGCCTATAGTGAGGTAATCGTGGATCGACGACATGTTCGTCCAGCCCATGATGTCGGGCCCGAAGCGGTCATATGCGAAGCGCGCGGAGGGGTTGAGGAGGGTATCCTGCGCGGTCTTGAGGTGGTGGAAGAAATCCGTCGAGGTGGCTGTCTTGGCGACTTTGTCCGGGTGGTAGAGCGCGGCGAGGCGGCGGAAGCGGGATTTGATTTCGCGATCGGAAGCGCCGTGGGGGAGGCCGAGGTCTTGGTAGTAGTCGGAGGATTGGCGGATGGTGTGGTGCGCTTCGTAGATGGTGTAGAGGAGGTAGGTGGTTATGACGGCGATGTGGATGCGGCGGCGGTGGGTGGCGTGGAGGGGGGTGCGGGGTTGGGGTTTGGGGTCGCCGGCGCGGATGGTGATGCCGTACCAGACGGATTGGAGGGCGTTGGTGACGAGCTGGGGGGGGGGTGTTAGAATGAGGTTGGTTTGGATGGGGGAGATGGGGGGGGGATGTTATACATTTGGTAGGAATGCCCATCCCGCGAGGGATAGGAGTTGAGACGACATTGTATTATCGCCGTGGAACCATGGGGCCGCCAAATCAAAGTATTTGAGGCTGTGAGGAAAGGTTACTCGTGTCGTCTTGGTGATATTTCTCTTATAATAAAGTCGGCCCCGAGTCTCACAGACGTCGGTGTCCTTTGTTCGGATCCACCATTTCAACTTCGGCACCTGGAGCCAGCCTGCCTTAATTATCCTTGGCAACCACGCTAGCGGCCGCAACAATTTTTGGCATCTTGAAATTTTGAGGAACTCTCCGATAAAGATAGCAGATTGGAGAGAACATGGGCAAAAATCCAAGCAACCCAAACACAACAACCAGCCACAATGCCGTCTCTAATATCGTCACCGGCGAAGGACAAGTCGGATAGGAAGCATAAGTGCAAGGATGGCAAGGAGAAGAAGCGGAAGCGCACGCAGGAGGAGGATGGGCACAAGCACAAGTCGAAAAAGCATAGGCACGACAAGTCGGCGGATGTCGAGGAGATAATCGAGGAGGAAACCACTGCTGCACCGGCCCAGGCGCAGAACCCAGCCTCGACGAAAGAGTCGCCGTTTCACGTTCAAACTTCGTCCTTATACCTGCCATTGGCCCCGATCTCCCAGAGGACGCCGATCGAGGGCATCTGTGCCGAGCACCTGTCGCCGTTAATACTCACCTACTACCCGCCTTTCCACGGTGTCGTCCTGTCGTACAGCAATCCTCGCCTCGCGGAAGCGCCGTTCGGGAATGATGGGGCGCAGGTCATGATGAAGAGCACGGATGAGTACGCTGTTAGCTGGACGTGGGTGACGGCGGAGTTTATGCTGTTTAAGCCGACTAGGGGAGGGTGGTTGGAGGGGTACGTCAATTTGCAGAATGAGGGACACCTTGGCATTGTCTGCTGGAACCTCTTCAATGCTAGTATCGAGCGGCAGAGATTGCCTAAGGACTGGAAGTGGGTTGGCGCTGAGGACTTGGAGGGGGAGGGATATGCTGAGGACGGTGTTGGATACTACGTCGATGGGGCGGGAACCAAGATTGAGGGGATTGTCAAGTTTCGGGTCAAGGATATTGAGTCGTCGCACGATAGGGAAAGGGGATTCCTCAGCATAGAGGGGACGATGCTGGAGGACAAGGATGAGAACGAGCTTTTGGAGGAGGAGAATGCGTCGAGGAGTACGGATGAGAGCACGACTGGGAGAAGGTTGGGTGGATCGCGGGCTCTGGGCGCAACGAGTTTGGGTGTACCAGCTTTGCCGACTGAGGAAGAGGGCGGTAGGAAGCGTGGCTTGAAGGAGTACTGAGTTAATAACGAAAAGCTTTATGATCATAAAATTACATCTTTGCATGGCAGCTGTAAAAGCCAATAGCAGCCTGCCTTACGGAGTAAACTGGTGTCTTGAAACCAACTTTTACTTTGCTGGGTGCTAGACGGCATTCTTCAGGGACCATCCTACAGCGTAGCAACCCCTGCTTATCGCAGCTAAAATACCGTTTGATAACGCTAAAATTCGCCAAAGGCGCGTCACGTCGGTCTTTCCCCAGATTTTGCCGCCCCAAAAGTTCTCGAGGAAGCCCAAGGTTGCCCCCGAGACGAATTCTCTTCAACGCAACCCCACCACAGATGCGGCTCCGACTAGTGGTGAAGCGGCATGATCTGCCGGATGCGGCGATCGTGTGGCCAGTGAATGACGAGGCCAGAGTGATCGTCTCGCAGCTGCTGGAGCAGGTTAATGAAATCATACCTCTTGAGTCGGAGGGGGAGTGGGGGCTGGAGGATTATGCAGTTGAGGTGAGGGGGAGGGAGACGAATTATGAGTGTTTGCATTTTCAGGATGTGAAGAGCATTTTGCATGGGGACGATGAGGTTATGTGAGTTTTTATTCTGGATGCGCCTGTGGGAACGGCATTGCTGACCTTCTACCTTAGCATACGGCCACTTCTCAGTGATGATATTAAGCAGAGGCGAGCTTCGGGGAGGTACCAGATTACTTCTGATGGAATACACCTGTTTGACGGCGCGGTATTTGGAAGGCCGAGGAGGAGAATGATTGAGAGTAGACCTGCGGTCACGATCAACCCAAGGAAGAGGCGGAGGGTTACATACACAGACACAGTGGAGGATGATCTGGAGGATGAGGACTCTGACGAAAGCTTTCTCCGGATTGAAGGAATCCCGCAAGACGTCGACGATGGTGGAAATCAGCAGCTTGTTGTCCGAGCCGATTTCGACAACGACGACGAGGATGAATCCGAAGATGATGGCAATTTCGAATCCGCTGACGAGGATATGGACGAGGATTTATCTGTGGACGAAGGCGAACTGGAGGGGGAGCTTGAGGCTCTCAATGCTGAATCTGACGATGACGGAGCTTCAGATAAGGAGAATATCAAACATGGGTCTAAAATGGAAGGGGTCCAGACAGGCGACAAGCTTGACCCCAAGTCCCATAACATCATACAGCTCCAAGAAGCGTTTCCGGATGCGCCTCCGTCGATATGCCAGCAAGTGATGCAAAATTGCGATATGGATGTTGGTGCGGCTTACGACACTCTGTCGAAGGGATTTAAGCCTGAAAGGTCGAAGACTGCCGTACGTTCCAGGATGTGGTCCCCAAAGCAAACCACCAAGGAATCCCGATCCTCACAAGTTCAGACGAAGTCTGTTGAGGCCGTGGAGCAAGAGACGGACTTTGTCGCCGAAGATCAGGATCAAGTCGACGATGCAAACGACGAAGAGGACGAAGAAGAGGGTTCCGACGAGGAGGATGACGGTGGCATGGCAGGTTATTACGATAGCCATGGCCTGCCTCCAGGGTCAATCAATATTGGCAAAGGTCTTTCTGATATTGCCAAAAGCACCTTAGCCCAAGCAACTAATATCCCACTCCCACCAAGCCGCCATTCGGTGCTAAGGAGATCTGATTCTCCAAGCAGTAGTAAGAGCGTCAGGTTTGTGGAAGACGCGGCGGTTCTTGTTCACGATCCAGATGCTATAGCACTTGATGACGATAGCGATGATGAGGATGATGAGGATTTCGAGGTTGCAGGCGAGAGCGAGAGCGATTCCGGCTCTAGTTCCGACTCCAGCGATAGTGACGATGAAATGGAAATCTCAGCTGCGCCTACGGTGCCGACAACAGAAGTCGCTGATGACCTAACTTCTTCATCGGGTAGCGATGACACCAGCAGCTCCGAATCCGAGTCCGAAAGCAGCTCTGGTTCCGACTCTGAGTCTGAGTCTGGCTCTGACTCTGATTCAGATTCAGACTCTGAGCCAGAAGTAGCATCGAGCAAGGCCCCAGTAGAGCCAAAAGCGCCAACAGCATCCAAACCTGCGTCAAGCTCTACTCAAAAGGATACTCCGAAATCTGTTCCCCCTGGCGAAGGGCGAAACTCCACAAAGGCCCGGAATCAGCGCCGGCGATCAGGAAATATCTTGCAACGCTTCAAGGAGAAAGGGATACTGCCAGCAGGCGTGACCCTTGCCGAATTCGGAAAGCTGGATATTGACAGCAACACGACCCCTGAAGCCGCTGCTGAGGCATTAGCCATTGCTAGAGCTCAGATTGAAGAGGAGGAGGCAATGGGTCTGCGTGCTTCTAAGGGGAAGTCTTCGAAAAAGACCAACAAAGAGGCAGAGTTTGAAGCGAGGAGACAGGAATTGCTCGCTTCTCTGTCTGCTGGTGGAGTTGATGTTGGAGCTACCCTGTCGCATGGAAAGGCAGCGGCTAAGGCGCCTAATAGGGCTGGGTCTAGCCGTTTGGCTGATCAGTCAACACCTGTGCCCGGATCGACAGACAAGGACCTTACTTCCTCAGCTTCTGCGAAGAAGAAGTCGAAGATCGATGTGGACGCTGGCCGAAGGCTACTTTTTGGCGCCTTGGGCATCAAGAACCCTAAGACGAAAGCCGATGAAGAGAACATCCGCAATAAACTTATGAAAGATGTCAGAAAGGTCAAGGAGCGTGAACCTGAAGTGCCGGTCGCAGCAGAAGATGAAGAGGATATGGACGACGACACCTGGAGAGAGAAAATAACCCTCAGAGCTGTCGAATGCTGCCAGGAAGGCATCGAATTGAGCGAACCCCCGTTCCCGTTCGTGCAACGCTGGGATCCTCAGCAGCAGAATGTCTATCGGAAAGGCAAGCGCGGCGGTAAGGGTAAGAGAAGCCAGAGGAACCAGTCAGAGTATTATGAAGAAGAGCAAGCCTCGGCGAAGAAGCAAAAGCGGAATCATGACAGCAACGGCTACGATGATTATACCGAATATTCGGAAGAGGGACAAAACTCTGGAGACTTTGATCAGTACGACGGTGTAGACGGCCAAGCCAATGATCAGGTTATGGAGGATTCTCAGGGAGTTTATAGCGAGCCAGCTGAAGAAAATGACTTGCCAAGCCTTCCTGCCGATACTTCGAGCCTTACAGATATCGAACCGAAGGATATGAAGCCAGGAATGGTAGTCGCCTTCAAGCAGCTCATCATGTCCGAGGCAACAAGCTGGCAGCCGGTCATTTCGGAATACCGAACTGCAGTTGTCAATATCGTTTCCGACAAGAACAAGGTCGAACTGACACTAGCAATACGAGACCGTGAGTACCCAGAGCGCTACTACAACCAAGAAACTGGCGAGAGAATTTACGGCAAGTTCGAAATGCCCGTAGAGGATGAAGAGGAGGAAGAAGACTTGGATGATGGCTTCAGAGCTTTAGGATTCGCCGAGCTCATGGAACCAAAACTGCTGCAGGCCGAGCCCGAGAATATGAAGATAGATGGCCTTCCAGAGGCGGTATCTAATAAGGTAACTACCAGCACCGACGAGTCTATCACCCTGGCCCATGAACAACATGATGCACCAAGCGAATCCGTTGAAACCCCGCAAGTTGCTGATGAGGATAGGATTTCTGTGCAGGATCTACACCTGGTACAAACTGAGGATGACTCCCCGCCACGCCTTCCGTCGGAGCAACTTCCGGCTATCCAGCATTCGGCTCCGGTGGATGATGATATGGTCGACGTGTCGATCACTGAGGAGTCTCGGCAGGAGATATCTGTTCTTATGAGGGAAGCTGGGTTTCGATCAGACATTCCGTCTTCCATCCTAAAAAACAGGCCGCAACTTCCCGATACCCCTGGTGATAATTCCGAGCTCAAGCGCCTCGCCCAGTCCATGAATGTATCTCTGAACAAAGCAACAACCCCAGAAGACTCTTCGCAACTATGCCACGTCGAAGATGAGAACAATTCCACGCCCACTCAATTAAATTTCTATCCCAAGATCTCGATTCCCTCATCACTAGCCAGCCAAACCTCCGACCACGGCCAACGACAACCTGATTTTCCCACTCCTGGTGAATCAACTCTAGACCGCTTTGGCGACTCCAATTCCTTTCAGCTCAGCCAGGACGGCTTGTCCCTGGGCCCTGCGCACACGGAAACTCTAGCAGACGAGCCTCAACTTCCGTCTCTACAGCCGAACCATGCAGCAGCTGCTCCCGAGGCTCCACCGTCCGAACGCGAATCCTCTGTGCTAGACCTTCCGAGTCTTAGTGAGATGTTCTCCACGGCGCGCAGTTATTTTGGTGCGAAACAAGACAATCTAGAACCCGTCGCTGGCCCAACCTCTACCTCCCTAGGCGCCAACAAATCCTACGAAGAAGCGATGGCAAAGCTCGATGCAGAGTTAGATGCACGAGCCGACCCAGATCAGAATTCCGGTGACATGACACCCCGAACGCGGTCAGAAGATCGATTTGTGTCACAGCTTGTAGAGGACGTACATCAGCAATCGAACTCAGCAAACGGCACTACAACAGCGGCAAGGAGTCCGCCCCAAAGCCCCAGTCTACCAAGACTGAAACTCCCCTCCAACAGCAGCCCCTTCGTCCTCCCCTCCGGTTCGCAGCAAATTGACCTCACCCTCTCAAGCGATAACGACTTTGACGCAAACGCAGAGAACAACGACGACGACGATGACGATGAGTACGACCCCAATATGCCGCGTGGGCCGGGGTACGTGCGGAAGCGCAAGATGAGGCGGCGGACGGGGGGTAGTACGTCGAATTCCCAGGGATCGGGGTCGCAGACGTGGACGAGGAGTCAGAGGAGGAGGAGGGCGACGATGGGGGTTTAGGGGGTGCTTGTATAGTAGGGTTGTGGATATGGGTGGTGCATGGGATGGAGGGTTTGGAGAGGTTGTATGTATATTTTGGGAGTTATGGGTAGCATGGTGCATTGGTGACATTGTGGGTGCGATGGTATCTGAACATATGGCGCATGACGCTGTTGAGTTAATATGAGGAAGAGAGCCAGCTATGGAGCATGGTAATAATGAGATAATTACCTCTTACCTTCACATTATCGCCTATTGCTCGCCTATCCATACCTCCCATTTGTCTTTTCCATGTACTCCATAACGCGATCTGTGAGGAGCTCGGTATAGATCGGTTCCGTACTTGAGTCGGTAGGGAGTCATGCCAATGGATGCGTGGGGGAGTAATGGAATACCGTCCACATCGTATATTTGCGCAAATTAGGCTACAAGACCTGGGATCTGCAGGGTTCGGACAACATGAGCAGAGGGGTTTATAAAATCTAGAATCTACGCCGAAAGCAGTTCAGACAGAGTTTAAACGACATCGTAGATTTGCGCAAAAGGGGCTATGAAGCTTGCAATCTGCGCCAAAACTAACGTATGCTAAATGCATTTGCAATGCATTAATTAGCGCAGGCTTAATGTAGGTTAAGAAATAAAGGTCTATAAAAACTAGGAAGCTTCTACTATATAGATGGAATGCAGAAGGCAACATGGACTTGCGTAAAATGGGCTATAAAACAAACATACCTCCTTGCATATCATGTAAAGTAGCCAACGAATTTCGACCGTTGAAAAGACGATGTATAATATCTAGTTATTATCTATCCGGCACATCCAGGCCAGCCTCCCACCCCAGTCTACCTAAAAAACGCCACCCATCTGATATCTTCCCATCTCCAAACACCGAGCAATGCAACCGATTACCCCCTCCACATTCCCACATCTGTCAAACCACTCAAGCCTATCCTCACGCAACAAACCCCCCACTCCCACTCGGCCCCCCCCTCCCCCACCACCGCCCTCCTGCGTCGAGTATCCCGGCACCGCCCCCCTCTCCCCCTTCCCCCCCCCCACCACACTAGGCGAATTCTCATTCGACACCCCGCTATACTCTCTCCTCCCATCAAGCGGGCCAATATCATCCGCCATCGCATCCTCGTAGCTCGGCGGCGCGTCGCCCATCAGGTCCGCGTTCGCCGTGCCCATTTGCGGTGGGTAGAGCGGGTCGATGGGCGGGGCGGCGGGGGCGCCGCTGGGGCGCGGGGGCATGGCGGGCGCTTCGTGGGGGGTGGTGGTGGTGGTTGTGGCGGTGCGGTTGGCGAGGGCGTTGAGGAGGGCGGGGGAGGGGGTGAGGCCGGAGTAGACTTCGACGGGGAAGCGGAGGGGGATTATTTGTTTTTGTGGCTGGGTGGGTGTTAGTATAGGTTATATCAGTTTGCTCCAGTATGAGCATGCGGGGTGGGTGGAGATGTGGGGGAGCTCGTACCTGAATCTCGCCTGGGTATCCGTAGCTTAGTACAACGCGTAGTTGAAGCTCATATTTTCGTGTCAAATTGCAAATATGAAATGAAGGCGTAACAGTAGGAGGAAGCTGCGCACGATCCCACAGCTTATCATCAAGCGTTGTCTCGGTCCCAACCGGTTCACTGGGGTTGCCTATGGGCAAGGAGAGGCCCTGAAGGTTGACAATCGGAAAAGTGCTCAGCTCTTCACGCATCACATCTTGCGCCCTAACCTCCGTCTTGGCGATAAGATCGACGTGCAGCCCAACTAAAAACACGTACTCGGGGCTATCATTCTGCTTCGTGACGATGATGCGCATGGGGATCGGTTTCCTGCATACCAAGATCGACGGGCTGGGCAGTCGTGCATCAACCAAGACCGACGGAGCAACTGGCGACAAAGCGGTTGGCTGGCGCGCAAACATCCCTCGTTTCTTACCATTCGAAGAGATCGAGCCAGCTTGGAAAGCGTACGGTCGCCGCGCAAACGCTTCTGCATTTGAGGCAGGGGGGGCTGGGCGATCGATGGGCATGAACTTAAAGCCGATCTCGTTCCTCCTGTTTTCTTTCCATATCGACGGTCGCTGGACTGTGACTTTTACGAAGTATCTTATTTCTGCTTCGGCTGGGAAGCCGCCCAGGGAAGGGGGTAATGGTTTTCTGATATGCTGCTGTAGCATTGGCATCTCCATGAGCCCGAGGCGGCCACCCAACCCAACGCCGATGGCTTGCATATTCTGATCGCCACACATAGTATTAAATCTGCGTAAGACGTTAGTGAGTGGGCTATTTCGACCTTGGGAGGGGTAATTCGGACGGAATCTTAAACCTAAACGGATACTCGTGGTGCCCTGCCCCAAGCGTGAACGATGCCTTGGCGGTCGGAGTTGTGCTGCTCACAGTCGGAAAGACAGTTTGCAGCCTGTACAGGATCTTGTGATTCTCCATGGCTATCCTGCTCCTATCATCGCGCCGCCTTGGCTCATGCGGCCCAGGCGGTGGCTTCATCAGCACTGTCCTGCTCTCCCCCTCCAGCTTCACCACGATGGCGGATATGGTCTCATCGGTAAGGAGGTTCAGCACGATTTTGCCGCTTATGAAGTCGAGGTTTGTGTAGAAGGCGTGCGGGTTGTCCAGGTGAACGCGGACGGACATGGCTGGGGCACCGTGGCGAAAGGACCCGACGCTCAGTGCTAGAGACATTGTCAGCGGGTGGTGGTGGCATCTGAGGGGTTTGTCATTTAGCTTACAGTTAAAGTAGGTGGTTTACAGCGTAGTAGCTGTTGTCGGCGTAAAATCCCCCAGTTACTGAATAGCCCAAACTCTGGCGTCAGCCTCGCTGCGATTCGACGTTCTGACAGCGACAAATGCGCCCTCAGCGAGGTATAGAATAAGAGGCTCGGAATAGTGAATCAATTGCGAATATTTACAGATGAGACAAACTTAAGATTTGTGCAGGAGGAGTATGAGGACATAGCGCTCGAAAAGGAACAATTGCGTTTTGTGTGAAGGGCTGAAAATAATCCGATGCGCTGCACTCTCCCCGCCGGCGGGTCCGAAAACAGTATACGAACCCCGAGGCGACCGTCGTCATCGACAGTGATGCTTCAACTGTATAGTTTACGGCAGCTAGTGGCTCGGCTCAGCATTAACGTTAGCCCGGGGCACACCTAATGGCGGATATCAGACGCGTTTTGTTTTGAGGCATACTATGGTAACCGCCAGCCATAAGGCCGCGTCGCTGACATACGTATCAACATGCAAATGGAGCCTCCCGACAAGCTTTTGTGATAGGGGAAATTAAGGGAGCGCTTGGTTGGCTTTTGTGCCTGGGTATCTATTTCTAATCCAACTGTGCCTCAACCACAGCGCGTATGAAGCTTGTATAGTACAGGAGAGAGGCCTCATAGAGATGCCGTGCAGGGTACCGCCGCTATAATGTAGTGGTGATATGCACCGCTTCTTCTAGCCTAAAGTGATGCTTCAACCCCCCAAATCCCCATAATCTATCTGCCTTGCCACGTGTAAAAACGTGACAAGTTTCAGACCACCGTGGCTCGTCACAAGCCTTCTTTGGCCAGCATGTCGGCGATGTCAAGATAGAACGCAATAGCGTTGAACCTCCTCTTCCCCCCATTGATCTTGCCCATGAACACCCTGATCGCGCTCCAATTGATGAGATCCAGGTGGCTGACATCCACCAACGTCCCCTTATACGTGCCCCATTTGCTGCTCCCCACACTCACCAGCCCATCGTTCGGACCCTCCATCTTCTCCACAACCTTATGCGGTTGCTTAAACGCGCTAAAGAAACTCGGGTGCACGTCCGCGCCGTAGGAGAAGTACTGTACGCCAGGCTTGTCAGGCGTCTTCGGATTGAACTCTTCGATCATGAACTTCCTTGTTAGTTGGCTGAATGCCCCTGTTCCTAGTCCCACGCCCTCGAATATCTTGTACAGTGTCGGTAGGTTCTTCGGGCCTATCTCCTCAAACATGAAGTCCGCAAAGGCAGACCCGCGATGTGGCGTCGCAACGGTTGTCAGGGACAGTACCTCGACATTCTCGGGCTTGAGGCGCGAGATCATATATCGCGCATCCAGTCCTCCCATGCTGTGAGCAATAATATTGACACTCCTGCCATTCGCCTTCCGCGCAATATCCTGTCCTAGCTTGAGAGCGCGCTCTTCAATGCTGGCAGATGGAGGGACCGAGGCGGTTATAACTTCCACGCCGTTGGCCTCGAGTGCTTCTACAATTCCGCGCCAGTATTCGACACCGGGGATGAAGTCGCCGGCAAATTTGAGCTTGTCGAAGCCCATCAAGCCATGGGCAAGCACGATTGGGTATTTAGGCGTAGCTGTAGCCTTGGTCAGAAATGTCCAATTGCTCGTAGTTGGGAATTGACGAAAGGCGTACCATATTTCCCTCTAATAGTCGCAAAATCATCTTCAATGGCCCTTTCCAAATCGTTTATCTTAAGATCGCTGCTCGGGTTTTCGGCCTTTTCCCGAAGTTGAGGGGGGGTCCTATGAAAGCCGTGCAGCTCCCGTCGCAAGTAATGTAGAGATGGAGCATATATGCTCGGACGGCTTGCAAATATTGGCGCATTGCGTGGGGGCCATCTTGAGCGGAGATGGCGAGCTAGTACTGTCATCGTTCTATAAATCTGCACATTAGAAAGGAAGTTGCGATGCCATTGACGTTTATTACGACTGCCATGTGAGTGGCTGTTGGAAAGTGGAGATGGACATTTTCGGCGGTGACGTAGATGAAGGTCCGAGGATCTAGAAGCCTAGGGACCGTGAATGACAGGCACCCAGAGGTTTACAGCAGCCTCTATTGAACCATGTTGCTGGTCGAGTTGTTTACAGCCACTACGAATAAAATAGAGACCCTTAATGCCTCGGGAACTTTTGGACATTCTAAAGCCGGTTTCTCAAAAACCAAGCCAAAGGGATATCTTTCCATCAGCGGTGGGCGCCCGTTTCTAACAAAATTCAATATATGTCACAGTTATAGTTTTTGGTTCCAGGGGTGAAGATCATTATAGATATAGTTTCGGGGTCTCAAAGTTTGAGCAGCATCAGCTTCAACCAAGTGGCGTTGGAGAAGATAGAGTAGTCAAACCCCTAGAGTGCAACGCTTCATTGATAACTCTCCAACTTCTGTAGTGAGCCACATCTATAATAACGCTCTCAAAACACCTCGTTTCCTCCACCTTGCAGCCCCGCCCAGAGCGTCTATCCGAAGCGCGCCGCGGCTCAAGGCGTAGTCTTCAATGCACTTCCATCACCATCGCCATCACCAGAGCTCGCACCTATGCTGGCACCACAACGCGCTGCGGTGCTTGTGGGTTCACATCTGTAACACCCTTCAACAGCGCCTTGACCACCTCATCTGTTCCAGCCTTTCCTGCCTGCTTGATCTCCTTCACCTGCGTCTCAGCCTCTTTGTTCGCATCCTCTTCGGCCTGCTTGTTTCCGCTCGTGTGCTAACAGTCGAGTCAGCATGTCTATTCTCACCGTAGTAGATTTATCCCATGAATCGCAGAATTGATAGGGCATAGATGCAGTTGCCTGTGCTGCACAGGAGCCATAAGTGGCTGGACTCTGAGACGTACCTCAGACTCGAACTTCTTGAACTCGGCCTCCTTGGTCTTGCGGTATGTGTCGATCTCCTTCTTTGCCTCGTCCCTTGCCTCCTTTATGCGCTTTGTGCGGTCTGTATCCATATCAGTTCGCTGGTCTGTACGATGTCCGCACCTTGAGGTGGGTGTATTCGAACGACATACACTCTCTCGCTGCAGAAACGTTAGCACAGCATAAGTAGTATCAGCTTCTAAGATCACATACCTCTCTGAACAATCTTCTGTGCTTCTCTCTCCGCCTAGTAGATGTCAGTTCCACTCCCAAGCTCTCGATTCACCAAATATCTTACATCCAACAGCGTCTGGATACCAGCTGAGTTCTGGGCCGACTGTATCCCCATCATTAGCCATCATCCCAAGCCACTCAAGAGCAAGTATATCGCACCATCTTGCAGTCTCTGCCAGCGAATTTGCAGGATCGTAGAAGTGTTCAAGTAGTACAATATCGATCACGCGTTGACATTCGAAGCTCTGTCGTTATCACGGGCTGGGTCCCAAGGTACGTCGTCGGAAGCTCGACCACGGCGGACCCCTGTTCGGCATTTTCCACCTTTGCAAATCGCTACTTGGAGGGTTGCACTTCACGTACGGACCCCCGACAACGAAAGATTCTCGAATTTCTACAAACCATTGCCCTTTCACAACACGCTGGGATAGTTGTTACAATGTCAAGGGCTAGCAAGCTTACCCTCGCGGGGACGTCGCTGTTCGCGCTCAGCACAGTCTTCTTCGTGCATTTCCAGCAACAGGCTGAGAAATCGGTATGTTGCAGCTCCCTCTCTTCTCCCCACCATCCCCCGCACTCCCCAGCTCCAACTCACCTTCCTTCCTTCCCAATTACGGGGCTCTATGTCCAGTTCCTTACGCTTCATTATTCGGGCTACCCAGATATTAACTAACTATCCCAGGCAATGCACGCCGGCGTCGTCCGCGACATGGAGCAACAGCGCATCAAGAAAGAACGGCAACTTGACTTCGACATGCAGAAGGCTCTGGAGGAGAGTTACAAGAAAGTACAAACCGTTAACGACGGCGGGGGTGCGCCTGAACCGCCCAAGCCCGGAGATGTGGGCGGTGGTCGGTGACGAAGCTTGGTTCGCTGGGAGAGTGCAGTGACGGGTAGTTGCAAGCCTGTGTATGAACATGCATGTACAAACAGCGAAGGCGGTAGACGGATTCAATGAGGGGTAGACGGATTCAATGAGGGCTGTACGATACTCTGGGGTATAGTGTGAAGCATTGGGCGGCGTCAAAATTAGGAGTTACATACGGAAACCAAACCGGCAGAACAATCTCAAACACAGACATATATAGATAGGAACTTGTACATTATTGCAGGTCCATAAGCTGTATTTTTCGAATAACCATCTCTCTTGAATTACTCTGAACTATTCTACAAAAAGGTAGCTCTATATCTGCCCTTAGCTTTCCTTTTCTTGCCTCCGCAATCGACTCGCTTTCGCTGCATGACGATAGATGCAGGAAAATTGCATCTCAGCACCTTTTTCCGGTGGTGTACCATTCTTTATACTCTCCTGGGGCAATAAACCCAAGCACCCAACTCCATATTATGCAAAGACCCGAACCCCCACCTTCTCACCATACCAACGCTGCCATCACTCACTTATCTCTGCTAGTCATTCTTTTGTGTTTCTTCCAATCTTACATGCCTGCTTCTCGTCGTGGTAGCGTAGAGATTTTCTTAACTTTACCGGACGCTCACTCCCGACCTGTTGGTGAACATTCTCGCGGCGATGTTCATCGATGCCAACTCCTGGAAGAGCAGCTTCGTCGCGTACGGGATGTGCACTTGCGAGATCTTTGTCTTGTTCCTGCAGGGCCTACACTCGAACGACTGGGTGTTCAGTTTCCTAGAAGTTTGGTCAGTACAAGCCGTTATATATCCACAAACAGGAAGAAACTTACGCGATTGGTGTCATAAGACCACAGATGTCGCAAACGTGTACTCTGAACGCGTCCGACACCTCGAACAGTCTCTCCTTCAAGAACGCACTTGCGCCGTGGGAAATCATGCAATCACGTTCCATCTCTCCGAAACGCAATCCACCATCTCTGGCACGACCCTCCACAGGCTGCCTCGTCAGAATTTGAGTTGGTCCTCTGGCTCTGGCGTGGATCTTGTCGTCGACCATATGCCTCAGGCGCTGGTAGTACGTGGGTCCCAAGAAGACCTGCGCAACAAGCTTGCGTCCTGTGTGCCCGTGGTACATGACTTCGAAGCCGCGAGACTGGTAACCCATGTCACGAAGACGCGACGAAACGCTGTCGACAGTGACATCGGTGAAGGGGGTGGCGTCGCCCTCCTTTCCGATGAGCGAGGCAACCTTCGACAACTGACACTCAATCAAATGAGCAATCGTCATACGAGATGGAATGGCGTGGGGGTTGATGATGAGGTCAGGCACAACACCCTCGCGAGTGAAAGGCATATCCTCCTGGCGGTAAGTGATACCAATTGTTCCCTTCTGTCCGTGACGAGAGGCGAACTTATCACCAATTTGAGGAATCTTCGTTGTGCGCATGCGCACCTTGACGAAGCGGAGACCTTCGGCGTTGGTGGTGATCAAGACTTGATCAACAATACCATTCTCCGTGCTACGAAGAGGAGTCGACGCATCACGCTTAGTATGCGATTTGGTGCGCTGTCCAAGTTCCTCTGCATCTGGTGGAAGTGGCGCGGTTTTACCAATAATGATATCTTCTCCAGAGATTCTGACACCAGGAGCAACAATTCCATCATCGTCCAGCTTGTCATAAGTTCCGTGCTTGAGCTTGAGGGTATCGCTACGGAAAGGCTTCTCGAACTGCTCAACCACATTCATACCGATCCTCTTTTCTTGGTCGTGATAAGCTCTGTAGAACAAACTGCGGAAAAGGCCACGATCGATACTGCTCTGGTTCATAATGACGGAATCTTCCTGGTTATAACCAGAGTAGCAAAGAATGGCGACAATGGCATTTTGCCCAGCAGGCAGTTCACGGAACTTCAGATATTCCATAGACCGAGTGATAGCAAGCGGCTTTTGCGGGTAGTAAAGGATATTGGCCATGGTATCCATACGCTGATCGAAATTCGTAAGGAAAACGCCCATGGCTTGTTTACCCATAGCCGACTGGTAGGTGTTACGCGGAGACTAAATATATTAAGCATTCGATGTTTTACCCATGAAAATGCGTGTTTGCTTACCTGATTGTGATCCGGGAAAGGAATAATGCTGGCGCAAATTCCCAGAATCATAGACGGATGGATTTCACAGTGCGTATACACCATCGAAGTTGCCTTGGGCTTTGTTTGCACTCTGGCGTTGATGGAGTCTTCCGCCCCCGTCGCTACTGTATATCCTTGTCGAGCCTTTCTGCCATCCTCAAGGTCTTGTGGTGTCATGACAATCATAACAGTTTCTTCTTCTTCCGCATCTAAATACTCAACCACACCGTCGTTGATGAGGCCCTGGAAACCATAGTAGCCACGTTCCTCTTTCTCCTCGAGGTCCATGTTATTTGGCAAAGCCAAATCATCCTCAAGCCTCCTGATATGCTCAGCATTGAAAACCAGTTTGCCGTTATTCTCGCTGTCGGTTTTGTTGTCGACAACGAAGAGAGGTCGGCAAACTCTCCCAGCATCTGTGAAGATCTTGAACTCTCGGTCACGAATATCACGAATCAACGAGACTTCGTGGGAAATCAGAGAGCTTCGACGAAGATCCTGAACAGTTTCGACCAGATGAGAAGGATCGCGGTGGACACCCACCCAAACACCGTTCACGAAGACCTTTGTCGCATTTGGTGATCTCAGGGGTTCATACTCCTCTAAAACTTCCATACTTCTTTGGATCATGAACTCGATAATAGGCTCACTGGGTGTGCCAACAGTAACGTAGCACATAAGTGCGAGATTCTTTACCAGACCACAGGCTTGTCCTTCGGGTGTCTCTGCTGGACAGACGAGGCCCCAATGAGTATTGTGTAATTGACGCGGCTTGGCAATCTTTCCGTCTCTACCGATAGGGGTGTTTGTTCTCCGCAAATGCGACAGAGTGGATGCAAATGTGTATCTGTTCAACACCTGGGAGACACCTGCAGTCGAGCTTGCTGCCTTCTTCTGGTCACCCCAGTTTCCTGTGGCCAAAGAATATTTCAAGCCATTAGTCAGGGTGGTAGCCTTGATACCCAGCGCAGGGTTAAATTCCTTCTTGTTCTCTACGCAGCGTTGGATGTACTTGTAAAGATCTCCGGTCAGCTTGCGGAACAAATTACGGAATAGTTTCGCCAGAAGGGGACCAGCAAGATCCAATCTCTTCTTTCCGAAATGATCACGATCGTCCGTTTCCCGACGTCCTAACGCGCATTGAAGCAGCTTATGAACCATGTATCCGAGGAAGAAAGCTTTTCTGGTCTCACTGCCTTCTTTCTGAGAAATATGGGGTAGCAACTCCTTTTGCATGATATCTCTGGCGTGCTTGATACGCTTGTCTCTGGGTACGCCCAGCGACTGACCACGCTTCCCGATGAAATCAAGGGCAACTTCGCGATCTTGGATGACGAAAGCCTCTTCAATACAAGGCTTCATCATCTCCAGCATTTGAGTATCCTTGCGATCGTAGCAAACATGGTTAAGAATATCCTCATCAGATACAACACCAAGGGCACGGAATACAACAGCTATCGGAATATCGGACTTGATATATGGTAGAGTAGATTTAATCGTTTGGCCAAAGCTGCCTCTTTGCGTATCACCCTTAGAGTGCAGCTTGATGGTGAGAGATGAAATAAGCCTTGAGCCTTTCTCCAGAGCGCTTCTGATTTCGGCGATAAATGGTGTAGGACTCGGCGGCGGCTTCTTGAAGACTTGGACGATATTTGCCGCACTGCGCTCTTGGGCAATCAATACCTTCTCACTGCCGTTGATGACAAAGTATCCTCCTTGATCGTATGGACACTCATTCCACCCATATAGCTCATCGTCGTCCATATCTTTCAAGTTGCAGTACTTGGACTTGAGCATAATTGGAAGCTTCCCAATGAAGAAGGGCTCTGCTGTCACTGGACGTTCATTCGCTGGTAGTTTCGCCGCCTCTTCCTGAGACATCGACTGGTCTTCGATTTCCCACACAACCTTGGTTGGATGGTCTCCGCCAGCGGCCAGTTCGGCTTGCTCGTCGTCATCAAGCTCGTTTAGTGGCGTCGGGCGTTCAACGGCTATCGAGACCTTCTTGTCGAGATGGATATACAGCGCACTCGAGTATGTAAGGTTTCGTAGCCGCGCCTCTTGGGGAAACAGTCGCGCAGTCGTTCCATCGCCCTCGGTCATCATGGGCTCCGCAATAAACACTGTCCTGAACTTAATCTCATAGCGACGAAGTTGAATTGGCTCGCCGTTAACCGGGGGCGGGTTGTTTTGGTCCAAGGTAAGCTGCGAATTCTCGTTGATCAGATCCTGCATGGACGTTGAAACAAACTCGTCGAAGGAGTCGAGCTGTTGAGACACAAGCCCCTTCGACTCGAAGAACGAAGAGATGACTGTCCAACACGCCTCCGCCGTGATTGTAGGCTCTTCGGCCTCTCCCTCAAACTCATATGCATCCTCATCGTATTGATCCTCCATATTATCCATCTTGAGACGAAAGTTGGCGATGTATAGAGGTGAGGTCGAGGTGGCGCGTTGTCAAGTGTGAGGTTGACCTTTTGCGCTTCTGCGCGCCTCGCCACAAGTCGCGGCTGTTCCGGAGAAGAAGTGTCGATCTGAAAAAGTGTAATGAGTTTGGTCGGTCTGACGACAGCGAGGCTTGTAATATATGTGGTCTTGACGGTCACCTCCTCGCCGAGGTGTTAGCTGAAGTCAATTATTTGAGCCTCCTGCGGCGATCAACTTGAGTTGCGCGCGAAACCAAATTTGGATCGCGCGACGACAGCAACTCACGTGATATCAGGCAAAATGTTGGCCTATAGTTTAAGGTTTGTAGGCTAATAAACCATCACGAAAACCCAAATTAGGTAACTTACCCGTAGCCCTTAATATATACTTGATGCTTCTCATAAACTAAACTTTTTTTACAAAGGTTCTTACTTGTCAATTCTTCTCTGAACTAGTTGTTTCCAGCCTTTTCTACTCAAAGGCGTGGTGACACACTATTAAAATCACAGGCCATTTTGTATGTGGTTACAAGAATAAGCTCGTTTTCTATTTATTGTACAGACATCCACACAAATACTAATTGCAGAGCACATATCTATACCTTGCCTTTCCATCCTCCATATCAACAATCGCTTGATTTGCATCCTTCATATCCCTCTTCTCGATAAATGGATGGATGTTCTTCTTGGCAGCAAACTCTAGCATCTCCCTGAGCTCTCCCGGTGAACCAATAGAGCTTCCTTCTATCTTAACGGCCTTTCCAATTAATGCCCCAATCCTGAAGCTAGGAATAGCCTCCTCTGGCGCACCGACCTGGATGTATCGTCCGTTGGTGCGTAGTAGTTGGAGATATTTTGATAGAGGCATCTTGGCGTCGGAAACTGTGGAAATAATAATGTCCAGCTTGCGTCTGTTCTTCTTTGCCCAGTCTGGGTCCTCTTGCGTTGCGATAAACTCATCGGCTCCCATCTTCAGTGCGTCCTCTCTTTTCGAGCTTCCGCGCGAAATGGCAACAACCTTGTCACAGCCAAGTGCCTTTGCCCACAATAAGCCAAAATGGCCCAATCCTCCAATTCCAACAATCCCAACAGTCTTTCCAGGCCCAGCGCCGGCTTTTCTAAGAGGGGACCACATAGTTACGCCTGCACAGAGCATCGGGGCTGCTTCAGCCGAGTCCAGCTCTTTTGGGATCTGGACGGCGAAGTGGGCGGGCGCACGCACATACTTCGAATATCCACCGAATGACTTGGAGCCATCAGGGTACTTGCTACTGTATGTGCCCACTATCCTCGTGCAATAGTTTTCGAGTCCGTTTGAGCACTCAAAGCAGCTAGACTTCAGACACGAGCCCGATTGTGCACCAACTCCCACGCGATCTCCTACTTTAATGTTCTTGACGTTTTTCCCCACCGCCACGGCCTCTCCGACGATTTCGTGGCCGACGCAGCATGGATAGATTGAGGGTCCCTGCAACAGCCATTAGCAGTTTTCGCTGTATTCTAGGTAGCCGCATACTTACCCAGCCGCTTCTCAGTGTGTGAATATCAGAACCACAGATACCACAATGGGAGACTTCAATATCAACATCATCCTCCGTCCACGTCTTTGGTTGGAATTCGCCCCACACCATATTTCCTGCCGCTGCAGTCTTGTCTAAGCCCAGCCATCCCTCAAACTTATAATCTGTTGCCTTTGTCGCCTGTGGTGCTTGAAGGTGACTGGCGATGGACTGGGCTCTCCTCGAGGCGCTCGATGAGTCTGAAGGGGGTGCCATGGTATAATATATGATAATAGCTCACTATTCTCGGTTCTACCTTGCAATTGGAATCTTAAGAGGCCGCCTCTGCTCGTTGTCGGCGATGCTGTGACTTCAGTGGTGCTGTACCTGGTACAGTGGCTTGGTACAGTGGCGATAGATAGCAAGGCAATTCTGGAATCAGTGCAACCAAATAAATTGTATGCGCAACTTCGACAAGGGCTAATGCAAAAGAAAAATACGACTGGTACTGGCACTTCAAATAGAATTAGAAGATTCCAGCGTTCAGAGCCACTCAGCCCATGTGGGATATTTCAACAAGGATTTGGCAATGCCGAGGCATTCCCCGTGTCACCGTGTCACGGAACGGGTCTAAGGCTATACCGACGTCCGAGTCGGAGATAAGAAACTATGAGGGTATATATATACCTGAGTCTAGCTCAAATGTTCTCCATTCACAGGGATTAGAGAAAGAAATAGATCGCTAGGAGTCTCATATGATTTCTCACCCAAAATCGAGAAATTTGAAGGATAATAACATAACTCAACAACAACTTAGTATTATATTTTAATATCTATTCAGCTTTATCTATACACATAGATTCATTTACATGCAGTTTTAGAGCAATCAGAACCATAGATATTGAGATATAACGGCCTAGTGTAAATTTCAGCGCCTACATCAGCGCTTACACTTAATATCTCGAGAATTAATGCATAGATTATTCCTAGATAATTAGGTAGGAATTCAACGAAGTATAAAAAGCTAGAAACATACTTCTAATATATATTATTAAGCTGTTGTTGAGTTATTACCTTGCAAATTTCTTGATTATTGGTGCGAAATTCAGTGTCCGACCCGCTTATAGTGTGACTTCCCCACAAACTCCGTCGGCCCGATAAATGATCCGTTATCAGTACTCCTGCCACTATCAGACCTAAAGCTTGAACCAGACCAGTGATTGTTGTGCCTCGAGACAGCTTCAGGAATCATGGCTGCAGTTCAGCAACGCGTCTTAAACTGGCTATACAGCGTGCTTACAAGTGTATGGACTTATTTTACTTACATCATATTCAGCACTGACGAAAACAGGAATACCAAGATGTCAACCGGACCTATCATGACGTGGCCCAGGCCCTTTCGCATTACTCCAGTTTAAGTCCAAAGACAGAAGTTTATAGTGAGGCAGTCTATTCATAATCTATCAAATGCAAATGCTAACGGACTCCAGCTTATGAAAACGGCGTATCTGAGCTCCTGCTTCAACTATCAGGCACTCTGCCCGTCGCATTTCGAGGGACGACCTATCGCTTCCCAGTTACAGTATGGATACCCCACCAATACCCACGGGATGAGCCTGTGGTATACGTTTCTCCTGCAGAGGGCATGATGGTGAGGGCTGGCCAACACGTTGATCCGCAAGGGCGCGTTTATCATCCATATCTGGCTGGATGGGCAGAATTTTATGATGTGAGTTGCATTCTCAGGCAACAGATATCATACCTGTGTATAAACTAACCATATGGCATAGAAATCTAACATACTCGACTTCCTCGCTATATTACGAGATGTATTTGCGAAAGAGCCTCCTGTGGTCTCCCGACAATCACAGAGTACTCCTGTTGCTTCTCCACGACCGATACCTCCACCAGTTCCACCTCTTCCACCGGACATGACAAAATCTCCAATCCCTCACCAAAACGCTGGTGGTGCTCCCCAGCCTCCGCCACCTCCCCCAAAACAGCACGAACCCATCGTACAGCGACCTCAAGCCCAGCCTCAACCGCCACAAACAGTCAACTCAGGGCCGCCATTGCCCCCTCCTCCTCCTCCATCTGCCAATTCACGGTCAGCTCAGCCACCCATCCCTCACCCTGACCAGTACACCTCCAACGCACCTCAGCGCCAAAGTAACCTTCGTTATGAGTCTGCTCCTCCACTGCCTCCGCAACCTCAGTTTCATACAGGACAGCACTACCAGAGCCCACCCCGCGACCCCCGGCAAGCACCTCCCCTCCATGGCGCACCATATGGAGCGCCTCCAACACAACACTATCAACAACCTACAAACCAACCCCAACTACCCCCACAATACCCGCAACAACATCAATCCTGGCAACAGCAACAGCAACAGCAACCGCCCACCCCCCAACCCCAACCCCAACCCCAACCCAAAGCCCCCATCCCTGACCTCCTCGACGACACCACCCCCCTTCCCCAACAAGCGGCAGCCGCCCCAGCACCCCCCATCCCACCCAACCCCCAAAAAGACGCCCTCCTCCACACCCTCGCTGTCGCCCTCCACTCCGTGCGCCAAAAAACCGCTTCCCGAAACATCGACACCAAACACTCCCTGTCCGCACAACACACCGCCATGCTCACCGCCTTACACGCCCTGCAGTCCGAGACGGCGCAGCTCGAAGCCCTTGAAGGGGCATTGTCATCCAACTCCGCGTCGTTGAATAGCTCCTTAGCGTCCGCCGACGCGCTGATCAAGCGCGCGCCGCAGATGACGCCGCCGAGTATCGATGATTTGCTCGTGGCGCCGACAGCGGTGGCGAATCAACTATATGATGCTGTGGCGGAGGAGCGGGCGCTGGGGGATACGATTTTTGTGCTTGGGCGCGCGGTGGAGAAGGGGCGCGTGGCGCCGCAGACGTTTGTTAAGGTTACGAGAGGGCTGGCGAGGGAATGGTGGTTGAAGAAGGTGTTGGTGCGGAAGTGTGCGAGGGGACTGGGATTGGATGATGGGAGTGGATGGGGTCGGGAAGCAGGTAGGGCTTAGAGAGCGGATAGTTACGTAGGAATTTCATTGTTGTTACAGTTTAAGCCTTCATTTATTATCTATCTCTGCCCATACATTTGAGCTTTTGTAATGCATGGTATCGGATAATCCACACCTAGAGCCGCCCACAGATTTGCGAGACAATGGTTATTCATCCATGCCATGATATTCCGACAGCGAATGCCTTCCTACTCCTCCCAGTTTTCCAGAGCTACGACTAGCCCCTTTCAATACCCAACCTCACTCCAAATCCCCTCTACTCCTTCCGAGACGGCAAATCTTTGCCAAGCTACTCACCTCTGTGATCCTCAATGGCTTCGGCTCTCTTAACTTTGCCACACTTCGCACAATCAGCGTCCCATCCTCGTCGCCACTACTCTCACTATCCACCCAGGGTCCTACCATTGAACTCTCCACGTTGTGCCTCCCTGAATGTTCTTGCAAAATCCTCCGAGAAGAGGCAAAGTATTCGCGCCTATTTGCTATGGTAATGATCTCTGAGACTCGGAGGTTCTTAGCTCCTGGTAGGGTATCTGTATCTGTCGGAGCACGACTCTGTGTCATGATACCTTCCGAGGGTGATAAGAATGATCCAGCCGTTGGAGGCAGAGGAAACGCTTCATGGCTTCCATAACTCCAGTCAGAAATCGTACTCGGCCTTGACCCAGAATACGATGATGATGATATCGGTAGCCGTGATGAACTCGATTGCTGCTTTGAAAGAGGTCTCGATGATGCCTGCTTTATCAACTTGCCATTTGAACTTGATGGCTCCGACTCTCTTGGTTCCGCAGCGGTTGTCCAAGAAGTCGAGGTTGACGTTCCCTTTGTCATCCTCCTATAAGCAAAGGCAGACACATATTTTCCATCCACCATGCAGCCCATGCGAGACCTTGTTCTTTCTGCCAAACACTTACTAAATGCATTCATCGTTTTATTTAGTTGATTCGTAGTCGGGCTTGACCACCCAACCTTGACATGCTTTTCTTCCACCACCTATTTGATCCTCCCAGCTATTTCTCCTCCAGATCCGTGTTTCGCCTTGCCATTGTCGCCCAAGAGAAGAAAGGGGAACACGAAGTGTTAGAAGCACACGAACGCCTACACTACGAAGCAAAACGAAGAAGAGAAGGGACACTAGTTCCACGACCATTAGAATATGGTGAATATGAGGGATTTTCCTCAGACAGTTCTTCCTCAGACGATTCAAAAAACTAGGAGTCCTCGACAGTAGGCCACTGACGAGCGACATGAAGAGGCCTAGTACCAACCAGCTATGCGCCACAACAGGCGGCATGTAGCTATATGTGGTTGTTAAGATACAACAGCAACACCTCAGAGCTATGATAGACTTAGGAGCAATGGGCAACTTTATGACAAAGAAAGTAGCAGACACACACAGGTTCAGGATGCAACTAAAGACTGACCTATACCCATTAATGGTTGTAGATGGAGAGCCCATCTCAACTAACAATGGAATGGTGACCTACGAGACGATCCCATTAGAAATGGTCATGCTACACAGACACAAGGAAATGATACAGTTTGATATCGTGCACATAGACAATCATGGATGCTTTCCTAGGAAGGATACTTATTTGCATCCTAGATTTCTGCAAGCTGTGATGCTTCATACTCTCCCTCCTGTTCTAGTTGTTGTAATACTCGTAACAGGTTGTTTCATTGAGTCTTATAGACTTCTTTCTTAGGGCGGTGTATGTCGTCGATTCTCTAATCTGCGATAGCGTCCTAGACGTTGTATTCACAGAGCTTGTACTCTAGCCATCCTGTGGCTTCCTTCTCTGTGTATTTCGCTTCACGGGATTCCTGCTGATGAGGGTATTCTGGTCGGCACCTCATTGTGCGAATTGCGACCTCCCAGTCTTGTGTAGTGTCCTGCCAGCTCATTGGTGGCTTGGGCACAGGAATTCCTTAGTCGACCGTCTCCTAAAGCATGGCTTCCTTGAAGGTTCTCACTGCTCCTGGCAGTTGTTCCTTGAAAAGAGTCTTACTTGCTGTCTTCTTAAATGCTTGTAACTGGTGCTTTTAAGAGCTAGTGAGCTCCTTGTCGTCGTTCTTGTCTTCTCTGTTTGACAAGTGGAATTCCTCGAGATCCTAAGTAGTAATACTCTAGTTCTCTTTTTCCTTCAACGTGGCACATAGCTGTCCTTGTGGGGCCTTGCACCTGCCTTGACCTTGCCAAGTAGCGTTAAGCTGTTTGCCATACTTTCGTCCTCCATTCCCTTTCTTTAACTGTCTGCAGTTTCGCACTATGTGCCTAGGCTTATTGCAGTTAAAGCAGAGCCGTTCTTAGACTGTCGCTCCTTGTTAGGATTTGTAATGGTGGGTGCACCAGATGTGAGAATCTAGCCACCCAAGGAAGGGATGAATTTACTAAGACAACACACTGTCTTAGGAAACAGAGCCAAAGGGTTGTAGCTTAGACTATTCCACAACGCAGCAATCAGGTGTGTGATGTAGTGAAGTGGTTCAGACAAGTTGCAACAAATGTTGAGTCTGGGAACTCAGGGGTAAGTCAAGAGGTTAACACCTCACTGACTTTTCAGAAACAAGGAGTAACAAACAAGATAAATGCTTGGAAGCTTGGAAAAGACGTGGAAGTATGTGATAGTCAATTTACTGTATTGTCTGCTTGCCCTTTCTTAAGGAAAGGGCAATCCTATTTATGCTAAAGGAATGTAGTTCTCTCATTTTCCAAGACTTTCCATGACTTACCAGGCTTGGTAACTGTAGTCGACGTAAGAGAATCCCATAGAACCATCTCTTAGGTTTGTAGCCTATAGGAAGTAAAAGGAGGTCCCAGGTCAGAGTACCCCTATAGACAAATTATGTCATAGACAAATTATGTCATAACTTAACCAATCTTGTGGGTAACTAAATAGCGATGACATGTAATGAATCATAGAGGTTCGTAGGAGCTTTTAGAGCTATCGTTCATGCTCCTAGGCCTCTAGTTGGTAGATATATGTCATGTGGTAGTATGAGTGATGTCATGTAATGAATCATAGAGGGTTGTAGAGATATGCTATGTGGTAATATCGGCCCAGTAACTAAGGAGCGATGACGTGTAATGAATCATAGATGGTTGTAGCAATCGTTGAGTAGTATTGCTCTTGTTGTTGGTGTGATAAGCCAAAATATGTATAGTGACTTGTAGGTTTGAGGAGGAGATTTCCAAGTTTGCTCTTGAGTTTGATAGCAAACTGAGTGCAACGAATGTCAGTATGACATGATTGTGGGGTTTGCCATTAGGCTTGAAAGTAGTGACGAGTTCTATAGGTTAGGGTTAATGACTCCTTGTTTGTCTTCTCTTCTAAGTTGTTACGGCTAAGTGCTATGGCTAGCGCTTATGGCTGCAACCTCACATGATGGATAACATTGGATATCATGGATATTATGTTATCCATGTTATCCACGGCGATCCACGGAATGTCATGTGATGGATAACATTGGATATCTTGGATATTATGTTATCCATGTTATCCACGGGGATCCACAGAATATCAGGTGATGGATAACATTGGATATCATGGATATTATGTTATCCATGTTATCCACGGATATCCCTTTGGCATGACGCCACTATCGTATTTCCTTAGATAGGAGCTTCGTGCTCAACTCAATATAGTATTCTTTACAATACTGTAACATGTTACTTGGAAGCCTTTGTGTCTAATCCCCTGCCTCCTCTGTCAAGTCAACCTTACGCAAGAAACCTCTGTGTCTTCTATCATTTAGAAGTCAGCGTTACACTAGCGTGGTTTCCATTAATACCATGGAAACAGTGTCCATTTCCAGCCCCTCCTAGTGAGGGTCCTCCTACTCATCTTCAATATCCTAGTGTCACCTCTTTTGACAACCCTCTTCTTAGATCAGGACTTGCTTCTTCGCAAAGTCCCATACAGCCTTAGGGTAGGCGTCATAGTCGTTACCATACGTCCTTTGGAATAGCTCTAGGGCTTCCTCTGTAAGGACACAGGGAATACGGCTCTCCGTAGGTGCATATGGGAGTGCGAGTCGGAGGTGATGCTGTATTCTATCCTATAGGTCTACTACGAAGGATACAAAAAAGATGAAGGGGGAGCTTATAGCTTCCTACCCCTTATGTACCTAAATGGGGTCCGACTCGGCTAGGCCTTAGCGTACCGGTAGATCCACTCCCGTCTGCCGCCCGAATCGACCCCGACCCTAGAACGTCTATGCTGCTATACTACTATGTCGCCTATTCCGCGTTGTCTTACGGGTCCGAGGGTACCCCGTGTAAGGAGGCATCCTTACATTACCCCCCCCCTTGAGAGAGTGCTTTGTCCTCAAAGCGCGTGGCTCCGTGTGCCGACCGAATGGTAGCCGAGTGTCGGTATGGTCTAGGTAGTCTTTGTTCGAAGATCGTGGTGCTGAATGCGTCCGTGGGATGGATCGCGGAGCGTGCTTTGTTCCCAATAAAAGCGGATTGTTGAGGTCCGAGTTGGCACCGTATAGTATCCGGTTGTGGTGTTGCGCGTCGCGAGTTTCTTAGTTACTGTGCGCGCGCTACTACTCCTCCGAAATTTATTGTTCTAAGCGGTTGTCATGAAGCAACCGATTCCGCCCAGGATTCGAAGGCTTCTTTTTACAACAACACCGCCTACGAACCCACCTCCCGAATCCAGTAAGTAGCCCCTCTTGTTCGTATACTGTATACTAATCTGATTGTTTCATAGGAAACAAAACAAACCAGACGACCGAGTAGGTGATGATTGCGCGCCGACGCGTAGGTGATAACTTCTGGGCTTGGGGCTGACGGTTTTGTAGGAAACCTTTTCGCGAAGATGCCCGTCCTGCTGCCCCCCGGGGCCCTCCCGGCTGCGTACCGCGTCCTCTGTATGAGATGCGTGCGCCGTATTGGGACACCCGACGATGCTCCCATGGAGCACGAGTGCGTTTGGAGCGAGAAAAGCTCCAAGTGCGCCTACTGCGTGAAGCAGAAGGCACCATGTGTGCCGGTGAGTTCTCGGGTGCTGTTCGGTCTGGTGGTTGGTTTCCTGTGCTGACTTTCTGGGGGATAGATTCTCTGGTTCCTCGAGGAGGAATATGCCGCCATCGTCGCCGCCGAAGCGGCCACCCCTCCCATCCTGGCCACCACACTCAAGGCCTACAAGGAGGTCGCGCGCGTGGCCGACCTCTCCAGCGCCGCCATGCCGGCCCTGCGCTCCCCCTTTGAGGGAGCGCAGTACATTCAGGGGCTGGCCACCCTCGCCGCCATCAAGGTAAGCTTTCCCCTTGCTGTTGTTCTTGTTCTGGGTCTGACTCCTAGGTAGGACCTCGCCGCCGCGGTGGAGGGGTTGAAGGAGGATACGGGGAAGCTCCTCGCGGGGCAGGCCCGCGCCGTCTCCTTGCTGGGGACGGTGGATAAAACCACCGACAAGGTGGGGAAGGAGGTGAGCTTCGTGGTGACTGCGGTCGCGAAGGTGGAGAAGGCGGTGGAGAAGTTGGCCGGGGCTGTTGCGGTGGCTCCCCGCAATGGCGGGAAGAGGAAGAGGGGGGAGGAGGAGGAGGGGAATGGGGAGAACCCAATTGGGTGAACGGGCCCTGTGCCGGAGGGGACTCGCGCGTGGTCTTTCGCGTGGGGTCACTTCGACCCTTCGTCTCGCATGGTGGTAGCCGCCTGTTGCGACGCCGGTGAGACGTTTGGGAAGGGTGGCCTCCGCAAGGACTACGGTTGCGAGTGTGCCCTGGCTCAGAGGGTGCTTAGTTTAGAGTCGCAGACAGCAATGACTCTGTTTCTTCCGCTTTGTCTTTCCCTCCGTGATCGTAGTTTTGTTCCTTTCCCGTCTCCCCTGCCGTAACAACTCCTAGTAGTTCGTGAGGTGGACCTGGTAAGTCTGGGTATTCCGTATGAAACTCCCTGAGTTTCTGGGGAGAGTTCATGA